ACAGAATTCTTTATTGGCCAAGTGTGATTGGACACACAAGGGATTTGTCTTGGTGCATATGCTCTCAGTGTACATAAAAGAAAAGATACGTTCATCAAGAATAGTAAGGTGAACAGAACAGAACAGAACAGAACAGAACTCAGAGTAGAGTAGAATTGAGAATAGAGAATAGAGAATAGAATTCAGAACTGAGAATAGAATTCAGAATTGAGAATAGAGAATAGAATTCAGAACTGAGAATAGAATTCAGAATTCAGAATAGAATAGAACAAAAATCAGAATTCAGAATAGAATTCAGAATTAGAATAGAGTAGAATTCAGAATTCAGAATAGAATAGTATAATAGTATAATATATAATGTATAATTTAATTTAATTTAATTTAATTTAATTTAATTTTATATTTAAATTTATATACCGCCCTTCTCCTGAAGGACTCAGGGCGGTGAATAGCCAAAGGTAAACACACAGAATACAAAAATTTATATATATATATATATATATATATATATATATATATATATATATATATATATTATATATATATATATATTATAATATATATTATAACTTATATAATATTGATGATAATATGATTGTAGATCTTATTATAATTTAAATGGTTATAAATGATTATAAATTAAACGATGGTATAATGTAGGATAGTGAACTATAGAAATAGAATTTATGTAAATATTAATGTTATGGATGATACGGATGCTGATATGGAAATGCTGTAATGAGTGTAAATTTGTGTTTTGTGTTTTAAATGTTGGAAAAAAATTTAATAAACATTTTTTTAAAAAAACAGAATTCAGAATTAGAATTCAGAATTGGAATAGAGTAGAATAGAATTCAGAATTAGAATTCAGAATTGGAATAGAGTAGAATAGAATTCAGAATTCAGAATAGAATAGAATAGAATAGAATAGAATAGAATAGAATAACAGAGTCGGAAGGACCTTGGAAGTCTCCTAGTCCAATGATCTCCCGTTATAGTTTCAATATTATAACCCTCAAAAAAGAAAGAAGAAATTGTCCCTCAGTTTTCTTTTCTCCTGTACACCATATTTCACCCATTTTTTACAACATCCCTCTCCTTTCCTCTTCTTTCTCCTCCCTCTCTTCTCTCCTCCCCTCTCCTTCTCTCTCCTTCCCTCCTTCCTTCTCCTCTCCTTCCCTCTCTCCTTCTCTCCTTCTCCTGTCCCCTCTCTATTCCCTCCCCCCCACCTCTTCTTCTCCACTTCTCACTGAGTATCTAGTGAGTAGGCTCAGTAACTATATATAATCCTGTGTAAAGATTCATAGCATCCCCTAATATTCGAGTGGGGGGTTGGACTAGATGACCTATAACCGTGATGGCGAACTTATGACACGGGTGCCACAGGTGGCACACGGCGCCATATCAGTGGGCACGCGAGCATTGCCGTAGCTCAGCTCCAGCGGGCATGTGCGCACCGGCCAGCTGATTTTCGGGACTTCCGGGCTGACTGGAAGTCGGGAAATGGGCCATTTCCGGCCTCCGGGTGGGATGAGGAACTGGGGAAGGCTGTTTTAGCCCTCCCCAGGCTCCAAGAAAGACTCTGGAGGCTGTGGAGGCGAAAAATGGGCCCACTGTGCCATCACGTGCCAAAAGAGGGGGGAATGCGGGGCGGGGGGGGTCGCGCATGTATGTGTGGGGGGGCGGGGCGCATTGAATTATGGGTGTGGGCACACACCCGCCCTCTCCCCCCCCCGCTTTTGGCACGCGACGGCAAAGAGATTAGCCATCACTGACCTATAATATCCTTTCCAACTCTGTTAATCTGTTATATCCATTATATCTCAGCATGATCTTGTTAATGAATAATTGAATTTTCAACGGGCGTTTTTCCTATATTATAATGAGTTTTTTCCCCTCCCCAGTTATTAGAGTTCAATAACTTTCCGTACAGTCCTCGACTTACGACTTGTGGCTAAACGGCCCATTCGTTCAGGGATTTTCGCCCGGGCGTAACGATCTTCCTTCGTACCGTTGTTCAGCGAATCACTGCCCTCATTCAGCGAGTCGCCGGGTCGTTAAGTGAATCTGGCTTTTCCCCCCCTCCCTCGTCAGAAGGTCGCAAAAGGGGGGATCACATGACCCCTCCCCACCCAGGACCCTGAAGCCAACATAAATCCGAGTCAGTCGGAATTTTGATCCCGTCACCGCGGGGATGCTCCAACGGTCGTAAGTGTGAAAAACGGTCATCGATCCCTAAACGGTCACTAAACGAATTGTCGTAAATCGAGGACTACCTGAATCTTCCTCCAGTTCTTTTCTTTTCTTTTCTTTTTTTTTGTCTTCTCGGGACGCACACCAACCAGATGTGTCACTCTGCTGAGAAGGATCGTGTAGGTAGGATCTCCCGCTTGGGCAGATGGTGGGGCTGGACTAAATGACCTCCAAGGTCCCTTCCACCTCCGTTCATAGAATTTGGAAAATAAAACCTTGGTTGATTCACCCAGCCAGCTGGCTGGGATTGAAGGCTTGCTCTTTAAAACCCAACAGGTGAAGAGAGACAAGACAGCCTCTTGGCCATCTTCAAGCCAGAAGCCTTCAATTAAACCTGGTTTAATGTTGTTAAAATTATCTTCCGGAGGCGGAAGAAGAAAAGAGAAACGTAAAATCAAAGGTATGGCCAGCCGAGCCTTGATTAATTCTTCGGGGCCCGCCCTGCTGGCTTCCTTGACTTGGCTTTTTAATCATTATTTGCAATGCTATTTATTCCCATTTCACAGCTGGCAAAACCGAGCGCCCAACATTGGTCAGAGCTGCATTTTTTGAACCCAGGACCCAAGTGGATCTCTCCGGAAAGCAAAAATAAAATTGCCGGCACACGTTGTTTTGAGTTGTAGAGGTACTTGCCACCGTCGTTAAATGAATCCCCCACCGTCGTTAAGTTGGTAACACGGTTGTTAAGCGAATCCCCCCAATTGACTTTGCTGGTCAACAATGAACAGACAACAATCGACAGATGAACAGAGTTGGATGGGATCTTGGAGGTCATCTAGTCCAGCCCCCCGCCCAAGCCGTCGCAAAAGGGGATCGTGTGATCCTCGGGATGCCGAGACCGTCATAATTACGAGTCGGCGGCCAAATGTCTGAATTTTTGACGGTCGTTAAGTGTGAAAAACGGGCATTGGTCCCTTTTTTTTCAAGGCCATTGTAACGGTTACTAAACGAGCGGTCGTAAGTTGAAGACTGCCTGCAAAATCTCCAGGGCTCTGCTGTAATACAGATTGTAAGTCCTCGACTTACCACAGCTCATTTAGTGACCGTTCCAAGTTACATCAGCCCTGAAAAAAAAGGGACTGATGACTTTACGACCGTTGTTCACACTTACGACCGTTGCATTCGGATACTAGGCAACCGACTCACATTTACGACAGGGTCACGTGATTCTCCCTTTTGCGACCTCCTGACCAGCGAAAACTCCATGGGGAAGCCGGATTCACTTAACAACCGTATGACCCATTTAACAACTGTAAAGTGATTCGCTTAACGAATGCGGGAAGAGAAGTCGTAAAATGAGGCAAAACTCCCTTAACAAATTTCTCATTTAGCCACATAAATTTTGGGCTCCGCCGTGGTCGTAAGTTGAGGACTACCTGTAATAAGTTAGCAGATAAAAATCAGTAACCAATCCACAGCACTGGGTCATATTTTCTGAAAACTGGAGAAATTCGCACCCCGTGCTCAAAAATCCGAGCCGCATAACAGAGGACAAAAAATAAAATCAAATCAGGCCCTGTTGATCAGATTTTTGCAATGATGCAAAACTATGAGAGGCCCAGTTACACCCGAGAGGATCAAACCAGGTTTTCCGGCTGAGATTTAAACTATGAAAGTCAGTTTGGACTGGAGAAATTCGCACCCAGTGCTCAAAAATCCGAGCCGCATAACAGAGGATAAAAAATAAAATCAGGCCTGTTGATCAGATTTTTGCAATGATGCAAAACTATGAGAGGCCCAGTTACACCCGAGAGGATCAAACCAGGTTTTCCGGCTGAGATTTAAACTATGAAAGTCAGTTTGGACTGGAGAAATTCGCACCCAGTGCTCAAAAATCCGAGCCGCATAACAGAGGATAAAAAATAAAATCAAGCCTGTTGATCAGATTTTGCAATGATGCAAAACTAGGAGAGGCCCAATTACACCCGAGAGGATAAAACCAGGTTTTCCGGCTGAGATTTAAACTCTGAAAGTCAGTTTGGACTGGAGAAATTCGCACCCAGTGCTCAAAAATCCGAGCCGCATAACAGAGGATAAAAAATAAAATCAGGCCTGTTGATCAGATTTTTGCAATGATGCAAAACTAGGAGAGGCCGAGTTACGCCCGAGAGGATAAAACCAGGTTTTCCGGCTGAGATTTAAACCACGAAAGTCAGTTTGATGGTAATTATTACGCAAGACGGCATGTGGGTTTTTTAAAATACGTCTCCGAAGAGAGCTGGAGTAGCAGGATTTTAGCCGGTCCCTAAAAGGCATGTGAGAACCGGAGCCGTGATGCTAGAAGTCTGCTAAGCGCTTCCTACAATAAGCCATCATTCCGGCGGGAGGGTACCCTGGAGGTCATTTAGTCCAACCCTCTGCTCGCTGCTGGATAGGGAATTCGGGGATGGGTTTAAGAACCCATCTTAAAAGGGTTGCAAAACACTCATCTGATGCAACGGACAGAGGGGACGTGAGTCTGCGGCCCTCTTAACCACGAATCAAAGTTTCCACAAATCGTGGTTTGGCTCCAGCTCGACCAGCTCCATCCCTTGTCAAGAATTAGCGCGATTCCATGATGCACAAAATGACACCTGGAGATCTCGGGAGGCAGGCACTTGAGTCACCGGCAACTGCAAATCAGGCACCGAGCGGAGGGTTGGACTAAATGACCTCCGGGGTTCCCTCCCCGCCTGGATGATTTTGCACATTGTAGGAAGCGCTTCGCAAGGTTGGCACCTGGGCTCTTTCCCGCATTCGGTCGGTTGGCTTCGGCTGGGTGCCGGGCAGCCGCCACGGGAGGGTCAGAGGTGGGGGGAAGGGAGGGTGGGCCCCCCACCCGCTGGTCTCACCTGGCTTCGTCGCCCCCACCTGAGGCCGAGCGACAGGTAGACGGACCGGTTCTCTGGCTCGGAGGGATAAATTCCAGGAGCTGAAAGGGAGCTAAACTCTGGTGCTGATTTTTCTTTCTTTCTTTCTTTCTTTCTTTCTTTCTTTCTTTCTTTCTTTCTTTCTTTCTTTCTTCTTTCCTTCCTTCTTTCTTCCTTCCCTTCCCGTTGCCTCCCTCCCTCCTTTCTTTCTTTCTTTCTTTCTCTCTCTCTCTCTTTCATTCTTTATTTCTCCTCCCTCCCCCCTTTCCTTTGCCTCCCTCCCTCCTTTCTTTCTTTCTTTCTTTCTTTCTTTAATTAATTATTTATTTATTTATTTCTCCTCCCTCCCTCCTTCCTTCTTTCCTTCCTTCCTTTCTCCTTCTTCCTTCTTTCCTCCCTCCCTCCCTCCCTTCTTCCTTCCTTCCTTCCTCCATCCATCCATCCTCCCTCCCTCCCTCCCTCCTTTATTTATTTATTTATTTATTTATTTATTCATTCATTCTTTCTTTCTTTCTTTCCGCTCCCTCCCTCCCTCGCTTGCTTCTTTCTCTTTCTTTCTTCCTTTCTTCCTTCCTTCCTCCTTTCCTTTCTTTCTTTCTCTCTCTTTTTTCTTTCTTTCTTTCTTTCTCTGTTTTTTCTTTTTCCCCTCCTTTCCTTCCTTCCTTCCTCCCCCTCCTTCTCCCCCTCCCTCTCTTTCTTCTTCCTTCCTTCCTCCCTCCCTCCCTCCCTCCCTTTCATTCTTTCTCTTTCTTTCTCTTTTTTCTCTCTTTCTTTCTTTCTTTCTGTTTTTCTTTTTCCCCTCCTTTCCTTCCTTCCTGCCTTCTCCTCCTCCTCCTCCTCTCTTTTCTCTCTCTCCCTCCCTCCCTCCCCCTCCTCCTCCCCTCCCTCTCTCTCTCCTTCCTTCCTTCCTTCCTTCCTCCTCCTCCTTCTCCCCCTCCCTCTCTTTCTTCTTCCTTCCTTCCTTCCTTCCTCTCTCCCTCCCTTTCATTCTTTCTCTTTCTTTCTCTTTCTTTCTCTCTCTTTCTTCTTTCTTTCTGTTTTTCTTTTTCCCCTCCTTTTCTTCCTTCCTTCCTGCCTTCTCCTCCTCCTCTCTTTTCTCTCTCTCTCCCTCCCTCCCTCCCTCCCTCTCTCTCTCCCTTCCTTCCTTCCTTCCTTCCTTCCTTCCTTCCTTCCTTCCTTCCTTCCTCCATCAGGGTCACCGGCCAGCATGGCAACCGTCCCCTCCGCCACCTACAAAATCCGCGTGGCCACGGGCAACTACCTCTTCGGTGGGACCATGGACACCATCTCCATCTCCTTGGTGGGCGCTCACGGGGAGACCCCCAAGTTTCGCCTGGATAAATTCGGCAAAGATTTCTCTCCAGGAGAAGTAAGTGGGGTGGGGGGTTGACAAATGTGAGGGACCGCCTGGGGGCCCCACTACAGCTCCCATCATCCACTGCCCCCTTCTGGCAGACTGGCAGGAAAATCCTCCGGAGGAAGAGATTGAGATTGTCCTTTTGCCACCCTGGATGGCAACAGGGGAGGAAAAAAATGCTGTATTTCTGTGTTTCTCAGCCTTTGAAGATGTGTGGACTTCAACTCCCAGAATTCCCTAGCCAGCATACCTAGGCTGTGCTGCGGGATTGTGGGAGTTGAAGTCCACACATATTCCAAGGGCCAAGGGTGAAAAACAGTCCTTTAATACTTTACTTTACTTTACTTTAGCGAAGTCCGTCGAAGACGTCGCAGTCCGACGAGCGAAGTCGACGGGGAAAATTGTATCTGTTTAATGACCCCATGAACCGCTTAACAACCGGACAGATTTACTTAACAATACCCAATTCCGGCAACCGTTTTTTGTATGTTTTCATCTCCGGGCCTTTAATCGTCTTTCTTGCTCTTTTCTGCACTTTTCTCACAGTTTCTTTCTGCCTTGCCTTCTCCAATTCTCTCCATCCCAACTCCAATGATCGATGAGAACGGATGGGAATTATAGTCCAGACGCGCTTAAACTTTCCTCTTTGGCTTCGCAGGTGGAGGAATTCGTGGTGGAAACCCAGGTGGAGTTGGGGGACCTCCTGTTGGTTCGTCTCCATAAGGAGCCCTACGGGTTCTTCCCTCCCACCAACTGGAACTGCAGCTTCATCGAAGTGGAGACCCCCGAGGGGCAGACCCACCATTTCCCTTGCTACCAATGGATCCCGGGGTACCCCACCTTTGAGCTCCGAGAAGGAACAGGTGAGTCCTTCCCACCTTCTAGGAAGCTTCTGGAAGGAAGCCCTCGAGCATTGTTTCTCGAGCTTGGCAGGTTAGAGATGGGTGGACTTCCGCTTGATCGTGAGTGAACGTCAATACCCAGAATTGAAGATGGGTGGACTTCAGCTTGAAGATGGTGGACTTCAATTCCCAGAAATGGATGAATGGACTTTAGGTTGAAGATTGATGGACTTCAATTCTCAGAAATGGATGAATGGACTTTAGGTTGAAGATTGACGGACTTCAATTCCCAGAAATGGATGAATGGACTTTAGGTTGAAGATTGATGGACTTCAATTCTCAGAAATGGATGAATGGACTTTAGGTTGAAGATTGATGGACTTCAATTCCCAGAAATGGATGAATGGACTTTAGGTTGAAGATTGATGGACTTCAATTCTCAGAAATGGATGAATGGACTTTAGGTTGAAGATTGATGGACTTCAGTTCCCAGAATTGAAGATGAGTGGATTTCACCTTGAAGATGGTGGACTTCAATTCTCAGAATTGAAGATAGGTGGACTTCACCTTGAAGCTTGTCAATCAGAAAGGTTGGCAGTTCGAATCCCTGCGTGAGCAGAGGGTGGGACTGGATGACCTCCGAGATCCCTTCCAACTCTGTTACTGTTACTATAAGATGGTGGACTTCAACACCCAGAATTGAAGATGGATGGCTTTCACCTTGGAGATGGGTGGACTTTAATTCCCAGAACTGAAGATCAGTGGACTTCATCTTGAGGATGGTGGGTTTCGGTTCCCACAATTGAAGAGGAGAGGACTTCACCTTGAAGATGGATGGTCTTCAGCTCCTAGAACGGAAGATGAATGGACTTCAACTCCCAGAACTGAATGAATGGACTCTAGCTTGAAGATTGGTGGACTTCAATTCCCAGAACTGAAGATGGGTGGACTAAACTTCAATTCCCAGCATGGAAGATGGAAGTTCAGAAGAAGTTCATCTTGAAGACTTCCATTTTTTCGTCAAGCTTGAGAAAGTAGAGTGAGATACAGAACCTTCAGTCAATATTCAACGAGGAACTGAATCTAATTCAGGTTTTTTTTTTCAATCTTGGCACCTCTAAGGTGGACTTCAACTCCCAGAATTCAGCTTGCTGGCTGGAGAATTCTGGGAGTTGAAGTCCACACAACTTCAAGTTGCCAAGTTTAAAGAAACAGTGCTTTACAATGAAAAGTCCAGCAATAGTTCGACCATTTTACAACATTGTCACATCCAGTTTGACACACTTTCCTAGTAGGTCAAAATAAGTTACAAAACCCAGGGATGATTTATTAGGAAATGAAAAACTGGAACTTTTGGAGTTTGTGTTGTGTCCTAGAAAAATTTAAGGTTGGTTAAGTATCCTTGCATTGCCTCCAGCTCCGGCAACAAGGCAGGCAAGAATCCACAGATATAATTTTGTCTCTCTGATGGGAGAAATTTATTATTTGATTTATTAAATTTATCCAGCCACTGGGACTCTCGACAGCTGTCAGATCCCAACCCAATTTTCAAATAAAATGAATTTAGCCTAAGAAATATGATGAGGACGGCCCGTTGACGATAACTCAAAAGCCTTTTCTGAGAAAGCCGGAAAGCTTTCCCGGTGGAATTTCTGCCTTCGGTGACAGCTAGTATTTCAAAAGGAGTGGTGCGGTGGCCTAGAGTTGGAGCTCTCGCCTCACAATCAGGAGGGAGGCTGTGAGTTCGATCCTAGGTAGAGGCAGATATTTCTCTCTCTGGGCACAATAAGAATATATATATCTGCCGAACAAAACTCCTCATTGGTGACAGGAAAGGCATCCGGCCATTAAAAAACACTCTGCTAGCTCCATTCAGTTGTCCAGACTTCACTCTGCAAATTCGTTAAAAGAAGATGATGGTGACAGCTCTTCAAAAGCGTGAAACAATGGGGGAGGTTTTAAGAGGTACGCAGCTGCCCCAAATCTGGGTGCCAGTTACAGGTAGTCCTCGATTTATGACCACAATTGAGCCCCAAAACTTCTTTTGCTGAGCAAGACCGTTGCTAAGTGAGTTTTTGCTCCGTTTTATGACCTTTCTTGCACCGTTGTGAGGCGAATCACTGCGGTTGTTAAGTGAGTAACAAGGTCGCAAAGTGAATCTGCCTTCCCCCTTGACTTTGCTTGTAAGAAGGCCGCAAAAGGGGATCCGATGATCCTGGGGGACTGCAACCGTCATAAACACGGGTCAGTTGCCAAGCATATGATCACGTGACACCTCCCCCAGGGATGCTGCAATGGTCGTAAGTGTGAAAAACCGCCGTAAGTCACTTTTTCAGGGCCGTTGTAACTTCAAGCCGTCACTAAATGAAGCACCGCCTATATTTCACAGTCCCAAATTATTCCTTTAATGCAGGGGTGAAATCTATTTACCTTCCCTACCGGTTCGGAAGTGCGTGCTCTGCGCGCATCATCTGCACGCTTGGACCCTCTGCGCACGCGCAAAGCCTTCTGCTCATGCTCAGAGGGTCAAAAACAGGTTACTTCCTGTTTAAAACCAGGAAGTAATGAAGTCTGGGCAGGTGGGCGGAGCCTCGTGCTGCCGCCACTACCGGTTCTCCGATTCGTACCGGCCGAACCGGTTCGCACCAGTTCGCACCGGCCGAACCGGGCTGAACCGGTAGCATTTTACCCCTGCTTTAATGTGATTCTGATGTGGTTCTGATCTTCTCTTCCTTTCGGTAGGGCAGAAGGAAGCAGACAAATTACAAATAACTCTAATTTTTCTTTCCCCCCCCCCCGCTCTTTTCACAGCTAAACTCGCTCAAGTGGACGCAAACAGCCGATTGCTCTCAGAACATCGCCGGTACGAACTGCTAGCAAAACAGGAAACCTACAGGTGAGTCAGCCAATTTGACATGCTAAGGCCAGGTGTAAATATGTATAACTAGGATGTGAATCTTCACAAATAAATGTGAAGTATTCCTCCCTTGCATTCAGACGCAAACAATTGCAGGCACTCCCGGGAATATTTTAAAATCCTGTTGTTGTTGTTGTTGTTTTCCCCTCCGTGAAAATGATCCGAGAAATTCAATTTTTGCAGCAGAGTCTCAAACACAAATTTGCTCCAGACCTGATTTCCATAAATCCCCCATTTGTTCCTTCTGTCTGTTCCAACACCCCCTAAAGTGGTTTTTCTGGCTAAGAATGATGGGGATTGGAGTCCAAGCCTGAAGACCAACAGGTGATCGGGACTCCTTAAACACAATCACTCATGCCCTCGTCACTTCCCGCCTGGATTACTGTAACGTTCTCTACATGGGGCTCCCCTTGAGGAGCACCCGGAGGCTCCAACTGGCGCAGAGTGCAGCCACGCGGGTGGTTATGGGAGCGACGTGGCGCTCCCATGTAACGCCTCTCCTGCGCGAGCTGCACTGGCTCCCGGTGGTCTTCCGGGTGCGCTTCAAGGTTTTGGTTACCACCTTTAGAGCGCTCCATGGCTTAGGGCCTGGTTATTTACGGGACCGCCTGCTGCCGCAAACGGCCTCCCACCGGCCAGTACGCTCTCACAGAGAGGGACTCCTCCGGGTGCCATCGGCCAAACAATGTCGGCCGGCAGCCCCCAGGGGGAGAGCCTTCTCTGTGGTGGCACTTACTATCTGGAACGAGCTCCCCCCCGGAGATACGGAGGATCCCGGATCTACGCACCTTCCGCCGCGCTCTCAAGACCTTTTTATTTCACCAGGCTGGTCTGGCCTAACTTTCTCCCATTCTCTTTTTAATGTAAATTTTAATGTAAATTTTAATTTGTTCTTAACCTGGGGTTTTAAATTTGTCTTGGGCTAAATTGATTTAATTCGATTTTACTTCTGCTCTTAAATTTTTGTATTCTATGTGTTTTATCTTCTGCCAGTTCACCGCCCTGAATCCTTCGGGAGTAGGGCGGTATATAAATCAAATAAAATGAAAAATGAAAATGAAAATGAGGTGTGTTTCCCCAGGGGGGAAAATGGCTACCTGCCTTATAAATAAACACGAAGGCGTAATTTAATAAATTCAGGCTGTTTTTCTCAATCTCAGCAACTTGAAGATCTGCGGACTTCAACTCCCAGAATTCCCCAGCCAGCGTTTCCCCCCCTCCCTCCCGTGGTCACATGACCACTTTTCAGCCAACCAGCTTGCATTTAGGACTGTTTGCAACATATCAGGTCTCCACAATTTACAATGTTTTTGCAGGAAATGGCTGTTTGTTTCCAGTTTTTGGCAAAAAAAAACAACCCAAAAAACCCTAGCAAATAATGGGTTTACTTAATAAGGGATGCGGTGGCTCAGCGGGTAAGACGTTGAGCTTGTCGATCGAAAGGTCGGCAGTTCAGCGGTTCGAATCCCAGCGCCATGTAACGGGGTGAGCTCCCGTCACTTGTCCCAGCTTCTGCCAACCTAGCAGTTCGAAACCCCATAAAAAATGCAAGTAGAAAAAATGGGGACCACCTTTGGTGGGAAGGGAACAGCGTTCCGTGGGTCTTTGGCGTTGAGTCACGCCGGCCACATGACCACGGAGACGTCTTCGGACAGCGACGGCTCTTCGGCATTGAAACGGAGATGAGCACCGCCCCCTAGAGTCGGGAACGACTAGCACATATGTGCGAGGGGAACTTTTACCCTTTACCTTTACTAATGACAACTGGGGGGGGGAAAAAAGGATTGTTAAATAAGTCAGTCGCGTGGGTAATCCATTTTGCAACCGTCCTAACAAAGCTCCGTTATACTGTCGTAAATCAAGGACTTGTCACTACTGCAAAAAAAAATAGTTGTGGAACCGAGTCAGTTACATGGGTGACTCACTTTACAACGTCCCGGCGAGCTTCATTACGGTTGTAAGATGAGGACTACCTGTATGAGCTATTGAAGAGCAAACGTTTTCTAGAAAACAAGAAAAAAAAAATAATTTATTGAGAGGTGGGGAGCTGTATAAATAAAGGAGGAAGAAAACGGCCCCATCCCTTGTCATATGGCCGAATTGAACCCAACATTTCTGTTGTTAAGCGAGACCGTTGTTAAGTGAGTTTTGCTCCATTTTATGACCTTTGCCACCGTTCTTAAGCGAATCACTGCTGTTCTTAAGTCAGAAACACGGTTATTAAGTAAATCCAGCTTCCCCCGTTGACTGTGCTCGTCAAAAGGTCACAAAAGGGGGATTTTGATCACTTTTTTTTTTTTTAAAATTTTGATTTATATGCCGCCCTTCTCCGGAGACTCAGGGCGGCTTACAATGCGTTAAGCAATTGACCACAGGAAGGCTGCAACTTAATAAATTGTGAAAAGCGGTCATTAATCCCCTTTTTTCCATGCCACCATAATTTCGGTCACTAAATGAACGGTTGTAAGTCCAGGACTCCCTGCATTCTGTCCATGCTGGGAAAAAAAATCAGAATATGTCATGGCTCCGTTGGAGCCTGAGTCCGCGGAGGAGGACGAGCCAGAGCTGGGGCCTACAGAGGTCGAGGGGGCGGCCTTGTTGGCTTCGGAGGAATGTGGGGAGGAGCAGGACGAGGCAGCCCCGGGTCCCTCAGGCTTGGGACGGCTTGCCAGCAGGGAAGAACGGGGGCAGGACGACGGAGAGAGAGGGGAAGGGAGGGCAGGCAGTGGAGATGAGGAGTGGCGGAGCTCAGGCAATGAGCAAGTACCGCCCCCTCCTGATCCCCGAGCATGGAGAGTGGAGAGGAGGTGAGAGCAATGCAGGCCAACCCGACAACTCGGGAAGAGAGCGCCCCGCTCCCCTTCACAAGGCACACCTGGGGACTGAGACTTAAGGAGACGCTGTGAGAAGGGACGCTTGTCACTGAATTTGTGGAGTTTTGTGTGCCGCTGCCGACGTCTGGAGTTTGCTGGACTTCATTGCCTTGTTCCTTTGCTTCGTGGACTCCTTACCGTGTTCCTTTCTTTTGTGAACTCATTGCCTTGTTCCTTTTTTTCGTGGACTCATTGCCTTGTTCCTTTTTTTCGTGGACTCATTGCCTTGTTCCTTTTTTTCATTGAACTCGCCTTGTTCCTTTGCTTCGTGGAGTCATTGCTTGTTCCTTTGCTTCGTGGACTCATTGCTTGTTCGTGGACTCATTGCCCGCTGGATTTCTTGCCTTGACGCCGTTGTGCTAACAGGCTGCTGAAAGTGTGTGCGTAGAGGGACTTGCCAAAAACGTGGGAGCGCTGGGGGAAAGTTGGACCAATAAAGGAGAGTTTGAACTATCAGCTGACTGTGTTGCCTCTGTGCCTTGCCCCGAGTCATCACAGAATATCCAGGCGTGGGCTGCTCAGGGCGTTCGAAGGGGTTCGAGAGAACCTCTAGTTAAGATGGGGGCTCCATCTTGGGGATTACATGGGACTCCCCCTGGGGTGCACCCGGAGGCTCCAGCTGGTCCAGAATGCGGCCGCGCGGGGGATTATGGGAACGACGGGGCGCTCCCATGTGACACCTCTCCTGCGCGAGCTGCACTGGCTCCCGGTGGTCTTCCGGGTGCGCTTCAAGGTGTTGGTGACCACCTTTAAAGCGCTCCATGGCTCAGGGCCGGGGTATTTATGAGACCGCCTTCTGCCACCAATAGCCTCCCACCGGCCAGTACGCTCGCACAGAGTGGGCCTCCTCAGGGTGCCGTCGGCCAGACAGTGTCGGCTGGCGATCCCCAGGGGGAGACCCTTCTCTGTGGGGGCACCCGTCCTCTGGAACAACCTCCCCCCAGAGATACGTACAATACCAGACCTCCGGACTTTTCGTCGGGCCCTGAAAACTTATTTATTTCACCTAGCCGGGCTGGCTTGATCCCACAGTTTTGGTTAAATTTAATTGATTTTAACTGGGTTGTTTTAAATTGCGGCCCAAAATATTTAATTATTTTTAAACTGTTTTTAAATTTTGTATGTTCTGTTTTATTCTGGCTGTTCACCGCCCTGAGTCCTGTTGGAGAAGGTGCGGTATACAGATTAAAACAAATAAATAAATAAATAAGATTCTGTGCAGTTCAGAGAACCCCCAAATCCCACTCCTGGACGGCGACCCCACTCTACCCCTCCCAGGAGTCTCCACGCGGCCCGTTTTGGATGCAGGTAAATGCAGGACACGTGCGGAGGCTCGGGGAGGGCGAGAAATGGTCCTACCAGAAGTTCGGGAAGAGGGCCTGCAGAGGGCCTCCAGAGCCTCCGGAGGCCATTTTCTTGAAGAGGTTGCAGAAAAAAATGCTTTCGAAACCTCTGATGATCCCGGCTGAGCCGCGCGATCATCAGAGGCTTTTTTTTTTTTTTTTTTCTTTTAAAAGCATTTTTTTGGCCGAAGAGGTTGTACAAAAAATGCTTTTAAAAGTAAAAAGAAAAAGAAAAAAGCAGGGTAAGTGAGCGGCGACCGGGCCGGGAACCGGTTCGGGGGCGTTACCAGCCAATGTTATTACCGGTTCTCCGAACTACTAAACATTTTTACTACCGGTTCTTGCGAACCGGTGCGAACCAGGAGCCTGGTTTAGCTCAACAGACAGAAGCACTGTAATTTAACACCAGCTGTCTGCAATTAAAGTAAGTTCGAATCTCGCCAGGCTCATGGTTGACTCAGCCTTCCATCCTTTCTAAGGTAGGTAAATTGAGGACCCAGTTTGTGGGGGCAATAAGCTGACTTTGTATAAATATACAAAAGGATGAAGGCTATTGCTTAGCGCATTGTAAGCTGCCCTGAGTCTCCAGAGAAGGGTGGCACATAAATCAAATTTTAAAAAAAAAAACCCACCACTGCCCTTGCTAAAATGTTTGAAGCCTACCCCTTAGAACAGGGGTCAGCAACCTGCGGTTCTGGAGCCGCCTATGGCTCTTTCCCCCCTCTGCTGCGGCTCCCTGTCACTCAAAATATACGTCACAACCGCCAATGTGCGACACCCCGCCGGCACACGATTTATTGAGCTTCTCAACCCCTGGTAGGCCAACCATGGATAAATCCAAGAAAAGGAAAGTTTCAGAAGAAAACAGAACGTTTAATTCAACTATATATGCTTATTTTGGGGCCGCTCGAGAAATCGTCAGGTACGGGAAGGGTTTTGTGGCTCCCGGTGTTTTCTTTTCTGTGGGAAACAAGTGCAAATGACTCTTTGAGTGTTTAAGGTTGCAGACCCCTGCCTTAGAATATCTGAATTGAAAGCATCTCAAAAGGGGAGAAATCTGCTTCTTTATTAACCCCGCAATCCTTTCCGGTGTCTTTTTTTTATTTATTTATTTATGCTACAGATATAAAGATTATCAACCCGGGTGGCCCAAATGTTTAGACGCCGATTCGGTGGACCAATTGCACCTGAGCGATCAATATTCCAGCATCAAATCCTGCTCCTTCCGAGTCCTCCTGAAAACCGCGTACGTAAAATTGGAAAGATCCGGTGGAAAATCCAAGAATTTCTTCATTATTGCCGGAAAAATAATCTCGTTCTATTCGCCATTTAATTGGTTTTTTTCACAAGTTGCTGTAAAATCGCTACAGAGAGGGCTGGACTAGATGACCCCCCCGAGGTCCCTTCCGACCCTGTCATTCTATGTTCTGTTATTCGGTTCGAAATTTTTATTAGTTGATCAAAACATAAAATACAAAAATGTAAAGAAAAAAAATGAAAATAGAGGGGAGGAAAAGGGGAAGAGGGAAAGATGTAGGGTAGAAGGGGATTTTTTTTAAAAAAAAGCATTTGACTCCTGACTCCTTTGGTGCAGTAGAATGAAACCTCAACTTTTCAATTTTATATAATAATATATACTAGTCATTTCTAGAACAACAACCTGTCCAATCAGTAAAACCCAAAATCAAAGTTTCATTTTTTTTCCCACCTCGAGCACAAAGTCCAGAAGTGGTTTCCAAGTAGAAAGAAATTAATGGTCTTCTTTTCTTTAAACAAAGCAATGAAAATCAAAGTTTCCCCCACCTCGAGCACAAAGTCCAGAAGTGGTTTCCAAGTAGAAAGAAAATTAAATGGTCTTCTTTTCTTTAAACAAAGCAATGAAAATCAAAGTTTCCCCTACCACAAGCACAAAGTCCAGAAGTGGTTTCCAAGTAGAAACAAAATTAATGGTCTTCTTTTCTTTACTCAAAGCAATGAAAATCAAAGTTTCCCCCACCTTGAGCACAAAGTCCAGAAGTGGTTTCCAAGTAGAAGCAAAATTAATGGTCTTCTTTTCTTTACTCAAAGCACTCAATTTAGCTCCATCAACTTTTCCAGCCTTTTGTCCATTGTGGGAATCACAGTGTCCTTCCATTTTTTTGTGCACAATCTTGCTGCCATCAACATATATAACGTTCAAAATTCCATTTCCCCCCCCAAGTCCTTTATTCATTATTAGACCCTATTATTCTATTGTCAGGTTTCGAAGTCGTCTCAAATAAATTGCATTTCAAACAAAGCCTTTGAAGAAAACTCCCATTTATTCAGCACGACATTCAAAGTCCGACTCATCGTAGCCAACACTGACTTCCAGACCCAAAACCCTCCCTTTCCGTTCCCCACTCCCCTGTACTCATTGGCCGTCTTCCAAGTCACTCTACCCCTATCTACTGCTCCAACTCAAAGGAATTTCCCCCCTCCCATCTCATCTCCTAGGGGATATTATCTCCAGGGAAAATAAGTAGGTGAAAAGTCAAACATCCCTTTCCAGACGCCTCCGTTCCTCCTTCTTATGTCAGCACTAGAGTAAAGGCAGCTTGAAGTGCTGACATCTATGTTCTCATCGGCTTCTCTTAAATTTATCTTCCCTTTCTCAACGCCAGGGAAATCGAGTTGAAGCTGAAAGGGTTGCTGAACCTCAAGGGCTCCTGGAAAAAACTGGCTGACATCCGAAGGGCTTTTTGGTTTTATCGGACTCCAACCTCAGGTCAGTCTTAACAACTGCTGTGATTCGCTTAATAAGTGTGGCAAGAAAAGTTGTAAAAGAAAGGGACAAAAGTCACTTAACAAACGACTCGCTTAGCAATGTAAATTCTGGGCTCCATTGTGGTCATAAGTCGAGGACTACCTGTAGAACAAGGTTCCTCCACTTTGACTCCTTTAAAATGGGTGGACTTCAACTCCCAGAATTCCCCAGGCATTTTTGTACCCGCTGCGTAGAGAAGTGAAGCCCTCTCAACAACCATCTTCAGTTCCCCATGCTGGCTGAGGGATTCTGGGAATTGAAGTCCACGCAGATTAATGCATACCGGCTAGGGAATTCTGGGAGGTGAAGTCCAGCCATCTTAAAATGCCCAAGGTTGGGAAACCCTGCGGTAGAGTAAGGATTACAGAACCTTCAACGTTGAACATCAGCATTGGAACGGCCTGTAGGTTTTCTTACTCATGTGGACTAGAAGCTTAGAATCGTAACAGCGGAGCTGCTTCTTGGATAACCTGGCTTTCCAAGAAAGGGAGACTTTGAAATTTTAATTCGGTATCCGTTCCAGATTTGGAATTTAGAGCCCTGTCATGTAAGCAGACTGGTCTGACCCGGTTTCACAAACACGACAAGTCCTGTGGAAAATGACACTCGCTCCCTTTCTCCCTGAATTGGCCAACACCCCAGGAGTCTCCCTCCCTCCCTCCCTCCCTCCCTCCCTCTCTCTCTCTCTCTCTCTCTCTCTCTCTCTCTCTCTCTCTCTCTCTCTCTCTCTCTCTCTCTCCCCCCACTCTGGCAAAGGAAGTCTGGAAGGTGTGCTCGCTTTCTTCCAGCAGCACACACACACACACACACACACACACACACACACACACACACATTTAGAAAGTACTGCAGATTCCAAGAAGAATTCTGATAATTTCCAGACAGGATTCGAGTTGGGTTTCCCTCACCTCGAGCACAAAGTCCAAAGTGGTTTCCAAGTAGAAAGAAAATGAATTGTCTTCTTTTCTTTACTCAAAGCAATGAAAATCAAAGTTTCCCCCACCTCGAGCACAAAGTCCAGAAGTGGTTTCCAAGTAGAAACAAAATTAATCATCTTCTTTTCTTTACACACACACACACACACACACACACACATTTAGAAAGCACTGCAGATTCCAAGAAGAATTCTGATAATTTCCAGACAGGATTCGAATTGGGTTTCCCTCACCTCGAGCACAAAGTCCAGAAGTGGTTTCCAAGTAGAAAACAAAATTAATCATCTTCTTTTCTTTACACACACACAAACATACACACACACTCAGAAGGCACTGCAGATTCCAAGAAGAATTCTGATAATTTACAGACAGGAGGATTCGAGTTGGGTTTCCCTCACCTCGAGCACAAAGTCCAGAAGTGGTTTCCAAATAGAAAACATAATTAATCATCTTCCTTCTCTTTACACACACACACACACAAACATACACACACACACACTCAGAAGGCGCTGCAGATTCCAAGAAGAATTCTGATAATTTCCAGACAGGATTTGAGTTGGGTTTCCCTCACCTCGAGCACAAAGTCCAGAAGTGGTTTCCAAGTAGAAAGAAAATGAATTGTCTTTCTTTTCTTTACTCAAAGCAATGAAAATCAAAGTTTCCCCCACCTCAAGCACAAAGTCCAGAAGTGGTTTCCAAGTAGAAACAAAATTAATCGTCTTCTTTTCTTTACACACACACAAACATACACACACACACTCAGAAGGCGCTGCAGATTCCAAGAAGAATTCTGATAATTTCCAGACAGGATTCAGAAGTGCAGGCTATCAGTGGCGGACCAGCAGGGAGATGAATAGTTGTCTGTCACACCTATTTGCCCCTGCCCCCTGCCTTTTATCCCCAGAACTAGGGTGGGGCTTCGCCAGCAGCAATGGCTTTTCCGTCCAGAGGACCAGCCCATAGATTTCCACTTCTCTCCTCTCCTCTGCCTTTTGTGCATCCAAGCGTCAGGCACTGGACCCAGCTGTTCCTCCTCTTCCTCATCAGCCACCTCCAGACCTGGGGGCTTTTGACTCTCCATATGAGGGCTGACGGATGGCCCAGGCTCCGCCTCCTTCTCTATCTCTGCCAGCTCCATTCCCTCTTCCCCCTCAGAGCTCCCAGGTTACCTTGATGCTGGTCCTGACTCCCACACCTCCTCCTCCTCTTCTGATTCAGCTGCCGGAGGAGCTGGTGGCCGACAGGCCACAAAACAGACTTACCTGAAATTTAGTTTTTAAAGAGGAGGGACTGAAAACGAGAAATATTGTTCTGGAGGACAGTCCGCCATATCTTTCTTGTCCCAGAAAACCATCCCTGCCTCTGACTTTTCAAGGACATTTCTGTGTCCCCAGAATATGTCAGCAAGCATTGGGCTGAAGATGCATTCTTTGGCTACCAATATCTCAATGGGGCGAGCCCCGGGATCATTCAGCGATGCTCAGAGATCCCAGCGAAATTCCCGGTGACACAAGAGATGGTGGTCGAATCGTTGGGACTGGAGACCACCCTGGAGAAAGAAGTGAAGGTAAGATGTGGAACACAGTAAAACACCCATAAGGCAAGACTGGCTCTACAAAGTACGACTAACTGAAGAAGCTTTGGTGGTCAACAGCTGATGGGAAGCCAACATCTCCCTCAGCTTCTGGAGGCTTCATAGATAGTCCACCTGATGTTCTCTCCACCCCTTTTCCCCATAAAACCCTGTGAGGTAGGGTGGGCTGAAAGAGAAGTCCCACCTAAAAGTCCTCCAGGGACCTTTTATGGTTGAGGAGGACCTTCCTAAACCAATCCAACGCCTTGACCTTCATGTCACTGCCCAGTGAGAAAACCAAGATGTTTTGGAGTTCCTGAGGTAGGAAATCCAAAATGGAGTCTTCAGATGACCCATTGGAGGTCCCCTTTCTATGGGGACAAAGTATCATCCAGAGTTGGTGACAGACTGATTTCGGTAGACCTAGCTCAAACTGAGCTCTTTCTCTCTGTAGCAACCAATGGATGAATCTTGGCTAGTCCCCAAGTTCTCTGGATTTAATTTGTTCTCCACAAAGATGGTGGATTGGGTCCATTGTAAATAGTCCCACATTTGAAGTGGGAAAGGGGAGGGAGGGAGGGAGGAAGGACAATGGAGGGAGGAAGAGGGAGGGGGGAGAAAGTGGGTGGGAGGGAGGAAAGAATGGACGGAAGAAGGAAGAGGGAAATGGGAAGAAGGAGGAAATGGGACGAAGGGAGGGAGGAAGGAAGGAAGGACAATGGAAGGAGGAAGAGGGACAGAGGAAGAGAGAGGAGGGAGGAAGTGGGAGGAAGGGAGGAAGGGAGGAAGGACAATGGAGGGAAGGAAGCAGGAGGGGAGGGAAGGAAGTCGGAGGGAGGGAGGGAGAAAGGGAGGAGGAGGGGAAGAAGGAAGGAAGGAAGGGACAAGGGAGAGAGGAAGAGGGAGGGGAAAGAAAGTGGGAGGAGGGGAGGAAGGATGGGGTAGGGAGGAAAGAAGTAGAATGGAGGGAGGAAGATGGAAGTGGGAGGGAGGAGGAAGTGGGAGGGAGGGAGGGAGGGAGGGAGGACAATGGAAGGAGGAAGAGGGACAGAGGAAGAGGGAGGGGGGAGGAAATGGGAGGAAGGAAGAGATGAGAAGGAGAAGAACAAAGCACTTGGAGAGGAATCCACATCTTCCATTTGGGAAACGTAGCGTGGTCTCTCCAGGCGCCTTCTGTCCCTGCCTTCCTTCCCCTCCATCTCAGCGCTCTGTTTATGACTCCTAGGAAGGCCGGATCTTCCTCCTTGACTGCCAGATCCTGGAGGGCATCCCAGCCACCACACTCAACGGGTCCCCCCAATACGTCTCGGCCCCTCTCTGCCTCCTCCACCTCAACCCCTGGGGAGAGATGATGCCCGTTGCAATTCAGGTAAAGCTCTCCACTTTTCCACCCCTTCTCTCAAGCTCCTGAGTTCCAGGGAAGAACTTCCATATTGTCGGCCTTTTTTTTGATAGTTGCTGGGTTTTGTTTTTTTTTCTGGCAAAAAACATCCTTAGGGGAGCTGGATTCACTTAACAACCGTTAAGATTCACTTTACCATTACCAAAAAAAAACGTGGTCGCAAGAATTGTATTTGCACAAAACTGGAAAGCAGACAGAATCCCGTTGGAAGGAGAAATTATAAAGAAAATTGTAGAATGTGCAGGAATGAATAGATTAACGTTGAGGATCAAAGATAAAGAGGAGTCGATGTATTTCAGGACAGGGGTAAATTTTACGATTGGTTAGAAAGGAAATATCAATAAGGGTATGGAGATAAAATAGACAGAGTATCGTTTGGAATAGGTATAGTAATTTGGGCAGGATATTCATCTTTATTGATGCTATCCTGCCCAAGAGCGATAATTGCAACTTTCTCCCATTTATCCAAATCCTGTTTTATTCTTTTAACCAGAAGTGTGTAGTTATCTTCTTTCAGAGCTGAGCATCTAGCTGATATCCATATCCCTAAATATTTAATTTTTTTTACTATTTGCAGGTCTAATTCCTTTTCTAATTCTTTCTTTTGCATTTCTGTTAAATTTTTGACTAACAATTTAGTTTTCCCTTTATTCAATTTAAGTCCGGCTACTTCGCCATACCTTCCTATTTCCTCCAAAATTCTCGGGCCCATTTCTAACGGTTTCTCTATGATGAATACTATGTCGTCCGCAAAAGCCTGTTTTTTTTTATACTCCTCTCCCCTAATCTTCAATCCTTTTTATTTCGCTGTTTTTCCTAATTCTATTTAATAGTGATTCTAGTGTCAAGATGAGTAGCAGAGGTGATAACGGGCATCCTTGTCTTACACCTTTCTTAAATTGAAATGAGTTAGGGTTAGGAAAAAGTACTTTTATTGTAAAAAGTACACAAATGATAAAATAGATACAATTATTCATCAAATAAGAAATTGAAATGAGAATAGAGGTAAATAGAAAATTAAAATTAAACGTTAAGGAAGACTCACAGTATTTCCAAATATGGGACAGATGGTATGAATGGATTAATCGATGGGGGGAAAAAAGTAAAGTCAAATACAGTAAGAAATTAAAGGTAACAAATATACACCGTCATTAAGAAATTAAGGTTAATGTATATATATATATTCACACATTTAAATATTATAGATAGATAATCCTGTTTGTTAGTTTTAGTATGTATGTAATTTAGAATTGTATTTTATTTTAGAGTTAAGAACGTTTTGTACAATTTTTATCTTTTTATATTGAATAAAGTTTGTTTTTAATTTTTTTTAAAAAAAAGAATAGCAAAAGGCACAAGGCTCACTACATTGGACAACCCCCTGGAGCATCTCAGACCCTATAAAAATCCATCCATTCCTAAGCCAAGGGGTCAGCCACCCCAGAAACATTGCTGTTGTCACGGAAGTTTCTGGAAACCAAATAAACCTTCTTTCCTTGCCAAAAAAAAAGAAAGAAAGAAAGAAAGAAAATCGGGGCTGCTTAGATACCATTCTAGATTGAACTGAAAAGGGAAACAAGAGAGAGGGGAAGGAGCAGAGAGAGAGGAAGGGAGAAGAGAGGAGAGGAGAGGAGAGGAGAGGGAGAGGGAGAAGAAAGGGGAAAGGAGAGGAAGAAAAGGGAGAGGAAAGAGGAGTAGGAGAGAAGGTTAGAAGGGGAAGAAGAGAGGAGAGGAGAGGGAGAGGGAGAAGAAGGGGAAAAGAGAGGAAGAAAAGGGAGGGAAAAGAGTAGGAGAGAAGGTTAGAAGGGGGAAGAAGAGAGGAGAGGAGAGGGAGAGAGAGAAGAAAGGGGAAAGGAGAGGAAGAAAAGGGAGGGAAAAGAGGAGTTGGAGAGAAGGTTAGAAGGGGGAAGAAGAGAGGAGTGGGGGAAAGGAAGGGGAAGTAGGAAAGAGAAGGAGAGGAAGAACGAAGAAAGTAGGAAGAGATAGAGGAAGGAAGAGAAGGGGAAGAGAAGAAGAAAAGTTGTGGCAAAAAATAAAGAAGGGTAAATGGTAAAAGAGCAGCCCCGAACAATTAAAAATTAAAAAATGAAAGTTAAAAGATAAGATGAATGAAAAGTGGTGGATAAACGACTGTGCATGTAAATATGTTTATGAGAAACAAAAATAAAAACTTTTTTTTGGGGAAAAAAAAAAAGAACGCAGCAAGTAGCACAGTGGTTAGAGGGCAGTATGGCAGGCTAATTCTGCCCACTGCCAGGAGTTCGAGCCTGACCGGCTCAAGGTTGACTCAGCCTTCCGTCCTTCCTTCTGAGGTCGGTAAAACGAGGACCCAGATTGTTGGGGGGGGGGCAAAAATGCTGACTCTGTAAACTGCTCAGAAAGACCATTTATATAGATAGATGACAGACAGACAGATCGACGGATCGATAAATGGATGGATGGATGGATGGATGGATGGATGGATGGATGGATGATAAATGGATGGATGGATGGATGGATGGATGGATGGATGGATGGATGGATGGATGGATGGATAAATGGATGGATGGATGGATGGATGGATGGATGGATGGATGGATAGATAAATGGATGGATGGAATGGATGGATGGATGGATGGATGGATGGATGGATGGATGGATGGATAGATGGATGAATGGATGGATGGATGGACGGACAGCAACAGAGGCAGACAGGCAGACAGAGGAGAGAGAGTGGGGAGGGAGGGAGGGAGGGGGGAGCGAGAGAGAGAGATTGGTTGATTGATTGACTGATTGATTGATTGATCAATCGATCGATCGATCGATTTTTATCTTCTCCAGAGGCTCCGTTGAAAAAACAGGAATCTCACGAGTTTCTTCTCCTTCCAGCTGACTCAGCAGCCTGGACCAAGGAGCCCCATTTTCCTCCCCACGGATCCAGAGTGGGACTGGGCCCTGGCCAAGTTTTGGGTTCGTAACAGCACGTTATACCTCCACGAGATCCTGGCTCACCTGCTTCATACCCACCTGTTGGTGGAGGTCTACCTTCTGGCCACCCTCCGGCAGCTTCCCAAGTGCCATCCGGTCCACAAGGTGTGTTGGTGTGGGGAGGGGAAATTAGACGTCAGAGAGACCTCCGGCCACGAGGCGGGGTGGGTGGGTTTCAACCCCATTGAATGTTCCGAGATGAAACAAAGATCTTGGCCACCGGGTGGCCCAGATGTCCCCTGGACTTTTCGAGTCACAGTTGTGTGTGACTTGTCACCTGCTCCAAAAACATCTCAAGAGGGTTGAGATGCCACCAATCCCTAGAAGTTGAGGAATTCCCAGGAGGGGTGCAGGAGGGAGGTCCTCCTCTCCGCTCGTCTCCCCTCAAGACCAGTGGGATTCAGAAATGTTAGCAACCGGTTCTCTGCCCAGTTGGCGTGGCCTACGTGGCCTCCTGCATTTTCACCCTCCCCAGGCTCCAGAGGCTTTTCTCGAGCCTCCGGGAGGGCGAAAACAGACTCCCTCAGACTCCGGAGGCCCTCTGGAGACCGGAAACAAGCCCATTTTTTGGACTTCTGCTACTTCCGGTAGGCCCGTTTTTTCACCCTTCCCAGGCTCCGGAGGCTTTCCTCGAGCCTCCAGGAGGGCAAAAACAGCCTTCCCTGGGCTTTGGAGGCCCTCCAGAGGCCGGAAACGGGCCTGTTTCCGGACTTCCGGAACTTCCGGTAGGCCTGTTTTTCGCCCTCCCAGAGCCTCCGCCCGAACCCTGCACTTACCTGGCATCCAAAATGGGCTGTGTGGAGACTCCTGGGAGGGGAGGGGGCAGGATAGGCGGGGTCAGCCAGTCCTTGGAACTACCACTTCGACAAACCAGGTTAAAATTAAACGTCCGGTTCGCCAGAAATGGTCCGAACCGGCTGAACCCCACCCTTGCTCAAGACGTCGTAGAGAGCGAGAAGAAGGAGAACATCTCCCAGGGACTCCATAATTTGCGTCGTGTCTTCTCTGTTTCCTTGTCCGCAGCTCTTAATCCCCCACTTCCGCTACACCCTGCATATCAACATCCTCGGCCGGACGCACCTCCTGGCTCCCGATGGGATGCTGGACAAGGTAATATGGACGGCTTCTTCTCACTCTTGATCAGCCTTGGAGGGGATTGTCCACACGATGGGCCTACATCTGGCCTGGGAAGGGAAGGGAAGGGAGGCGGTTCCAGGAATGTTATGTGGGGTGAGGAGAGCATTTTTGTGGGTTAGACTGTTCCAGGCATCAGAGGATGGGGGGGGGTCTGGCGAGTATGTGTAGGTCCAAAAATGGAAGATAGAAGGCGCTACTGAATGAGTAGAGCCCTTCTCCTTTTTTACACATGTCAGGTGTCCTCTTATGAAGGTGTACTACAAATGTGATTCTTTCTTTCTTTCTTTCTTTCTTTCTTTCTTTCTTTCTTCCGTCCTTCCTTCCTTCCTTCCCTTCCCTTCCTTTTCTTTTTTAATCTATTTTTCTTTGTTTGTTTTTTCTTTCTTTCCCCATTCCCTTTCCCTTATCCTCTTTCCTCTGCTTTTCTTTCTTTCTTTTCTTCCTTCCTTCTCTTCCTTCTTCCTTTTTCTTTCTTTCTCTCTCTATTTGTTATTTCTTTTTTTCCTCCCTCCCCCTTTCTTTCTTTCTTTCTTCTTTCCTCCCTCCCTCCCTCTCTTCCTTTCTACCTTCCTTTTTTCTTTGTTTTTCACTTTTTCTTTGTTTTTTCCTTCTTTCTCTTTCTTTCCTCCCTTCCTTCCTCCCTCCCTCCCTTTCTCTTTCTACCTTTCTTTTTTCTTTGTTTTTCACTTTTTCTTTCTTTTTTCCTTCTTTCTCTTTCTCTTTCTTTCCTCCCTTCCTTCCTTCCTCCCTCCCTTTCTCTTTCTATCTTTTTTCTTTGTTTTTCACTTTTTCTTTCTTTTATCCTTCTTTCTCTTTCTCTTTCTTTCCTCCCTCCCTCCCTTCTTTCTTTTTCTTTCTTTCTTTCTTTGTCATTTTTTCTTTTTGTTTTTCTCTTCTTTTTTTTCTTTCTCCATCCCTCCTCCCCGCTATCTTTCTCTTTCTCTCTCCCTCTCTTTCTTCTTTCTTTCTTTCTTTGTCTTTTTTTTTTTTCTCTTCTTTCTTTCTTTCTTTCTTTCTTTCTTTCTTTCTTTCTTTCTTTCTTTCTTTCTTTCTTTCTTTCTTTCTTTCTTTCTTTCTTTCTTTCTTTCTAGATGATAGGCACAGGTTTCCAGGGTCTGTCCCAGCTGGTGGCCAGAGGTCTTTCAAAGCTGACCTACTCTATGCTTTGCTTCCCTGATGACCTTCGGGACAGAGGCGTAGATGCGTTGCCCAACTACCACTACAAGGAGGACGGATTGAAGCTCTGGAGCGCTATAGAGAGGTGCGATCCCCAAAGAAGGCGATGGGCACCCCCTCCTCTAATTACAGAATGGCAGATACGGGGCCCCTTTCATTCAGTATCTGGTGTTTTTCAACCTCAGCGGTTTTAAAATGGCTGGACTTCAACTCCCAGAATTCCCCAACCATGATGGGAATCCTGGGAGTTGAAGTCCACACGTCTTAAACCTTGCTCAAGTTGGGGGGGGGGAAAAAAAAACTGCTATAGGGGGGAATTCGGGTCATCGCAACTTGCCTGCGAGATAATCTCTAGAGTGGAGATCTTAGCTTGGGCCGGGGGTGGGGGTTGGACTAGATGACCTACAGCCGTGATGGCAAACCTATGGCACGGGTGCCACAGGTGGCACGCGGCGCCATATCAGTGGGCACACGAGCATTGCCGTAGCTCAGCTCCAGAGTGCATGCGCGCACCGGCCAGCTGATTTTCGGGACTTCCGGGCCGACTGGAAGTCGGGAAATGGACCATTTCCGGCCTCCGGAGGGCCTCCGGGTGGGATGAGGAACTGGGGAAGGCTGTTTTTGCCCTCCCCAGGCTCCAAGAAAGACTCTGGAGCCTGGGAGGTGAAAAATGGGCCTACTGAGCCCCACTGTGCCATCGCATGCCAAAAGCGGGGGGAACACGGGGTGGGGGGTCACGCATGTATGTGGGGGGGTGCATTGAATTATGGGTGTGCACACACATGGGCAACCTCCCCGCCCTCCCCCCCGCTTTTGGCACGCGACGGCAAAGAGGTTAGCCATCACTGATCTACAGGGTCCCTTTCCAGATGGGCGGCTCTAAAAATGTTTTAATAAATGAATCAATAATATCGACGAGCCCAGGGGTGGGCTTCGAAACTTTTAGCAAGGGGTTCTCTGTCCAGTTGCTGGGTAGGCGTGGCCATGGTGGGCGTGGCCTACTCGGCCTCCTGCACCACAGTGGGGCGGGGGCATTTTTATCCTACTCGGGCTCCAGAGGCTTTCCTCTAGCCTCCGAGAGGGCGAAAACAGCCTCCCCAGGCTCCGGAGGCCCTCTGGAGGCCGGAAACGAGCCCGTTTCCCGCCTTCACGAATTTTCAGTAGGCCCGTTTTTCACCCTCCCCGAGCCTCCGCACGCACCCTGCACTTACCTGCATCTAAAATGGGCCGCGTGGGGAAGGGAGGGACAGGGTAGGCGGAGCCAGCCAGGAGTTGGATTTGAGAGTTCTCCAAACTGCACAGATTCTTAGCTAAAGGTTCTCCCGAATCCCTACGAACCCCCTGTCAGCACTCCAGTGCTGACATAAGGAGAAGAAGAAGACGCTTGACTTTTCACCTACTTATTTTCCCTGCAGATAATATCCCATAGGAGATGGGATGGGAGGGGGGACATTCCTGTGAGCTGAAGTAGTAGAGATGGGGAGAGAGTGACTTGGAAGATGGCCAATGAGACGCTGAGAATTGGGGAACGAAAGGGAAGGGTTTGGGGTTAGAGGGTCGGCTACGATGGAGTCGGGGACAGATCGTTGTACTCAATAAATGAAAGATTTCATCAAAGACTATTTGTTTGGAAATGCAATTTATTTGAGACGACATTGTAACCTGACACCCCCAGCAGCCCACCTCTGAACGAGCCCAAGAAAAAACACGAGGAATTTAAACATCGATCGGCATAAATAGAGCTCGGGTTTAATACTTAGCAGTCGGTAGAATCCTTCCGTAATGGCTTCTTAGCTTTCTTACAATCCGTTTGTTTATCAGAAGTTCCTGCTGCTCTACTGCTGTTTAGGCAAATGTGAGTTTTTTCTCTCTCGTATCCCGGGATTGACGATGGCCCTTCTCTTCCCCTGCCCGCCGTGCTTTGCAGTTTTGTGTCGGGAATGATCGGCCTTTATTACCCGAGCGACGGAGCTGTGGAGAAGGATATGGAGCTTCAGGCCTGGGTGGCGGAAATCTTTGAGAAATGTTTCCATCAGCGGCAATCCTCTGGTATAAAAATCCTTCACTCTTCAACCGCGACGCGGCTTTTCTGCGATCGAGGTGTGAAATCGAGAAAGGCCAGGGGCCATTTAAACCACCGGGTGTCCGGACCTGGTCCACTTGAAGACTTGCGGGCTTCGGCTCCCGGAATTCTCCCGATTCCCGCAAAGATTTACCAGAATTCAGCACCGATAGGACACGAACGAATGTGGTTGGACTATTTCATTCGATAGGATAGCTTTCTTAATAGAGAGTGGGAATGCGGTCGACGTAATATATCTTGACTTCGGCGAAGTGAAAAAAAAAAAAAAGAGCTGGCTGGGGAAAATTCTGGGAGTCGAAGTCCACCAGTCTTAAGGTTGGACAACCCAGTTTGAGGCCATGCCTCGACATGGTGCTGTCTTTCAGAATTATCTGGAAGTTTCAATTGGTTCAAAACCCATTAGTTGTATAGAGAGTGATGGGATTCAGCCGGTTCGGGACGGTTTAGGTGAACCGGTAGTTCAATTGCTGGCTGGCCCCACTCCTTCCTGCCCCACCCCTTCCAGGAGTCCCCATACGTCCCATTTTGGCTCCCAGGTAAATGCAGGGAGACCTCTTAGGCCAATGATGGCTAAGCTTTTTGCCGTCGTGTGCCAAAAGCACACCCCTGCATCTCACCAATATTTCTTTTTAATTCTTCCAGGTTTCCCTGCACACTTAGGAACTATTGCCGAATTAACCAAGTATCTGACTATGATGATCTTCACCTGTTCAGCCCGTCATGCCAGTGTCAACAATAGCCAGGTTTGGAGGGTCCTTTTTTCTTCTTCCTTAACTCTATGGGAGGATAGGGTGGGTTGAACCGTCCATCTGCCCCCTTTTCTCCAACCCAATGCTCCCCATGCTGGCTAGGTATGGTGGAAGGTAAACCAAGATATCTGGATGATATCAGCTCCTTAGATGACTCCATGCTTGGAGATGGAGCTCCTTAGATGTCTCCATGCTTGGAGATAATGCTCCTTAGATGTCTCCATGCTTGGAGATGAAGCTCCTTAGATGACTCCATGCTTGGAAATGAAGCTCCTTGGATGATTCCATTCTTGGAGATGAAGCTCCTTGGATGATTCCATGCTTGGAGATGAAGCTCCTTGGATGATTCCATGCTTGGAGATGAAGCTCCTTAGATGACTCCATGCTTGGAAGTGAAGCTCCTTAAATGTCTCCATGCTTGGAGATGAAGCTCCTTGGATGACTCCATGCTTGGAGATGGAACTCCTTGGATGATTCCATGTTTGGAGATGAAGCTCCTTACATGTTTCCATGCTTGGAGATGGAACTCCTTGGATGTCTCCATGCTTGGAGATGAAGCTCCTTAGATGTCTCCATGCTTGGACATGCTCCTTATATGACTCCATGCTTGGAGATAGAGCTACTTAGATATCTCCATGTTTGGAAATGACACTCCTTAGATGACCCCATGCTTGGAGATGGAGCTTCTTAGATGTCTCCATGCTTAGAGATGAAGCTCCTTAGATGACTCCATGCTTGGAGATAAAGCTCCTTAGATGTCTCCATATTTGGAAATGACACTCCTTAGATGACCCCATGCTTGGAGATGGAACTCTTTGGATGCCTCCATGCTTGAGAGATGGAGCTACAAGTTACACCTGTAAAAAGCATCCCAGATAGTCAATGGAGGTCTCCTTTCTAGACCTCCTCTAGAGAAGAATTCCAGAACTTCCAGAATGGCTCCTGGGTCTGAAGATCCTCTAACCTCCAACTTTCCTTCTTCTCCAGTTTGATTTTGGAGCCTGGATGCCCAACTACCCTTCCACCATGAGAAGGCCTCCCCCGGAATCCAAGGGCGGCGTGACTTTTGCCGACATCCTGGAGACCTTGCCAGATGTCAGCACAAGCTGCCAGACGTTGCTCATCTTGTGGCTTCTCAGCCGAGAGCGAGGAGACAAGGTAAGGTGATATTTTCGGCATCACAAGCCAAATTAGGGTGGGCCACGCGAGGGAAGGATTAAGGAGTGGTGCGGTGGCCTAGAGGTGGAGCTCTCGCCTCACAATCAGGAGGCTGTGAGTTCGATCCTAGGTAGAGGCAGATATTTCTCTCTCTCTCGGCACAATGAGAAATATATCTGCTGAACAAAACTCCTCATTGGCAACAGGCAGGGCATCCGGCCAGTAAGCATTCAGCTCCATTCAGTTGCCCAGACTCCACCCACAAGGGATTATGGAGCCATTAAAAGATGACGATGATGATGAGAAGGAAGGAAGGATTAAAGAATCTTTCATCTCTAATCCCAATCAGTAATTTAGCCACGCGGTTTTTAAATAACCCCACCACTGAGAATCGACAAATCAAGGTTGCGCTATAGAATGATTTTGTGGTTCTGGTTGGCTTGATTTAAAGTGACATGTCCAGGGGTGAGTTCTAAATATTTTTACTACCGGTTCTGTGGGCGTGGCTTATTTTGTGGGCGTGGCTTGGTGGGGGGTAATGTGACTGGGTGGGCGTGACCAACTTTTTTTTTATTTTTATTTTTACTTTTAAAAATGCTTTTAGAAGCCTCTGACGATCAGGCAACTCATCTGGGATCGCCAGAAGCTTTTAAAGGCATTTTTTTTTCCTACAACCTCTCCGATTGAAAAAATTCTTTTAAAAGCCTCTGACGATCCCAGCTGAGCTGCGGGATCATCAGAGGCTTTTTTTTTTTTTTTTACTTTTAAAAGCATTTTTTCGGCCAAAGAGGTTGTAGAAAAAATGCTTTTAAAAATAATAATTAAAAAAAGCCTCTGGTGGGCGGGGTAAGCATGCGGCAACCGGGCCGGGGACCAGTTCGGAGGCGTGGTCAGCACCTGTTATTACCGGTTCTCCGAACTACTACAAATTTTTACTACCGGTTCTTGCGAACCGGTGCAAACCGAGAGCAACCCACCACTGGAAATGTCGGTCCAGCCACTGTAGTTTATAAACCGTGGTTTACAAGCCCAAACAATCCTAGTTTAGTTAATAAACCATGTTTTAAGAGTGAAATCTGAATTCGGTCTTGGCTTCTCAGTCTTAGTTACCTTGTGGATTGTTGTGAAGATATACCAGGTTCTCAATTTACGACGATCTTATACAATCATTTGAAATTACCACAGAACACCCCCTCAAAAGGGACTTACGACCCAGTTCTGAAGTTCTGACGGTTTCCCCAAAGTCACATGATCGCATTTTTGGAGCTAAGCGACAATCCCATATTGCTGTCCAATGCACTAAATGATCAAAATTAATAATGTTTTTGCCAAAAAAACCCAGCATTTACTTCCAATGTTTGGCGAAAACACCCCAGAGCGAACAATGGGTTTGCTTAACGACCTCAGGTTCACTTAGCAACCTTTGTGATTCGCTCAATGACCACTGCAAAAAAAAGGTCGTAAAATCAGATCGGTCATGTGGTGACACTCACTTTATGACCGTCACAACGTAACACGCCTAATAGGCCGGTTTCATTACGGTCGTAAGTTGAGGACGACCTGTAAAAGGGAGACAGGGGAAATTTGCAGCTTAGATTCTTCAGAGGAAGGAAGAACATAGGACCCAAAGTTTCCGTTGCTAAGTGAAACAGCTAAGTGAATTTTGTCCCATTTTACAACCTTCCTTTCCACGGTTGTTCAGTCAATCGCCGCGGTTATTAAATGAGTCAGACGGTTGTTAAGTGAATCCGGCTTCCACACGGACTTTGCTCTTCAGAAGGTCGCAAAAGGGGAATCACGCGACCCCACTGCGACCGTCATAAGTATGAGTCAGCTGCCAAGTGCCTGAATTTCGACTCTTCGTGTGAAAAATGGTCCTAAGTCACTTTTTCCACTGCCGTCGTAACTTCAAACGGTCACTAAATGAATCGTTGTAAGTCGAGGACTACCCTTATGAATCACGTAGGGTACTTAACGTACAATGTGAGGTTCAGAGTTGCAGTCCATATATAGCTTTGTTTTTCCTTAAATTGGTTGGCGGTGGAGAGCTCCCATATTAGAATATTTGCAATTTTCTGAGAGGAAATCTATGTTCTAGTTTTGTGAGGGCCACCATCAGTGGTGGGATTCAACCGGTAGTGGCGAACAGGCCTGTCCACCTGCCTCGACGCTATGCCATCCTATTTAACCATATCTTTTAAGCCACTTGCATGCGAGCGCTCACATTTTTGGTGCGCGGCGAACCGGTGGTTAAAATTATATGAAACGCACTTCTGCCCACCATTGTTCCTGGATTCCCAGGTACACAACGTTCCCTTCAAGGGATCCTTCCTCAGATCCCAGGAGATCTCCATCCTGAGAGGATTTCCTCGATCATTCCAAAACACTTCCCTCGAGCGAATGGAGCCCCCAACTCCAGAACGTCTGCTTCAAAGGGGGACACGTCTCGTGGTCTCCAAACATCTCCCTTGGGCTGATGGTTCTCCTACCCCACGGGTCTGCAACCTTAAACACTCAAAAGAGCCATTTGGACCCGTTTCCCACAGAAAAGAAAACACCGGGAGCCATAAAACCTTCCCGTGCCTGACTATTTCTTGAACGGCTACAAAACTAGCATATGTTGTTGAATTAAACATTCTGTTTTCTTCTGAAACTTTTCTTTTCTTGGATTTATCCATGGTTGGCCTACCGGGGGTTGAAAAACTCAATAAATCGCGTGCCGACGGGTGTCGCACATTGGCGGTTGTGACACATATTTTGAGTGACAGGGAGCCGCAGCAGAGGGGTGAAAGAGCCACAGCTCCAGAGCCACAGTTTGCTGACTCAGTCTTCTCTGAAGAAGATGGTTTTCCAGATCTCCTAAAATGGGAACTCACCCGCGATGGGTTTCACATTTTGTTACTACCGGTTCGCACGCATGCCCAGTTCACCCGCATGCCTGCCTTCCGCGCATGCGCCCGGCTTCAAAAACATGCCTAAATCGGATGCATATTATATTTATATTATATGCCGCCCCCACCTCCACCTGTGATTTCTGCTACCAATTCGCTCGAACCGGCTGAATACCACCTCTGGATCTCACTATGGTTTTCTTTCTTCTCCTTCCAGAGATCACTGGGTTACTACCCTGAGGAACATTTCACCGAGGAAGGCCCAAAGAACGTCATCGCCGCTTTCCAAAAACATCTGGCCAAGATCTCCCAGGAAATTCAAGAGAGGAACCGACGCCTTCCGCTTCCGTACAATTATCTCAACCCTCCTGAGGTAGAGAACAGCATCTCCATCTAAGGACCCGGTCACTCATCCTGTTGTACAATGAGGTTCCTCAGCCCACCGAGTCATGGGGGAACCTTCCATGGAAAGACACCGGTCAAGAGTTAGGACACTTCGTATAGATTGAGCTGACCTCGGCCAACAACATCCAGAAACTTCTGGTTGTGGAACAGAGAAAACTGTGCTGAGGGTGTGAAAACGAGCGAGCTCTCACTGTGTGGTTATGCCAACACATCTGGACATTTTTAACCCTCCTCTTTGTGGACACTTCAGAGAGAAAGACTCAATCCTAACTCTGCCACCATCTGGGTCCTCACTAGAAGCTCGACTCGACTTTTCCCCACTGCTCCTTATTTTAGGACTTGACAGTGGGTCTGTCTGACTCGTAGTTATGACGGTCACAATGTCCCAGGGGTCCCGTGATCCCCTTTTGTGACCGTTTGACAAAGTCAATGCGGAAAGTCAGATTCACTTAACAACTCTGGCAAGAAAGGTCATAAAAGCGGGGCAAAAACTCAATTAACAACTATCTCGCTCAGCAACAGAAATGTGGGGGGGGGAGGCAATTGTGGTTGTAAGTTGAGGACCAGCTGTATCTTATCTTTTTCCTATCTTAGGAAAAATAAATAATATTAATCTAATCTGTAAGGGATCAAATATGTTAAGGAATATTAGCCCAATCTTATTTTCTTATTTTATTCAAAACAAAGAGGGATCATCATCATCTCCTTTTAATGACCCCCATAATCCCTTGCGGGGCGGAGTCTGGGCAACTGAATGGAGCTGAGTGTTTTACCAGCCGGATGCCTTTCCTGTCGCCAATGAGGAGTTTTGTTCAGCAGATACAATCTCAGTGTGCCCAGAGAGAGCAATATCTGCCTCTACTTAGGATCGAACTTACAGCCTCCTGATTGTGAGGCGAGAGCTCCACCTCTAGGCCACCGCACCACATTCAAAACAAAGAGAGATACCACTATTAAAACTCAAACAGTCCACATATTTTCATACTCCTACGCCTTGTTTAATGGCTGCAATCCTGAACTCACCTGTCTGGAATTGTTCTCATTGGTAAATCTACTTCTGAACCTGTGCCAGGAACTCAAACCATAAGGTTAATTAGATAAAGCTTGAATGATACGAAGCTATTGGTATTTTATTGGCAAAAAGTGTTGGTTTAATTAGGTGTAGGCGTAATTGACTTTAATTTCTTAAGGAAGTCAAGGACAGCCTGTATTTATAATTAAGCAACAAGGAACTTCAGAGGTGTGAAAATGTTGGAAATGTAATCAGACACCGGGCACATACTATCACACATGGTGGAAGTGTGTGAAAGCAAAGAATTTTTTTTCTGAATTTTTTATTTTATTTTATAAACAAGCAAACATACAATATATAATCAATCGTTCAGTGCTTCATCTGAGTACATCTTTTGTGTCTTCTTCTTCTTCTCCAATGTTAATCATTTCATAATATCGTCATTTCATTTATTGTAATATTTCTCCCACTTTTCTTACTTTGCTATTAATACATTTATCTTTTCTCTCCTCTTTCTTTTTCCCATGTTTCATTACAACATTACCCTATATATATTTCTTCCCTAACCAATGGTAAAATTCTCTCTCCTCTCTCTCTCTCTCTCTCTCTCTCTCTCTCTCTCTCTATCTATCTATCTATATATATATTATACTATAATATATGTTATAATATATCTTATAATATTCAGATTCCTCTCTTTCTTTAATTGTCAAAGTCAATCTATTCATTTCTGCACAATCCAATATTTTCTTAATTACTTCACCCTCTGTAGGAATTTTCTCTGCTTTCCATCTTTGTGCAAATACTATCCTCGCTGCAGTTATTATATGAATAATCATATATATATTTTCTTTACTAAATTTCTCCGGTAGGATACCCAGTAGGAACAGTTCAGGTTTTAAAGCAAAGAATTATTGGATAAAAATACATGGTTAGAAAAAAAAAACGTTAAAGCTGCACACAGATTATAAACCAGAAAGATATTTGTTAGGTATAATACCAGAAAAATAAAATAAGAGGAATTTGTATTTAATATGGCATGTTTTGACGGCAGCAAGGATTGTATTTGCACAGTATTGGAAAAAAATGAGGAAACACCGAGAGAAAGAGATGTAATTTAAAAAATATATATATATATATTCGATTGTGCAGAAATGGATAGACTGACATTAAGGATAAAAGAAAAGGAAGATGCATTTTCAAACATGGGATTTGTTTTATGCATGGTTGGATAATAGAGGAAGAAATGAGGAGCCAGGAAAATGTTATTATGGAAGCATTCAACCAGTGGTGGAATGCTGCTGGATTAACAACCAGTTTGGTGAGCACGCGCCTAAGGCGCTTGTGCGCAGCGCCGAAAATGGAGCATTTAAAAGCTCAGCTGTTTACCTTCCAAGTCAGCAACGGTAAGTAGAACAGCGATGCGGGGGGAATCAGCTGCGCCGCGCGATTGAGATGAGCTACAAAGCAGGAAATAATGGACAGGATAGAGTGGGGGCGGGTGGGTGGGCGCTGTTCGTCGGCGCTACCAGTTCACCCGAACTGGCTGCATTCGAACCAGACAATACACTTCACAAAGCACTTATGTATGTTAAATGAAAATGCACAAACTATTAAAAAAAGAAAGAGGCGTGAAAGCAGGATGGGTTACAGAGAAACCCGAAGACAAAAATAAGTCAGCTGCCCTGGCATCATGCAAACCGCCATACAGGTACTTCTCGACTTACGACCGTTCGTTTAATGACCATTTAAAAGTTACGAGCCTGAAAAAAAAGGGAATTGTGATCGTTTTTCACACTTACGACTGGGGCAGCCTTCCCGTGATCGCAGGATCAAAATTTAAACGCTTGGCGACTGACTCCTCGATTGTCGTCGTAAGTCGAGGACTACCTGTATTTTCCTTACAGTTAATCAACTTTTGCTTGCATCTTTCTAAAAACACCCAAAGGTGTTTTTTTTTTTCTTTTCAAGAGGCAACTGGACTTTTTTCTTTGAAGAGGTTTCGCTTCTCATCTGAGAAGCATCTTCAGTTCTTTAGAGCAAAGGAGATCAGTTCTTCAGAACTGAAGAAGCTTCTCGGATGAGAAGTGAAACTTCTTCATATTTTTCTAACACATTTTTGTATCCATTAACACAATATAGAAACTTGAAGCTCCCTGCCTGCTAATATTCTGATGGCTTAAATTTTTCCAGAGAAAGGAGCCATTTAAGTCTTCCGTTCAAATGCTGACACTGTTCTCTATCTCAGCGGGATCGAGGTATTTGTAAGCAACGAGAAGAGGCGCATCCTGTTTGATGAGACACTTCTTGGCGAGGGATTTATTCCTCTTCTTAATTTCCTTGGAAATCTTGCCCAGGTGGGCTTGGAAGGCTGCAATGAGGTTGATGGGGTCCCTCTCGGTGAAATGATGGTGGGGGTATTGACCCAAGGGAATCTGTAGGAGGAGGGAGGGAGGGAGAAGAAGGAGAAGGAGAGGGGAAAGGAGAAGAAGAAGGGATGGGGGCGGAGAAGGAAGACGAAAAAGAAAAGAAGGAACGGAGGGGGAAGAGATGGAGAAGGAAAAGGAGATGGGATGGGATGGAGGGGGAGGAAGGAGGAGAAGACGAGGAGGAAGGAGGAAGGAGAAGTAGTAGAAGGGAAGGGAAAAAGAGAAGAAGAAGGGATGGGGAGGAGAAGGAAGATGAAAAAGAAACAAAGGGATGGAGGAGATGGAAAAGGAAAAGGAGATGGGATGGAGGAGGAGAAAAAGGAAGAGGAGGAGGAGGAAGGAGGAGAAGGGAAGGGAAAAGGAGAAGAAGAAGGGATGGGGTGGAGAAGGAAGACGAAAAAGAAAAGATGAAGGGATGGAGATAGAAGAGATGGAGAAGGAAAAGGAGATGGGATGGAGGAGGAGGAGAAAGAAGAAGGAGGGAGGAGGAGGAGGAGGAGAAGGGGAAGGGAAGGGAAAAGGAGAAGAAGGGAGGGGAGGAGAAGGAAGATGAAGAAGAAAAGAAGGGACAGAGGGAGGAAATGGAGAAGGAAAAGGAGATGGGATGGAAGAGGAGGAGCAAAAGGAGGAGGAGAAAGAAAAAGAAAAGGGATGGAGAAGGAAGAAAAGAAGGAAGAAGGAATGGAGGAAAAGGAAAAGGAGAAGAAGTAGTTTGAGAAGGAAATGGAGATGGAATGGAGAAGGAGGAGGAGAGAAAAAGAAAAGAAGAAGGGATGGAGGAGAAGGAAAAGGAGATGGGTGGAGGAGGAGGAGAAAAAGAAGAAGGGGAAGAAGGAGATGGGATGGAGGAAGGAAGCAGGAAGAGGAAGAAAGGAGAAGGGAGAAGACAGGTGAGGAGGGGAAGGAGGAAAAGAAATGGAGAAGATAGACAAGGAGGCGGAAAAGTAGACAGGGAAGGAGGAGAAGATAGTTGAGGAGGAGAAGGGTAAGAAGGGATGGAGAAGACAGAGCCAGGGAAGGAAAAGGGACAGACAAGGAGGAGAAAGAGGAGGAGAAATTATTCACTTAATGAAGTTCTTTCCTTGAACCACCAAAAATGCCATTCAGGCCATGGAGACCACCTCCAGACTAAAGTATCTCAGACAGGTGGTTCCCCAACCTCCCATGATCAATCTAATCTTATCATTCAGTCATTTTTTCCCCCAGATATTCCTATAACCTCGATATTCCATATAGTCCATATTCTGGGATGAACCTTCAAGACAGCTATCCTACTTCCCCTCCCAACATCCCCTCCCCCATGTCTTCCTAACCCAACTCCACGTTACATATTAACGGGCCTTATCACTGGGTCATCTACTTGTGAAGGATCTCCACTACCTTTCCTTTGCCCGTCGTTGATAGCAGGGGTCACCAAACCTGGCCACTTTGAGACGTGTGGACTTCAACTCCCAGAATCCCACAGATCATCTATAAAGACGTCCGGGCGGGTGGGCGGAGCCTCCCACTGGTTTTACTACCGGTTCGCAAGAACCGGACCGAACCGGGGCCAACACACCACTGCAACGCTTCTTCCAAGTTGCTACAGTATGTAAAGTCCACCTCTGGTGGTGAGCAATCTTGAAGACCAGTCAACCTTGCAAACTAGAAGGTCGACAAGTCCGGGAGTAAAACTCCAGATTCCTCAGAATTCATTTTGAGGTGTGTTCCTAAAATACGTCCTTGCTTATAGATGAGAACCCAACCATCACATCAGATAGGGGTTCCCATTTATCCTATTCCTGATTGGTCATGCTTAGCGTCTGTTGTGGAACTGTCAGCGGCCTGTGCAGCTAGTAGCTGATTCAGACAGCGAGGAGGCTGGTGTGGTGCTGCGCCAGCAGCCTGTGCAGCTGGCACTCGAGTCGGACAGTGAGGAGGCTGGAGAAGATGTGGTGCCAGAGGCGGGGATTCAGTCAGGACCTTCAGAACCTCCAGAAGCTCCCTTAAGTGAAGAGGAAGAAGAGGAGGAGCCTCTTCTCGATGCACGGGCGCACAGAGCTGCCAAAAGGCAGGAGTGGCTCCTCAGGAGGAGGTCTCCTCGAGAGTAAGGCTTGGGGCTAATTGGCCACTCCCTTAGCCTATTTAAGGAGGAATGTCAACTGAAGCAATTTGCAGGGAACAACTTTGTTCACATACCTTCGTGTCTTGTCTTGCTTATCGTATCAGCTTCCTGCAAATTGCTTCTGGGCATTCTGCCAACCACAGTAAGCTTTCAGTTATTATTCTTTGAATTCTTGGCGGCTGTTAATGCAGTTAATTAACAGCCGTTGTTGTAAAAAAAAAACTGGTTTATTTAGTAAACTAAGAACTTTGAACGGACTTTGTGTGGGCTGCGTTCTTTGGGGTCCGTAGCTTGGGCAGAACAGCATCAGGCATCTCACCTGATCGGACAGGCACCAAACGTTGAGTGAGATAGATGGTTGGGTCCACCAGCTTCATAGCTGCCGTGAGTGTTTAGTCTTTATCTTGTCATTGTCATTCAAGTAGACCCTAGATCTTCTTAGAAGACCTTCTTAGTAGTCTTCTTAGAGGACCATTGCATGGCCTACCTGGAAGCATCTCCCTAAGGGTCCTTAGCAAGGTGTTCCACCACTCTGGACGTCAACCCCATGTCCATGAAGCACCAGGGAGGTGGAGCCTTACCGTTTTCAGACCAACTTGAGATCTTCTGGAGATCTTGAGATCAGTAGGGTAGATGCACTCACCATGTCTCCTGTCGGGGCACTGAGAAGCCACAGAGTGCTGAGGATGCTGGCCGTCGTGTTGATCTCTGGAATGGTCTCCTTGTAGCTCTTCAGACTCGCCTGGCCTTTGGTTTTCGGGGGAGGCTCCCTCATGGAGGAAGGGAAGTTCGGCATCCAGGCGCCGACTTCAAACTGCAATCCAACAATCCAAGAATCAACCCACTGTCGCAACTTCACTCGCTAAATCAGGGACGTCAAAGTCAAGGCCCATGCGCGGGATCCAGAATGCTTAGACCTGGCCCGCGGGGACCACCCTGGAAACAATGAAGGACTGATCCGCGGGGCCTCTGCCAGCGAAAACGGCGCTCAGGAGGACCACGCGTAGCCCTTCCCTGGCTTCGTTTTTGGCCGCAACGGCCTCGTGAAGTCCTCTGCTACCATCCCAGCGCCCCAGCACCCCAGGGTCCTGTCCCCCCCCGGCTCCATTTTTGCCGGCAGAGGGCTAGCGAAACAAACTAAAAGCGAAACAAAAGGAAAAATGTTTCCTCTTTTGGCATTGGACCGTGGAAGAAGGGGCAGGAAAGGAGAAAGGGAAAGTGGAAAGGCAAAGAAAAAGAAGGGAAGATGGGAAGAGAGCAAAGAAGGAAAGAGGAGAAGGAAGAGGGAAGGAAAAAGAAGAAAAGGAAGGAAGGAAGGAAGGAAGGAAGGAAGGAAGGAAGGAAGGAAGGAAGGAAGGAAGGAAGGATGCAAAGGAAGGAAAGAAGGAAGGAAGGATGCAAAGGAAGGATGGGAAGGAAGGAAGGATGGGAAGGAAGGAAGGATGCAAAGGAAGGAAGGAAGGATGCAAAGGAAGGAAAAAAGGAAGGAAGGATGCAAAGGAAGGAAAGGAGGAAGGAAGGATGCAAAGGAAGGAAGGAAGGAAGGATGCAAAGGAAGAAGGATGCAAAGGAAGGAAAGGAAGGAAGGAAGGAAGGATGCAAAGGAAGGAAGTATGCAAAGGAAGGAAAGAAGGAAGGAAGGATGCAAAGGAAGGAAGGAAGGAAGGATGCAAAGGAAGGAAGGAAGGAAGGATGCAAAGGAAGGAAGGATGCAAAGGAAGGAAGGATGCAAAGGAAGGAAAGAAGGAAGGAAGGATGCAAAGGAAGGAAAGAAGGAAGGATGCAAAGGAAGGAAGGAAGGAAGGATGCAAAGGAAGGAAGGAAGGAAGGATGCAAAGGAAGGAAAGAAGGAAGGAAGGATAAAGGAAGGAAGGAAGGATGCGAAGGAAGGAAGGATGCGAAGAAAGGAAGGAAGGATGCGAAGGAAGGAAGGAAGGAAGGATGCAAAGGAAGGAAAGAAGGAAGGAAGGATGCAAAGGAAGGAAGGAAGGATGCGAAGGAAGGAAGGATGCGAAGAAAGGAAGGAAGGATGCAAAGGAAGGAAAGAAGGAAGGAAGGATGCAAAGGAAGGAAAGAAGGAAGGATGCAAAGGAAGGAAGGAAGGATGCGAAGGAAGGATGCAAAGGAAGGAAGGAAGGAAGGATGCAAAGGAAGGAAGGAAAGGATGCAAAGGAAGGAAGGAAGGAAGGATGCAAAGGAAGGAAGGATGCAAAGGAAGGAAAGAAGGAAGGAAGGATGCAAAGGAAGGAAGGATGCAAAGGAAGGAAGGAAGGAGGGAGGGATGCAAAGGAAGGAAGGAAGGATGCAAAGGAAGGAAGGATGCAAAGGAAGGAAGGATGCAAAGGAAGGAAGGAAGGAAGGAAGGAAGGAAGGAAGGAAGGAAGGAAGGAAGGAAAGAAGGAAGGAAGGAAGGTTGCAAATGAAGGAAGGAAGGTTATAATGAGAGGGAGGGACGGTCTGAGGGAAGTTCTGCCTTAGCACTTGGCCACCACAGGTGCCCCCAACACGAGTGATGTCAAGCTGGCCACGCCCCCCCCCCCCCCCCCCCCCGAGGTCAAACACAACCCTGATGTTGCCCTCAATGAACTCGAAAGCATCGGAAGGCAGGACAAGAAACAATGGACGGAAACTAATCACGGAGAGAAGCAACCTAGCAGGAGAAATTTCCCGACAGTGAGAACAATTCACCAGTGGAACAGCTTGCCACTAGAAGTCGTGGGTGCTCCCTCATTGGAGGTTTTTAAGAAGAGGCTGGACAGCCAGCTGTCCGAAAATGGTATAGGTTCTCCTACTTGAGCAAGGAGCTAGATTAGAAGACCTTCAAGGGCTCCTTCCAGCTCTGTTCTGATTGATTGGGTTTAGCAACTCGCCAAGACATGCGCTCTTACTACCTGTCCACTGTTCACAGCAGCATGCTGGGCTGAGCAGGTATAAATCACCATGGTCAGGAATTTTTTGACTTCTTTCACGGTGCTGAATGAAGAAGGGATGCCTGGGAAAAGAAAAAGAGAAATACGCATCAATTATCAATAACAATCGTCCAGTAAGGTATATAAGTGTCAACTCGCAAAGCATTTCTAGTCTGCTCCCGAGTTGCCATGGGCAGCAAGCGGGGAGCACATTCCACGCATACCTTCTTCCCCACATTGGATCTCAGGTTACCAAAGCCGGTTTGAGAGGCGTGTTTCTACAGCCCGTGAGAGTGCCTTGTTGGAGAATGTGATTGATGACACAGACTGAGAGAAGGGGGGAAACTGGGTTAAAGTTGAGCCGTAAATTACATGCGGCAGAGTAGACCTTATTGGAGTAGATGCCGACATGTTGCTCCTAATAAATAACTGGATTTGTTTTGAAACTTGGCTCGAGACTCATGAGTTAATTAGAGCATCTGTTGGAACCTTGACAATAAGGACAGCTAAAGCAGGTGAAATGTTAAACAAACGCTGCAACTACTCAGAACTTATAGTGGCACCAGAAGCTCAATGAGAAATGCCTGGTCCTTACCGGAAGTTTTCCGAGCCAGGAAACCTTTCTGAAAAATCTCGTAGATCCAGCCCTGCAGCTCACGATCTTCCTGGACGGAACAATCCGCCTTATAATATAAATCAACCATGCTGGAGACGAAGCTGAGAAGGAGAACCAAAGAGGAAACATGAATTCTGCAGGAATGATTTAAGATCCTCCAATCTTGGTGTCAGGGTTAGGGTTGGGAATGAACCCCGTAATTACCAAAAGATATGGTCATGGTCATTGCCTAAGGAACAACAAGATAAATGAAAGAAGCGTATTCTCTCTCCTTGTGTCCGGTATTCTTTGCAGAATCCTCTGTGTGTTGTGTTTTGCTCCTGGTTGTCTCCTAATAGCAGTCACACACTCTGACACCTGGCCTGCAGAAGATCAAGGATTCCAAAATCTTTCAACATCCAACCCAATAACAATAGGGGAGGTCCTTAGTGCTCTCTGAACCTTGGTTGTTGTTTTTTTCCAGATGTTTCGTGACCCGAGTAGATAACATCATCAGTGATAGAAGGGAGTGGGGTTTGCACAGTAGAGAAGAGGAGGAGGAGAAGGAGGAGAAGGAGAAGAGAAGGAGAAGGAGAAGGAGAAGGAGAAGGAGAAGGAGAAGGAGAAGGAGGAGAAGGACAAGGACAAGGACAAGGACAAGGACAGGACAAAGAGAAGGAGAAGGAGAAGGAGAAGGAGAAGGACAAGGACAAGGACAAGGACAAGGACAAGGACAAGGACACAGGACAAGGACAGGACAAAGAGAAGGAGAAGGAGAAGGAGAAGGAGAAGGAGAAGGAGAAGGAGAAGGAGAAGGAGAAGGACAAGGACAAGGACAAGGACAAGGACAAGGACAAGGACAAGGACAGGACAAAGAGAAGGAGAAGGAGAAGGACAAAGACAAGGACAAGGACAAGGACAAGGACAAGGACAAGGACAAGGACAGGACAAAGAGAAGGAGAAGGAGAAGGAGAAGGAGAAGGAGAAGAAGAAGGACAAGGACAAGGACAAGGACAAGGACAAGGACAAGGACAAGGACAGGACAAAGAGAAGGAGAAGGAGAAGGAGAAGGAGAAGGAGAAGGAGAAGGAGAAGGAGAAGGACAAGGACAAGGACAAGGACAAGGACAAGGACAAGGACAAGGACAAGGACAAGGACAAGGAGAAGGAAGGGTAGGTAGACTGTGGGGTCCTTGGTGTTCTCTGAGCTTGGTTCTTTTCTGGAAGATGTTTTATGATGGAACTAGGGAACGTCATCAGTGCTAGAAGGAAATGTGGCTTGTGGACAGGAGTAATGAGAAGGGGAGGGGGAGGAGGAGGAGCAGGAGGAGCAGGAGGAGGAGTTTCATCTCCTCACCAGCAATCAACATTCAGATAATCAGAGTTTAATGCCAAGATTAATTCTACGCCAACGATCAAGCAGTAGACAATATCCCAATAATGGCGTTACCTTCTTGGGTCATGAAACATCTGCAAGAAAACAACCAAGCTCAGAGAGCACATAAGGCTCTACAATCCTCCAGCTGCTATCCTCCTCCTCCTCTTCCTCCTCCTCCTCCTCCTCCTCTTTTTCTTCCTTTTCCTCTTCCTTTTCTCTTTCTCCTCTACTCTGCAAACCCCATTCCCTTCTAACATTGATGATGTTACCTAGTTGGGTCATGAAACATTTGCAAGGAAATAACCACACTAAGAGAGCACCACAAAGCCATGTGGGTAGGTGAGGGGAGGACAAGGTTCAAACCCAGAGGAGATCAGAGACACGGGTGAAAGAAACCTCCAAGTGAAGCACCTCAACAGTAGCCTTCAGACAACAAGCTTCAGTTCTCAGAGCTGCAAGGCTCCTGAGGGATAGACCTGATAGACCAGGGAAAGTGCCCAACCAGAATCCCCCTTGACTGACCTCTCTACAGCTGCCCAGATCTTCAGGCCATCATCTCTGTAGTGATAGTTGGGCAAGGAAGACATTCCACGAGCCTTGATGTCTTCTGGGAGACAAAGGGAGGAATATGTGGTGGACGCCATCCCCTTCTGCAGCAGCTGGACCAAACCCTCAAACCCAGTGCCAGTTGCCTAGAAGGAGAACAAGAACAAGAAGCCCAGTTGTCAGATGGACATCTTATGGACACCATGAAGACATCAAACCCAATGCCAGTTGCCTAGAAGGAGAAGAGGAAGAGGGAACCCCAGTTGTCAGAAGGACATCCCATGGACATCATGAAGACCTCAAACCCAATGCCAGTTACCTAGAAGGAGAAAGAGAAGAGGAAGAGGGAACCCCAGTTGTCAGGTGGACATCCCATGGACATCCCCGAAAACCCATCTCCTCTGATGAACTGAAGACCACCTTACCCTATCGAAGACTCCGCCTTTGGCAGCCAGAAGAGTCCTTGCCAAGGTGTTGATGTGAAGAGTGAAGCGGGTGTGAGGGATCAGAAGCTACCAAAGAAAAGATCAAGAGAAGAAGCATTTTCTTCACTAATATCTTCTCATCTTCTCAAAGCCATACCAACCCCTGAAAATTATGGGATGGCCTGGAAGGTGGCTCGAATGAACCAAGAGTTGGACCAAAGCCCATGATTTCTACCAGGGTTGAAAAATGAAGGCCTACCTTGTAGAGAGGATGGCACATCGGAAGTTGGCGGAGAGTCGCCATGGTGAACACTTCCGCCAGCAGGTGCGTCCGGAGCAGGTGGGTGAGCGCCTGGTGGATGTGGAAGTCCGAATTGCGCACCCAGGTCTTGGCCAGGATCCAGTCCCATTCCGGATCGTTGGGCAGGAAGATGGGAGATGGGGAAGACTGGCTGAGCTGGGAAAAAGAACAGAAGTCAATCTATTAGGTGGATGGATGGATGGATGGATGGATGGATGGATGGATGGATGGATGGATGGATGGATGATTGAATGACTGGATGGATGATTGGATGGATGGATGGATAGATGGATGGATGGATGGATGGACAGATGGATTACTGAATGACTGGATGAATGGATGGATGGATGGATGGATGATTGAATGACTGGATGGATGGCTGGATGGATGGATGGAGGGAGGGAGGGATGGATGGATGGATGGATGGATGGATGGATGGATGGATGGATGGATGCTTGAATGACTGGATGGATGGATGGATGGACAGATGGATGATTGAATGACCGGATGGATGGATGGATGGATGGATGGACGGACGGATGGATGGATGATGGATGGATGGATGGATGGATGGATGGATGGATGGATGAGAGACATCTTACCTGGATGGCCAGCGGCATGAGATGTCCTTCAGAGGACAAGTGTAGCAAACACAATGGAGCTGCTATATGCTGAAGACGTCCATTATTCAACCCTGGAGAAAGGCCTTCCAAGATGTGGTAGTCCACCAGGAAGATCCTTTGCTTCTGGGGAGAACCAAGAAGAAGAAACTCAGACATGGAAGTGAGGAGAAGTAGGGCGATCAAATGGCTTCCTTTCCAGGAAGACTGTGTGTGTGTGTGTGTGTGTGTGTGTGTGTGTGTGTGTGTGTGTGCGTGTGTGTCTCCCAAGAAGGTCCCCTGAAAGCATGAAGTACCACCGTCCTTACATTCAGCTCCTCCTTCAGGGTGGTGGAGTCACCCAGCGATCTGGCGACCATCTCTTGGGTCACGGGAAAATTAGACGGGATCTTGGTACATAACCGGATGACGGTTGGGTTCAGCCCATTTAAGAATTGATAGGCGAAGAATTCGTCCCTCTTCCAGTATTCCGTGACATGTTCTGGAACAAGGAATACAGAGTAACTGAGTTGGGAGGGACCTCAGAGGACTTCATCCAACCCTCAGCTCATGCAGGAAACCCTTTTGCAATTCAGACAAATGGTTGTCCAAACTTTTTTGGGATAACCTCCAGTGATGCCACCACATCCACAACATCTGGTAGCAAGCTTCTTCCACTGATTAATTGTCCTCACTGTCAGGAAGTTTCTCCTTAATTCCAGGTTGCTTCTCTCCTTGATTTGTTTCCATCCGTTGCTTCTTCTCCTACCTTCAGGTGCTTTGGAGAAAAGTTGACCCCTTCTGCTCTGTGACAGACCCTCAAATATTGGAAGGCCGCCGTCATGTCCCCCCTAGTCCTTCTCTTCATTAGAAATTAGCAGAAGGAGGATCTGTCAGGTGCCACTTCTAATGAGCATCCCGTTGTCATTACCTGACATCTCGGTCTTGTTAAACCAGAAAACCTTCTTGATGTCCTCCAGGTTCTCCCAGGATTCTTGGCGATCCGAATAGCCCTTCAGCTTGAGTTCCACCGCTCTGAGACAAATAGAAAAGCAGGATTGGGTAGGTCAGACATGCCTCCTACGGTACCTGATGAGGTTACCTACTCCTACTCCTCCTCCTCTTCCCCTTCCTCCTCCTCCTCCTTGCAAACCCCCCTCGCTCTACTACTGGTGATGTTTCCTAATCGGGTCCTGAAACGTCTACAGGGAAACCACTAAGTTCAAAGATCACCAAGGCCCCTGGAGTCCTCCTCCTCCCCCCTCCTCCTCCTTGCAAACCCCACTCCCTTCTAGCACTGATGACATTCCCTAGTTGGGTCAAGAAGCGTCTGTAGGGAATGTCCCAAGTTCAGAGACCACCAAGTACCACCACAGCTCAACCCTGAGCTACAAATATTCTCTTCTATTGATACCCCTAAAGACCGTCCTTGCTTAGACAGACCAAGGTTTTTCGGTGCCCCCGAACCAATGGTGGGTTCCTCCCGGTTCGGCCCGGTTCGGCCGAGCCGGTAGCGGTGACAATATGACGTCACCAAACCAGTCTCTTTGTTCGGGAGCTGGGCCCACCGCCCCCCATCCGCATTATTCTTACCTTTTATTTGGTCCCACCCCCAATCTATTGCTGCCTCCCGAGTCCCAGCTGATCGGCTAGAAGGAAAACAACTGTTTAAACTCTTGCCGCAGGGCTTCAAAGGGCCGCCCTACAGCTGATCAGTGTTAAAAGCCAGTGTGGTGGTAGACCGGTGCCTCCAAAAACGAATGAGTAGACCGGTGCCTCCAAAAACGAATGAGTAGACCGGTGCCTCCAAAAACGAATGAGTAGACAGGTGCCTCCAAAAACGAATGAATAGACCGGTGCCTCCAAAAACGAATGAATAGACCGGTGCCTCCAAAAACGAATGAGTAGACCGGTGCCTCCAAAAACGAATGAGTAGACCGGTGCCTCCAAAAACGAATGAGTAGACAGGTGCCTCCAAAAACGAATGAATAGACCGGTGCCTCCAAAAATAAATGAGTAGACTGGTGCCTCCAAAAACGAATGAGTAGACCGGTGCCTCCAAAAACTAATGAGTAGACCAGTACAGCTCTGCAAGCAATTAAAAGCCTGGTAGACCAGTACCTCTGCTAAATCCTAAAGAATTGTCACATGACCATCAAGCCATGCCCACAAAATAAGCCACGCCCAACCAGACAAGACAATCAGTTTAAAATACCTTCATTTCAAAATAAAGTTCGTTAGACATCGAAAACGAGCGAGGTTCTTTTGAATCCTTCACGAAACCTACTTGCGTTTTGCGTTTTCCTGGAAGATGGCCGCTTTGATGCAGGAAAATTTGACGTTGGTCTCCAGCTCCTCCATCGTCTTGACGTCCAGGCAGTACGGCACTCCCGGAGCAAACTCCTTCCACCTAAAGCAGCCAATGTTAGTTGTTATGGAGAACCAGAGGATTCCAAGGAGTAGGGCAAAAAATCAAGATGGTGGCCATCTTGCCCTGCCCCGTTTTAACATACAACCTTTGATGGCACAATTAAGGTGTTTTGAGCGGTGTTATTTGGACGCCTCTCTGTAGAACTAACATTTCACAAGAGATTTTTCTGAGATTATGTTGTGCAGCCTGCGGAGCTGACAGCGGAGTCAGACAGTGAGGAGGCTGGGGAGGAACATGGGCCAGTCCTGGAGTCTGGGGAAGGCCCAGACGAGGGCTCTGTGTCGGAGGCAGAGATGGGGCCAGGGCCATCTGGGAGTGATGCACAGACTCCGGAGCCCCCAGAGTCGGACAGCAGAGAGGCAGAGGAACAGGAGGAGCCTGTTCCTAGTGCGTGCATGCGCGCAGCTGCCAAAAGGCAAGAGCGGCTAAAGCAAAAGGGACGACTCAGGAGTAAAACCAGGTGATGATTGGCCCCTCCCATAAGGCTTAAAAGAGAAACAAAGGCACTTGGGCCTTTTTGCAGGAAAGCAACATTGCTAACTCTGTTTCCAGTCGGCATCTCTTGTTTGTTTCTGAACTTCGTGGGGCTTTGCCAAGTAAGGCCTTCGGCAGGGTGTCAAAGAAGATGAAGGTTGGTGATTATCCCGAAGGACTTCTTCCGAAGGACTTCTTTGGCAACTAATTGGGACTCAGCTGGGAATGAAAGTAATTCTCAGCTGTTACAATAAAATAGGTGTCAGCACGTCAAGATGCATTTATCCTAGTGCTGACATAAGAAGGAGAATGCAGGCGTCTGCAACGGGACGGTTGCCTTTCACCTACTTATTTCCCCTGGAGATAATGTCCCCTAGGAGATGGATGGGAGGGGGGAAATTCTTTGAATTGGAGCAGTAGATTAGGGGTGAATGATTGGGAAGATGGCCAATGAATGCAGAGGAGTGGGGGAAGGAAGAGGAGGGGTTTTGGGGCAGCACGTCAGTGCCGGCTGCAACGAGTCAGTGTAAAAAGTACTGTGCTTAATAAAACGGAAATTTGTTTTATAAAAGACTTTGTTTGCAATGCAATTTATTTGAAGACAGCCTGAAAACCTGACAATAGGTTTTTGGGGGGAACTAATTGTGCATTGTAATGAGGAAGCCTAGGTCACAACAGATTATTTTCCCATTTCTTTCCTTAAAAAGTTCTTTTTCGGAACACAACAGAACACAAGGACAGATTTTTTTCCCGAATGCCATCGCTCTGCTAAACAACTAATTGTCATACTAATTGTCAAACTATTTCCTAAGACTGTATTACTATTATTCTTTTCATCCTTCCTATGACCTATCTCCTTTTTGACTTACGACTATAGCTTTGCTGCTTGTATCTTTACGATTTATATTGTTTTATTTAGTTCCCTAGTATCCTGTTTCCCCCCAAAATAAGACGTCCCCTGATAATAAGCCCAATCGGGCTTTTGAGAGCATGGCAATAAGGCCAAGCGCTTATTTCAGGGTTCAAAAAAAATATAAGACAGGGTCTTATTTTCGGGGAAACACGGTATATGATTTTTGCTGATTGCTTATTTAGTATCCTCCGACGATCACTGAGTGTTGTATCTTAAGATTCATGTTGAATGTACCCGTGTTTCCCTGAAAATAAGACCTGGTCTTATTTCCTTTTGGGTCCCAAAATAAGCACTATGTTCTGTCCCCGTCCCACACGCACACACACCAACAGACGTTCAAGAGTTAAAGACCAAACCAGCCGGCAAAATCCTTTTCCTTATGATAACGGAACTTGGCAACAACCTAGTGGCTGGCTGCCAAGAGTTTATTACTTACGAAGAGGAGAGATAACTTCTCCCCATGTCTGGTACATCAAAAGAAACAGCTCAATAATTACAGAGTCAATCAAGTCCAGAGATAATCCAGCAAAGTCTATAACAAAAGTCCGGCAATGCAGAATGGCATGGAAGCTTTCAGCTTTGTTCGTCACAAGGTTTGACTGGCCACCACGCTCCCTTTTATACCTTGTGGGGTGTGGTCCAGTGACTCAGCCTAATCTCGGGCACGCCTTTTCTTCTGTTGCATGCGCGTATCTCTGTGACTCTGGCGTGGATCCAGCCAAGACTCATTACCCTCATCACTGACCATCTGTGGCTGCTTGGACGTGCTTGGCCCCGGCCCTATCTCTTGCCCTTCGGCGGACACCGAAGGCATTGCCAGAGAGGAGGGTCCTGGAGAGGGAGGCCTTGCCAACTCCTCTCCTTCACTCTCGGAGTCCTCTCCTGCCGATGACACAGGCTCCGGTAACGGAGCCACAACACACTAGGTCAGTGATAGCTAACCTTTTTGCCATCGCATGCCAAAAGATCCCACCGGAAGTTGGCAAATGGGCCATTTCCAACCTCCGGAGGGCCTCCAAGTGATGGGGAAAGCCATTCTTGACCTCCTGGGCTCCTAGAAAGGCTCTGGAACCTGGGGAAAGTGAAAAACGGGACTTCCCCACCACCACCACCACCCCCCAGGTCCTCCGGAGGTAGGAAACAGTCTGTTTCCCTACTTCCGGTGGGCCCAGAAGGCCTGAAAATCAGCTGGCCAGAGCGTGCATGCGCACCAGAGCTGAGCTCGCATGCCCACCGATATGGCTACGCGTGCCACAGGTTCACCATCATGGCACTAGGTCTTATTTTCGGAGAAACACAATTTCAGAATGATCGGCCCAGCTGGGCGCCCCACCTCCTGGCGTGCACACAAGAGTCAGCAAGCGTGCAAGGACCGACGGAATTTGACAGCAGCTGCAGCCTGCCGATCCCTTTGTCGGCGCAGAGCAGAAGGCATGGAGCGGAAGGCAGGCAATCCCGTCACGCGGAGCGGAAGGCAGGCGATTCCGACACAAAACAAGAGACTTGAAGATGACCCTCCTGCGGCCAGCCGCTACTCTGGCTCACTGTCGCTCAGCTTTCCCATGGCCCACATGGCACGTCCGGTTCGCCTGCCTTCCCCTGCGCCTCTGCTTCTGTCTTGTTCTGACCCAGCTCTCCAAACACGACAAACCCTCTACAGCTGAAGCAATTATTCCTTTATTAGGAGCGCCAGCAGCCCCGGCAAAAAGTTTCTCTCTCACCGCAGGCTAACAAGTCCGCCCGGCAGGGAGATAATTAGTTGTCTGCCACATCTATTCATCTCCACCCCCTGCCTTTTATCCCCAGAGCTAGGGTGGGGCTTCACTAGCAGCAGTGGCTCTTCTGTCCCGAGGACCGACCCATAGATTTCCACTGCTCTCCTCTCCTCTGCTTTCTGAGCATCTGCGCATCAGACACTGGGCCCAGCTGTTCCTCCTCCTCCTCATCAGCCACCTCCAGACCTGGGGGCTGTTGACTGTCCATCTGAGGGCTGACAGGCGGCCCAGCCTCCACCTCTGTCTCTCTCTCTCTGACAGCTCCATTCCCTCTTCCCCCTCGGAGCTCTCAGGTTGCCTTGATGCTGACTCCCACACCACCTCCTCATCTGATCCAGCTGCTGGAGGGGCCAGCGGACAACAGGACACAATATGTCTGCTGCCAATGTCGCTGCGCGAAGATGAGCTACCCACAGCTGCCCGCCGCTTCGGTCCACCACCACTCGGTTTTCCCGTGGCCCACACAGCATGTCCTGATCGCCTGCCTCCACCCCTCCCCCCATGTCTCTGCTTCCTCCTGCTGCTTGCACAGATACTCAACTCACCTGTGCTGTGCAGGCTGCCCCCAGACACCATGCATTGGCCCATGCATGCTTGTTGCCTGCTATGCTGGCCACGTTCAACCCCCTTCACTAGGGCTCACTTTGGGGTAGGGCTTATATTAGGTGCATGTGTGTAAATTGGGCTAGGGCTTATTTTCGGGGTAGATCCTATTTTGGGAAAACACGGTATTTATGAGGACTATGATCGTGATTGATCACTTGTAGCTTTTATGTAGACTGAGAGCTTATGCACCGACGACAAATTCCTTGTGCATCCAATCACACTTGGCCAATAAAGAATTATAATTCTAATTCTAAATCAGAATCTGGGAAGGCCATTTTTATGTCATCGGACATTAGATACGCCACGCATACACAAAGGGAAGCCTTCCTTGCTTTTCTGAGATCCGGGATTCAAACTAGCAGTGTCCGAGGGCCCCTTGTTGGTCAAAAAAGTCAATATGGCGACCATGGCCAAGAATGCCAACTCTTTCTTACAGTGTTGAGAGTTTCAATCTTGATTTTTGGGGGGACCAGTCCCCTTCCCCATGGATACCTCAGGGCAGCCCCTAAATTGCACCCACCTGTAGATACCCTGTTTTTGCTGAAGCTCTTCCTTCCGATGTTGTTGTAACCTCGGCAGGTGATCCATGGCTGGTGTCTTCGCTGCGGGGAGAGCAACCAAGTCGGAGGTTAGCCAGAGGAACCAGCTGCCTCCTAAAGAGATCCCTCAGAGTAGATCCTGGACCTGTGAGTTGGCCAATTACTCACCCGGTAACAATACTCTGTTCAAGTCTCTGCTCCTGCACATCTCTTAGTCTGATTGCCCCAGCTTGTAGCGGACATAATGGCCACCTCCCCCACCACTGGGTCAAAGAGCTGCCTCCGACTGTTCGAGGAACTTGCCTGTTCCTCTTTAGTCTTCTGAGGCACCTCTCTCTCTCCCCCGTCCGTACAAGATGGTTCCGGTCTAAAGACCTTCTCAAGAGCGGTTTGTCTGCCTAGGTTTTCGTGAAGCTCGATGGAGCTGAAATCATTACCCTGACAGATTCGCTTAGAGAATCCAGGCAAGAGAGGTCATAAAATGGAGCCGACCTCACTGAACAAATGTCTTGTTTAGCCACAGAAATGTTGGGCTCAATGGCGGCCGTACGGCAAGGATTACCTTTGCTGAGTGTAGATGGGAACCTGAAGGTGGCAACTTCCCCTCTTCCCCTTGAGTAGACCTACTTACCAGTTCCTTCTCTGAGCTCTAGTGGCCCAGAGTCCTCTATCCACTGGTAGCAAGGGAAGTTGTAGGACACCTCCTCAGCCGACGTCACCACGACAAAATTACAATACCAGCTGTCTGATTTATCTTTGCTCAAAGCCTCTTTTTGGAGACGGAGGAGAATGATCTCTCCTAGGTGGTGTTCACAAGTGATTTTGTATTCGGTCTCCTGCCATTGATAGAAACATCCAGAAAGGCACCGTGGAAAATAAAAGAGAGCTTCATAAGTCTGAAGAACCTCAACAGGTTCTGTAGAGGACTTTCTTGCCGGTTCTACTCACCCTTCCATTCTCTGCTAAGCCTGGAAAATTTGGATGTGGGAGGGGGAACCACCAATTTTGGTTGTGGTGAGGAGAAATTAAGGGGCGGGTGATGTATCCTTCAATTATTTTGGAAGTGTTTTCCAACTCTGGAAGCTTTAAGAAGAGTGGACTTCAACTCCCAAATTTCTCACACTTTTAGAATAACAGAGTTGGAAGGAGCAGTGGTGGAATTCAATTTTTTTTTTAAGTACCAGTTCTGTGGGCGTGCCTTGGTGGGCGTGGTGTGCCTTGGTGGGCGTAGCTTGGTGGGCATGGCACGGAAAGGATACTGCAAAATCCCCATTCCCTCCCCACTCCAGGGGAAGGATACTGCAAAAATCCCCATTCCCTCCCCACTCCAGGGGAAGGATACTGCAAAATCCCCATTCCCTCCCCACTCCAGGGGAAGGATACTGCAAAAATCCCCATTCCCTCCACACTCCAGGGGAAGGATAGTGCAAAATCCCCATTCCCTCCCCACTTCAAGGGTAGGATATTGCAAAATCCCCATTCTCTCCCCACTCCAGGGGAAGGATACTGCAAAATCCCCATTCCCTCCCCACTCCAGGGGTAGAATATTGCAAAATCCCCATTCCCTCCCCACTCCAGGGGAAGGATACTGCAAAATCCCCATTCCCTCCCCACTCCAGGGGAAGGATCCTGCAAAAATCCCCATTCCCTCCCGTCTCCTGGGGAAAGGATATTGCAAAATCTCCATTCCCACCCCACTCCAAGGGATGGATACTGCAAAATCCCCATTCTCTTCCCACTCCAGGGGAAGGATACTGCAACATCCCCTTCCCTCTCCCACTCCAGGAGTAGGATACTGCAAAATCCCCATTCCCTCCCCCACTCCAGGGGAAAGATACTGCAAAATCCCCATTCCCTCCCCCACCCCAGGGGAAAGATACTGCAAAATCCCCATTCCCTCCCCACTCCAGGAGTAGGATACTGCAAAATCCCCATTCCCTCCCATCTCCTGGGGGAAGGATATTGCAAAATCTCCATTCCCACCCCACTCCAGGGGAAGGATACCGCAAAATCCCCATTCCCTCCCCCACTCCAGGGGAAAGATACTGCAAAATCCCCATTCCCTCCTGACTCCAGGGGAAGGATAGTGCAAAAATCCCCATTCCCTCCCCCACTCCAGGGGAAAGATACTGCAAAATCCCCATTCCCTCCCATCTCCTGGGGGAAGGATATTGCAAAATCTCCATTCCCACCCCACTCCAGGGGAAGGATACCGCAAAATCCCCATTCCCTCCCCCACTCCAGGGGAAAGATACTGCAAAATCCCCATTCCCTCCCCCACCCCAGGGGAAAGATACTGCAAAATCCCCATTCCCTCCCCACTCCAGGAGTAGGATACTGCAAAATCCCCATTCCCCCCATCTCCTGGGGAAGGATATTGCAAAATCTCCATTCCCACCCCACTCCAGGGGAAGGATAGTGTAAAATCCCCATTCCCTCCCCACTCCAGGGGAAGGATACTGCAAAATCCCCATTCCCTCCCCACTCCAGGGGAAGGATATTGCAAAATCCCCATTCCCACCCCACTCCAGGGGAAGGATACCGCAAAATCCCCATTCCCTCCCCCACTCCAGGGGAAAGATACTGCAAAATCCCCATTCCCTCCTGACTCCAGGGGAAGGATAGTGCAAAAATCCCCATTCCCTCCCCCACCCCAGGGAAAGATACTGCAAAATCCCCATTCCCTCCCCACTCCAGGGGAAGGATACTGCAACATCCCCATTGCCTCTCCCACTCCAGGAATAGGGTACTGCAAAATCCCCATTCCCTCCCCACTCCAGGGGAAGGATCCTGCAAAAATCCCCATTCCCTCCGGTCTCCTGGGGAAAGGATATTGCAAAATCTCCATTCCCACCCCACTCCAAGGGATGGATACTGCAAAATCCCCATTCTCTTCCCACTCCAGGGGAAGGATACTGCAACATCCCCATTCCCTCTCCCACTCCAGGAGTAGGATACTGCAAAATCCCCATTCCCTCCCCCACTCTCCAGGGGAAGGATACTGCAAAATCCCCATTCCCTCCCCCACTCCAGGGGAAAGATACTGCAAAATCCCCATTCCCTCCCCACTCCAGGAGTAGGATACTGCAAAATCCCCATTCCCTCCCATCTCCTGGGGGAAGGATATTGCAAAATCTCCATTCCCACCCCACTCCAGGGGAAGGATACCGCAAAATCCCCATTCCCTCCCATCTCCTGGGGGAAGGATATTGCAAAATCTCCATTCCCACCCCACCTCCAGGGGAAGGATACCGCAAAATCCCCATTCCCTCCCCCCACTCCAGGGGAAAGGATACTGCAAAATCCCCATTCCCTCCCATCTCCTGGGGGAAGGATATTGCAAAATCCCCATTCCCACCCCACTCCAGGGGAAGGATACCGCAAAATCCCCATTCCCTCCCCCACCCCAGGGGAAAGATACTGCAAAATCCCCATTCCCTCCCCACTCCAGGGGAAAGATACTGCAAAATCCCCATTCCCTCCCGACTCCAGGGGAAAGATACTGCAAAAATCCCTATTCCCTCCCCACTCCAGGGGAAGGATACTGCAAAATCCCCATTCACTCTTATCTCCTGGGGGAAGGATACTGCAAAAATCCCCATTCCCTCCCCACTCCCTCCAGGGGAAGGATACTGCAAAATCCCCATTCCCTCCCCACTCCAGGGGAAGGATCCTGCAAAAATCCCCATTCCCTCCGGTCTCCTGGGGAAAGGATATTGCAAAATCTCCATTCCCACCCCACTCCAAGGGATGGATACTGCAAAATCCCCATTCTCTTCCCACTCCAGGGGAAGGATACTGCAACATCCCCATTCCCTCTCCCACTCCAGGAGTAGGATACTGCAAAATCCCCATTCCCTCCCCCACTCCAGGGGAAGGATACTGCAAAATCCCCATTCCCTCCCCCACTCCAGGGAAAGATACTGCAAAATCCCCATTCCCATTCCCTCCCCACTCCAGAGTAGGATACTGCAAAATCCCCATTCCCTCCCATCTCCTGGGGGAAGGATATTGCAAAATCTCCATTCCCACCCCACTCCAGGGGAAGGATACCGCAAAATCCCCATTCCCTCCCATCTCCTGGGGGAAGGATATTGCAAAATCTCCATTCCCACCCCACTCCAGGGGAAGGATACCGCAAAATCCCCATTCCCTCCCCCACTCCAGGGGAAAGATACTGCAAAATCCCCATTCCCTCCTGACTCCAGGGGAAGGATACCGCAAAATCCCCATTCCCTCCCATCTCCTGGGGAAGGATATTGCAAAATCCCCATTCCCACCCCACTCCAGGGGAAGGATACCGCAAAATCCCCATTCCCTCCCCCACCCCAGGGAAAGATACTGCAAAATCCCCATTCCCTCCCCACTCCAGGGGAAGATACTGCAAAATCCCCATTCCCTCCCGACTCCAGGGGAAAGATACTGCAAAATCCCCATTCCCTCCCCACTCCAGGGGTAGAATATTGCAAAATCCCTATTCCCTCCCCACTCCAGGGGAAAGATTCTGCAAAAATCCCTATTCCCTCCCCACTCCAGGGGAAGGATACTGCAAAATCCCCATTCACTCTTATCTCCTGGGGGAAGGATACTGCAAAAATCCCCATTCCCTCCCACTCCAGGGGAAGGATACTGCAAAAATCCCCATTCCCTCCCTACTCCAGGGAAGGATACTGCAAAAATCCCCATTCCCTCCTGACTCCAGGGGAAGGATACTGCAAAATCCCCATTCCCTCCCGACTCCAGGGGAAGGATACCACAAAATCCCCATTCCCTCTCGTCTCCTGGGGGAAAGATTCTGCAAAAATCCCTATTCCCTCCCCACTCCAGGGAAGGATACTGCAAAATCCCCATTCCCTCCCTACTCCAGGGGAAGGATACTGCAAAAATCCCCATTCCCTCCCTACTCCAGGGGAAGGATACTGCAAAAATCCCCATTCCCTCCTGACTCCAGGGGAAGGATACTGCAAAATCCCCATTCCCTCCCGACTCCAGGGAAGGATACCACAAAATCCCCATTCCCTCCCCACTCCAGGGGAAGGATACTGCAAAAATCCCCATTCCCTCCCCACTCCAGGGGAAGGATACTGCAAAAATCCCCATTCCCTCCCCACTCCAGGGGAAGGATACTGCAAAAATCCCCATTCCCTCCCCACTCCAGGGGAAGGATACTGCAAAATCCCCATTCCCTCCCTACTCCAGGGGAAGGATACTGCAAAAATCCCCATTCCCTCCTGACTCCAGGGGAAGGATACTGCAAAATCCCCATTCCCTCCCGACTCCAGGGGAAGGATACCACAAAATCCCCATTCCCTCTCGTCTCCTGGGGGAAAGATATTGCAAAATCCCCATATCCACCCCACTCCGGGGCCAGCCAGAGGTGGTATTTGCCGGTTCTCCGAACTACTCAAAATTTCCGCTACAGGTTCTCCCGAACCTGTTAGAACCTGCTGAATAGCACCTCTGCCTTGGAGGTCTTGTAGTCCGACCCCCTGTTCAAAGAGAAGACATTATATCATTTCAGATAAATGCTTGTTCGGTCTCTTCTTAAAAACCTCCCGTTTGGAAGCACATACAACCTTTGTGTTGGAACCCCACAGTGTTGTGCAATCAGGAACAAACACAAACATTCAAAAGACTGTTTTTTCCAACGAGGCAAAGCAAACACCGTTTGCAAGTCCGCCTCCTCCAAGGCGAGAAGAGCCAAATTTCGCAACGTGGAAATGATCGGCAGAAACCGACTTTTGGTCATAATTCAGCCGAAGTGAAGAAAGAAAGAAAGAAAGAAAGAAAGAAAGAAAGAAAGAAAGAAAGAAAGAAAGAAAGAAAGAAAGACAGACCACGTCTTGTTAACTTGGCCACCAAAATACTCTCCCCAACCACGGTTAAAGGACCTGTCCACATCATGTCCCCACTGACTCATTTCCAAGTCTACCTACGTTCGATTTTAGCCGGATTACAAATCCACCTTTCGGCCCGCGCAAACCAGGATGCCAGCAATGGTGAAGTCACAAACTGGATCCCTGGGAGATCCCTCCCCAACGGTGGCTGGCAAGGATCTCCGAAGCCGCCTTGACTTCTTCTGCAGGAGAGGGCCCACCACCAGATGTACCCAGAGGCAGAATGGAAAAAGCAGAGCCATCTTTTGCAATCGATCAGGGAGTTCCACGGAGTTTAATTTACTGCTGAGTAGGCATGCAGAGGCTTGCAAGATTAACGTGGGAGGAATCTGTTGGAATTCTTCAATTAAGTGTGCTGTTGCAAGGAATAGGCCAAGGCCAGTGGAGTGGAGTGGAGTGGAGTGGAGTGGAGTGGAATGGAATGGAATGGAATGGAATGGAATGGAATGGAATAGAATAGAATAGAATAGAATAGAATAGAATAGAATAGAATAGAATAGAATAGAATAGAATAGAATAGAATAGAATAGAATAGAAGAGTGGATGGAGTGGAATAGAATAGAATAGATAGAATATAGAATAGAATAGAATAGAATAATAGAATATGAAGAATAGAATAGAATAGAATAGAATAGAATAGAAAATACGGAATGGAGAATAGAATAGAATAGTAGAATAGAATAGAATAGAATGAAGAATAGAAGAATAGAATAGATAGAATAGAAAATACGGAATGGAGTGGAGTGGAGTGGAGTGGATAGAATGGAATGGAATGGAATGGAATAGAATAGAATAGAATAGAATAGAAGAATAGAATAGAATAGAATAGAAATAGAATAGAAATACGGAATGGAGAGATAGAATAGAATAGATGGATAGGAATATGGAATATGGAAATAGAATAGAATAGATAGAAGAATAGAATAGAATAGAATAGAATAGAATAGAATAGAATAGAATGGAATGGAATAGAATAGAATGAAAGAATAGAATAGAATAGAATAGAATAGAAAGAATAGAATAGAATAGAATAGAATATAGAATGGAAGATAGAAAGTGAGAATGAATAGATATGAATAGAATAGGAATAGAATAGAATAGAATAGAAAATAGAAGAATATAGAATAGAATGAAAGAATAGAATAGAATAGAATAGAATAGAATAGATAGAATAGAATAGAAAGAATAGAATAGAATGAGAACATAGGGAATGGAGATTGGATGGAGAATGGAAAGTGGAGTAGTGAGTGTGGAGGAGTGAGTGGAGTGGAGTGGTAGAGTGAGATAGAGTAGGAGGGAGTGGATGAATGGGAGAAAGATAGATGATAAGATAGAGATGATAGAAGAGATAGAATAGAATAGAATAGAATAGAATAGAAATAGGAATAGATAGAAGAGAAGAATAGAAGATGATAGAATAGAATAGAATAGAATAGAATAAGAATAGAAGTAGAATAGAATAGAATAGAATAGAATAGAATAGAATAGAATAGAATAGAATATAATAGAATGAATAGAATAGAATAGAATAGAATAGAATAAGAATAGAATAGTAGAAGAATAGAAAATAGAAAGAATAGAATAAAGAGAATAGAATAGAATAATAGAGAATAGAAAGAGAATAGAATAGAATAGAGAAAGAATAGAATAGAATAATGAGAATGAGAATAGAATAGAGAAGTAGAATAGAATAGAAGAATGAATGGAATATAAGTGTTATGGAAAATGAAGGAATAGAATAGTGAACAAATGAATAGCTTATAGAAAGAAAGATAACCATGCAGAATAGAATAGAATAGAATAGAATAGAATAGAATAGAATAGAATAGAATAGAAAATATAGAATGGAATGGAATAGAATAGAATAGAAAGAAAGAATAGAATAGAATAGAATAGAATAGAATAGAATAGAATAGAATAGAATAGAATAGAATAGAATAGAACAGAACAGGTGTTGGAAGGGACCTTGGAGGTCTTCCAGTCCAACCCCCTACTCAGGCAGGAAACCCTGTATCATTTCCGACAAATAGTTGTGCAACCTCTTCTTAAAAACTTCCAATGTTGGAGCATTCACGACTTCTGGAGGCAAGAAGTCCCCCTGATTACTTGTTCATTGTTTTTAATTGCTGAAGCCCATTTTCTGTCCATAGCATTGACAGGATCCCTCTCTCTCTCTCTCTCTCTCTCTCTCTTTCTCCTTCTCCCACTCCTCCTCTCTCCCTCCCTCCTTCCCTCCCTGCAGCCCTCCGAGGTACAAAGGGAGAAGGTCTAACTTTTGAAGGCATCTAGGGTAGGATCCGTCAACTCACCATGCCTCGGCAGAAACGACGACTCCGGGCGTCCAGATTGGTTTTCGGACTCTCGCCTTCAGTGCCCACCAAGGTGAGGGAAATTAAATCCAAGGTACCCGAATCGCAATTGTTGCCCGTCACCACCCGCACATTGTATGCGGCCATGATGGCAATCAACCTTCTGCAGGATGCGCTTCGGTCCTCAAGAATGGAGACTATAATACGTGTCGGACTTTCCCTGCTTATAAGACCATCGTTCTCCCAGGCCAGCCCCACCCCGTGGCCCAGTCTCCTCCCCACCCATCCTGGAGATGACAACTGTCAGATCAACGTTTCTTGGAATGACAGGAACAGGAACACAAATTCTGAAGAAAGAGGAACTTCATTTGCATCGGTGACAATGACAGCTGGTTAGGGGTGAAGGGAGGACGGCTCCTCAAAATCCCCCCCGCCCAATATGGCACCCACTTAAAGGAAGGGTTGGCATATCCGAGCCACAAAAATCCAGCTGGATGCCCCATCCCTAGATGTTTGAACAGCCAAAAAAAGTTGTTCTGTCCCCCCCACCTCACATAGGCAGACACACAAGAAAAAGACGTCGACAGTAATTTATTTTTACAAGCCGACCTGAATCCCTTTGGCAGATGAAAGTTCTGGCAGCTACTTTCCGAATGCCTGCCAAGTTTCTTATCACCTCTAGAAACAGGAGTCAGCGTATCTGTAGTCCGTTGCTGGGGCAACCAAACCAAGAGTAGCCAGAAGTCATTCACAAAGTCCAAGCCTTAATTCCGAAAAATATCCCATCCGAAGCTCACGATATGCAATGTTTGTCCGTCACAGAGCCTGCAGAGCAATCCCACCCACTCAGCAATCTCCGGCCCTTCCCCACCTCTTCCTTTGCTGCGCACGCCTCTCCCTCCGACGCTGCCTGGGATCAATCCAAGATTGATCTTCATCACTCCCTATTAGTGGGTGCCCCGACATGCTTTCCTCCTGGCCTTCAGCTGGAACCTGAGGCGTTGCCAGAAAGGAGGGTCCTGGAGAGGGAGGCCTTGTCAGTTCCTCCCCATCACTTTCAGAGTTATCTTCCTCCATGAGGACAGGCTCAGGAGCCGGAGTCACAACAAAGGTAATTTGGAGATATTGCAGGGATTTGAACTATTCAAAAGTCTGGAAGATAATGGGCATGGTAGGTCCCCTTTTGATGTTATATGGAGAAGACTTCCTGTTCTTCTTCTTCAGTTTTTTTCCCTACGCACTTAGCTGATTTTATTATACTGGAAAACAGGTTCTCACCTACACGAAGCTGGGTAGAATGGAAATAGGTCAAATATTTGTGTTTGACCCATTGACAAATAATGGTGTTAGTGTCCCAACGAAATGAATCATTTTCCCTCCGCAGGTCTCCCATCAACCGCCGACCAGGGGTGGGTTCTACTTACCTTTACTACCGGTTCGCAACGGGAATGGGCTCGCGGGCTCGCTTTGCTCGTGCGCAGAAGCTTCTGCGCATGAGCAGATTACCCATGATGACGTCGTGGCGGGTGGGCGGAGGCTCCCGCTGGTTTTATTACCGGTTCTATAGAACCGGACTGAACCGGTAGTAACAAAATGTGAAACCCACCACTGGATTAGACTGTAAGCCATTCTTATATAGCCATCATTAGACAGCCTAATCAAGGATCCACCAAGAACGCTTCCATCAACATTGACAGGACAAGACATTCAGTGGTGGGTTCCTCCCGGTTCAGCCCAGTTTGGCCGAGCCAGTAGCGGTGACGATATGATGTCACCGAACCGGTTCTCTTTGTTTGGGATCTGGGCCCTCCCACCCATCCCCCCGCCCACCCCACCACCCCGCCCACCCCCATGTTATTCTTACCTTTTATTTGGCCCCGCCCCCAATCTATTTGCTGCCTCCCAAGTCCCAGCTGATCGGCTAGAAGGAAAACAACTGTTTAAACTCTTGCCGCGGGGCTTCAAAGGGACGCCCTACAGCTGATCAGTGTTAAAAGGCAGTGTGGTGGTAGACCAGTGTGCTCGAAAAACAAATGGGTAGACCGGTGCCTCCAAAAACAAATGGGTAGACCGGAATGCTCCAAGAACAAATGGGTAGACTGGTACAGCTCTGCAAGCAGTTAAAAGGCTGGTAGACCAGTACCTCTGCTAAATCCAATAGAATTGTCACATGACCATCAAACCACGCCCACAAAATAAGCCACGCCCACAAAACCAGTAGTAAAAAAATTTAGAACCCACCTCTGAAGGCATTAGTATATAAACAGAGAGCAAGCCCCAGTCTCTGCTAGCACTGATGATGTTGCCTAGTTGGCTCATGAAATGCCTGCAAGAAAATAACCGAGCTCTAAAAGCACTAAGTCTCCCCCTCGTCTTCCTCCTCTCTGTAAACTCCCCTTTTTTTTAGCATTCATGATGTCACCTAACTGAGTCATGAAACATCTGCAAGAAAGTTCGTAGAGATTCTCAGTCATCCAGGTCACGACTGTCCCCATGGTGCTTTTTCAGGACGCAAGTGGATTTTCTTATTTTACTTTTTCTTTTGAAGACGTTTCGCTTCTCATCCAAGAAGCTTCTTCAGCTCTGACAGGAGAGTGGGGGAATGGAAGGATTGATACTCCTTGCGGACAGCGGGTCCTTTGCATCCTTTTAGAGGGTCGTTGAGGCCACCGGGACGTTTATCTGTGTCCTCAGGGTCACCTGAGTGGTGCAAATAGTTCCTGTGGTCCGCAATTTTTTCCTCTGAAAATCCATTCCTACTCCCACACCATTTCCAAGGGTCTTCATCCCAAATTGTATAGTGGGAGTAGGAATGGAAGCGAAACGTCTTCAAAGAAAAGGAAGTCCAGTTGCCTCCTGAAAATTTGACTACTACTACTACTACTACTTCTTCTTCTTCTTCTTCTTCTTCTTCTTCTTCTTCTTCTTCTTCTTCTTCTTCTTCTTCTTCTTCTTCTTCTTCTTCTTCTTCCTTCCACTTCCACTTCCACTTCCACTTCCTCTCCTCCTCCTTCCAAACTCCACTCCCTTCTAGCACTGATAATGTTACCTACCTGGGTCATGAAACATCTACAAGAAAGAGATGTTTAGCTTTAATGTTTCAGTCCACGTAAACAACACTTTAATGTAAGAAAAAAAAGTGATCGCTGGTTTGGGTCTGGAACAACTCGCTGTGGCCAACTCGTTGCAAGAGTTTCACTAACATTGAAGAAACGGTAGAATAGGATCATTAAAGAAAGGATGGCAAAAGAGGAACAAAATGAAATGCGAATGACAAAAATGAAAACAGTTTTCAATGATCTTAAATAATTAAAGTGAAGTGTTAAATTTTCCCGTGTCAAATTGTCTCACGAGGAGTTGTCCACGGTGCGTTGCCTGCAGTGAGTTGTTTCATTCTGAGCTGGCTTAGTCATTTTAACTCTTGGTCCTTTGGTTCCCTCTAGTTGTCAGCTTTGGAAGCCATATTAGGCCGGAAGCTTCCATGCTGCCACCTTCTCCTGTGTGGGAAAGTAGGAGGGGAGACTTAGTAGAGGGGTTGTTTGTAGACATAATAGCATTCTTCCTGTCGGTCAAGGTCAGAGCGATCCGGCATCTGGAGAAAGAGTGGTCGGAGTGCTGAGTCGAGATGGGACGGACGTTGATTGGAGCATGTGATCGACTGAGCAGTGAGGGGATTGTTTTGGGGGTTTTGATGTACTGAAGGTTTTCCCAGATGTGCCAGTTTACCTATTCTAGTAAAGAGAATTTTGGAAAATGTTTGCTTCCGCGTCTTTACTCAGAGTTGGGGTTTTCTGGAACGCTGACACTAGTGTCCGTTTGCAACTTTCATCAATCCTCCGTTCCTTAGAAGGCTTAGTTCTATTTAAGTCGGAGGCCCCCAACTTTTGGGGTTCCTTAGAGAAAGAATTATTCTGCGGATCTGAGGGGGCGTGGTTTTGTGTTCCGTGGGTGAAACTTCACTTGTTTGCGTGAACTGGTTTCTGACATGCCACGGACCGGAGCTTGTGGACCCCTGATTTAAATCATTTCCCACAAGAATATTATTCGATTGTTAAATAATACCCTGTTTCTCCGAAAGTAAGACATCCCCTGATAATAAGCCCAATCGGGCTTTTGAGTGCATGCGCTAAAATAAGCCCCTCCCCCAGAAAATAAGCCCTCCCTGAAAATATTTAACCACCTGTGCAGCCGGTCCCCACCATTTCCTCTGGTTAGGGTTAGGGAGACAGAGCTGGAAATCAGGTAAGACGGCAAGAGGAACCCCGTCTCGCTCCACGCGCCCCAAAATAATAAGACCTCCCCAAAAATAAGACCAAGCCATTATTTCAGGGTTCAGAAAAATATAAGACAGGGTCTTATTTTTGGGGAAACACGGTATTATCATAATATCGTAATATTATTACTTATCAATTAATCAATTATCAATATTATTGATATTAATATCAATCAGTAATATTATTATTAATTAATCAATGATCAGTTATTATAATTATTCAATTATGTACTTGATTTTCACATCTTATGCCTTAAAAACCTTTCTTTTTCACCAAGAAGGGCTGGCATAACCCCCCCCCCACTTTTTTTGAGATGTTAGATTTTTAATTGTCTATGGGTTTTAGTCGGGATTTTAAATTTAGGCCAAAGTTGTGTAATTCTTTTAACACATTTTAAATTTTGTATTGGGATGTTTTTATTTTGGCTGTGCACTGCCCTGAGTCCAGTAGGAGAAGAGCGGTATACAAATTTAATTAAATAAATAAATAAATAAATAAATAAATAAATAAATAACCCATATTCCAAATCTCCCTGGTCTCCCAATCGTTTAAAACTTTCTTAAATCAAAATCCCTTTTTCCCCTGCTTTTTTTCCCCCCTCCCGATTGTTTGTTATTTCAAATTTTGGAGACTCTAAAACTTTCTTCATTCCGAAGAAGGTAAGACTCACCAGACGTTAAATTAAGCTGGCTGTTTTGAAGATCTCTAATATCCATTAGAATAAGGGTTCCTTGGTGCTGTCTAAGTTTGGTGTGGGTTTTGCAGATATTTCATTACCAAACAGGTAACGTCATCAGTGCTAGAAGCGGGTTGCAGGGGGAGGAGGAGGAGGAGGAGGAGGAGGAGGAGGAGGAGGAGGTCTGTAGGGTCCTTGGTGCTCTCTGAGCTTGTTTGTTTTCTTGCAAACATTTCATGACCCAACTAAGTAACACCATCAGTGCGAGTAAGGAGTGAGGCTTGCTCCCAGTGGCTTGCCCTGTTGGTGTTGGCGAGGAGTGATCTTAAGAGGTTCTTTGGTTGAGCCATTTTCTGTTGGCTTCTTTGGCAATCCCTCGATTGTGGCATTGTTTACTTCTTGATGGTTGATCTGATATTAATCGGGGAATTAATCTAGGCTCATCTGGGTGTTGATTGCTGGTAGGGAAGATGTTTTAGTCTTTTTGTTCCCTTTTTGGCTTGTTGGTTGTCTCATTTGCGCACTATGTAGACTTTGTGTCGATTGTCAGAATTCTGAATGGTTGGGCTTCAAAAGTGTGGAAGATAAAGCGTGGTAGGTCCACGTTTTGGCATTACCAGTCGGCACGCGTCGACTCCGCACAATCCCTATGACTTCTCACACACAACTTCACACACTTACCTCTCCTTCCCCTGACTAGGTGGCTCAGTGGCTAAGACACTGAGCTTGTCGATCAGAAAGGTGGTTCAAAGTTCGGCGGTTCAAATCCCTAGTACAGGTCACTGGCGAGAGCAGGGGGTTGGACTAGATGACCTCCAAAGGTCCCTTCCAACTCTGTTACTGTAAACCCTTCAGCCTGGTCCCCAAATCCTCTCGTCATCCATTTTATCTCCTCCAAGAGAAAAGCAATCACAATGGCAGTCCAGCAGTTTTGCAAAATATATATTTTAAATCCATCAAACAGTCCAAACGACGTTTACGAAAATGAACATTTGTTGCACACAGGATCTGGGGGACGATATTCGAGATCCTGAAGCTGGACTTTTGGGGGAAGGGGACAATAAAAAAAATAGGGGTTCCCGTTAGCAAAATATAATCTTATATATCTGTTCTGCCCCAGCTACGGACCCCAAAGAACGCAGCACACACAAAGTCCGTTCAAACCTTAGTTTACTAAATAAACCAGTTTTTTTACAACAACGGCTGTTAATTAACTGCATTAACAGCCGCCAAGAATTCAAGGAATAATAACTGAAAGCTTACTGTGGTTGGCAGAATGCCCAGAAGCAATTTGCAGGAAGCTGATTAAGATAAGCAAGACAAGACACGAAGGTATGTGAAGTTGTTCCCTGCAAATTGCTTCAGTCGACGTTCCTCCTTAAATAGGCTAAGGGAGTGGCCAATTAGCCCCAAGCCTTACTCTCAAGGAGACCTCCTCCTGAGGAGCCACTCCTGCCTTTTTGGCGGCTCTGTGCGCCCGTGCATCGAGAAGAGGCTCCTCCTCTTCGTCCTCTTCACTTATGGAAGCTTCTGGAGGTTCTGAAGGCCCTGGCTGAATCCCTGCCTCTGGCACCACATCTTCTCCAGGCTCCTCACTGTCCGACTCGAGCGCCAGCTGCACAGGCTGCTGGCGCAGCACCACACCAGCCTCCTCGCTGTCTGAATCAGCTACTAGCTGCACAGGCCACGTACGGACCACAACAGTATCTGTATCTTATATTTAGATGGCCCTATAGGAAACCCATTACAACAGAGCAAACTTTTAAAATTCGGACCTGGAATTATTTTAGCTGTTAACTTTGAAACGATGGACCCAATCTGGAGACTCCGAATCATTCAATTTCAGGTAGTTTTGTAGCGGCGTAGCTAAAGATAAAATTTTGTTTTGACTCCGCTGTGGTTACGGAGTGGTCTTCCCTAAACTCTCACAGCCAGTGGGGGGATTCTGGGAGTTTGAAATCCAGACATCGTAAAGGTGCCGAGTTCGAAAATCACTGTGAGAACTGCATTGCAGTCTTGAAAAATGCGTTGAGCCTTTGTAACTTTAAGCTTTGTGGACTTCAACTCCCAGAATCCTCCCTGGTAGGGGGATTCTGGGAGTTGAAGTCCACGCGGCTTAAAGTGAGCAAAATTAAGAAACGCTGCTAATAATGACCAGTTACCTCAAGATGCTATATTTAAACATTAATTATTTTCCAGAAGAAACTTTTGAGGCAACTCGTTTCCCCAAATTTCCCAAATTCGGATCCCCAAATCCATCCTTGCTTCTCGTCCTCAAGTAGGTTTTAAAAAATACGCAAGATTTAACACAATTTCTCCTCAGAAATAACTAAAATCAACATTCTTGGATCATAGAACAGTTGATCGTGCCTCCTTCCTACTTCTCTACTTTAAATTGTCCTCTCTACTTTTGAGGTGGAGATAAAGTAATGAAATTAAATTCAGACTCCTGGCTCGGAAAAGGACATGAATTCTTTAAGAAGAAAGACAATTTATATATATATAAATTGTCACAAATATTCCTTCGAGGCAACGCCGATATCTAACGGTTGGCCTTCGGAGCTGGAGTCCATCCTTCACTGGTGTCCAGGAATATTGTCTCATTCACGCTGTACAGTCTCCAAGCTCCATCCCAGCTTCCCTTCTCCACGGATTCGGTTTCTTCTAGAAAATCAGAAGACTATCAACAAACTCTCCTTTGTTGTGTTGTGTCCACAAAGCCCTCCGAGACCAGTTCCAGCTGGATTATCTCTCCACGATTTCTCTGAAATCATTGTCTTCCTTTTTCTTTTTTTAGGCCTTTCGCTCCGCTTGGTCTCTTTGCTAAAGAAATAATTAACGATATTATGGAATCCAGATGTCCATCTTTATCAAAAGCCAGACAAAGTCTCCAATGGGAAGTCAAGAACAACCACCGTTCCTGGCTTGGCCAAAGTCCCACCATCTCCTCGGCTCTGATCTCAAGAGTTTCAGATGAGGAGGATCAAGTTGGCCGAAAATCCCAGCACGCATCTCACCGTTCGTCACCGTGGTAAGTAAGAAATCCGAGACCAGCTGAAGTCCCGTCACGCACTAGAAGTTTGAAAGTAGCAGAAGATACGGATGGGAAGGGATGCATCCCTTTGGATTATTATGGGATGGCTCCCTGCCCGGGTGTGGATTCGTCCTCTTCTGGCAGATTTGCCCAAAGGCCTTCAGCAGAAAACTCCTGGGAGTTGGTTGACCTGGTTAAAGAAGAGTAATGAAGTTATTAAAAAATATATATTTCTGATGTTCAGTGTCCCAATGTTTCATACCGATCTTTGTAGCGTACGCAACAACAAAACTCACAACCCATCAGCTCACAGGAAATCGGACCATGACTCATTAACAACAACTGGCCAGTCAAACAGTCCGAAACCACATCATAACTTGGAAGTAGCTGAACAAACAAGACTCACACTAATTTGCATCACATAAAAAGGTATTTAAAGGCCGGTGTTTGGACGGATGAGCACAGTTCAAAGCACACGGACGATGTCTCCTCGAATGGTGACAAAATGTTTGCAACCAAATGGCCACGCTCGGAGCTCAGACCAACAGCCCATATTGCAATGTATAATGTAATGTATAATAAATGCAATATATAATGTAATGTAGCACAATATAGTAATGATAATATTATAATACTAGCTGGAACGCCCGTGCTTCACTACGAAACTATGTGATACATTGACACTTAAAGCCTGAAACTTAATGTCGAATGCGTAACTCCGTAGCATCAGGACGTGTTAATATGCGGCAACTGGCAGTTGGAACAGAAGGGGAGGGGGAGTAAAATGTCCCAGCCCACAGGCCGGATGAGTCATGCACTGGCCATGCCCATGCCCGATTTAGCAAAGGGGTAGCATCAGAATGTGTTAATATAAGGCAACTGGCAGTTGGGACAGAGTTCCTTTCAGGCGGGGAGGGGGAGTAGAACGTCTAACTCCTTAGCATCAGAGCGTGTGAATATAATACTGTATATGTTATAGTATAGAATATAGCAGTGATGGCTAACCTTTTTGCTATCGTGTGCCAAAATTGGGGGGGAGCATGTGGGGGCCGTGCACACATGTGCCCACACTCATAATGCAATGCCCCCCCGCATGCCCTGTCCCCCACGCATGTGCGCATCACTCCCATATTTCCCCTCCCTTGCGCATGCATGCGTGACCCCCCCACGCTTCCCCACCCTCCATGCATGTGCACACGATACCCTTCTGTGCAACCGCCCCCCCCCCGGCCTGTTTTGGGCCTGACAGGCCTCTCTGAAGCCTCCTGAGACAAAAACCAGGCTTGGGGGTGGGGTGCTCTGCTTCCCACGGCGCTTTCCCCACCCCCCGCTCGTACACATGTGCCCCCCCGCAGATGCGTCACGCCCTCACGCCAGAGACCCAAAAATCAGCTGGCCAGCGGGAGGTGTGCACACATGCACGGTGGAACTGAGCTGGACGATGGCTCGCGTGCCAGCAGAGAGGGCTCCACGTGTCACCTGTGGAACGCATGCCATAGGTTCACCATCACAGTTCTACTGTAACGCTCTCTACATGGGGCTGCCCTTGAGGAGCACCTGGAGGCTCCAACTGGCGCAGAGTGTGGCCGCACAGGTGGTTATGGGAGCAACATGGCACTTCCATGTAACACCTCTCCTGCGCGAGCTGCACTGGCTCCCGGTGGTCTTCCGGGTGCGCTTCAAGGTTTTGGTCACCACCTTTAGAGCGCTCCATGGCTTAGGACCTGGTTATTTACAGGACCGCCTACTACCACAAGCAGCCTCCCACCGGCCGGTACACTCCCATAGAGAGGGGCTCCTCCGGGTGCCGTCGGCCAAACAATGTCGACTGGTGGCCCCCAGGGGGAGGGCCTTCTCTGTGGGGGCACCCACTAGCTGGAACGAGCTCCCCCCTGGAGGATCCCGGATCTGCGCACTTTCCACCGTGCTCTTAAGACCCTCCTATTCCAGCAAGCCGGCCTGGCCTAATTTTCTCCCCTTTTTAAAAATTCTTTTAAATCGAAATTTTAATCTGTTTTAAATTATTGGGATTTTTAATTGTCTCGGGCTAAATTATTTAATCTGGTTGTAATTATGTTTCTAACTTTTATATCTATGTATTTTATTCTGTGCCTGTTCACCGCCCTGAGTCCTTCGGGAGTAGGGCGGTATATAAATTTAATAAAAACAAACAAAAACAAACAAACGAACAGTAATATAGTATAGTATAGTATAGTACAGTACAGTACAGTACAGTACAGTACAGTACAGTACAGTATAGTATAACAGAACAACCGAACAATCGAACAACAGAAGAGAAGAGAAGAGAAGAGAAGAGAAGAGAAGAGAAGAGAAGAGAAGAGAAGAGAAGAGAACAGAACAGAACAGAACAGAACAGAACAATATAGAGACTTCACTTCCTGGCACTTCACTTCCTTTCAAAGCAAGGACTAACGAATGCAGTCACCGTTCACCTTTGATCCCATCATGATCTCACCTCCATCCCAACCGCCTTCATGCAACGGTCTCCTTCCCAGGGTTATATTTTCTGTCCCTGACGAGCTTTCTGTAACTTCTCCTTCCGATCGGCAGGAATTTCATCCATGCTGATCCCGTGGCTGCTCGCCCTGAAGGGAAGAGAGCAAACTCAGGAAGGCCTGGGCCAGAAGGAGGCAGGCCCAGGATGGGGAAAGGCTTGGAGGTTGAAACCTTCTAGAACAAGGGTCTCCAACCTTGGCAACTTTAAGACCTTGCGGACTTCAACTCCCAGAATTCCCCAGCCAGATATGTAAGGTAACTTTCTTAATAGATGGTGGGTATGCAGTAAGCGTAATATATCTTGACTTCAGCAAAGTGGGGGGGGAAAAAAGAGCTGGCTGGGGAATTCTGGGAGTTGAAGTCTTAAATCAGGGGTCTCCAACCTTGGCAACTTTTAAGACCTGGCGGACTTCAACTCCCAGAATTCCCCAGCCAGCCACGTAGGGTAACTTTCTTCATAGATGGTGGGTATGCAGTAAGCGTAATATATCTTGACTTCAGCAAAGTGGGGGGAAAAAAGAGCTTGCTGGGGAATTCTGGGAGTTGAAGTCCACAAGTCTTAAATCAGGAGTCTCCAACCTTGGTCACCGTAGGAAGTTAGCACCCACCCCTTTCCTAGAAGAATGAAATATTTTAGGAAATATTAAAAAGGCAGAATATTATGTTTCCCTGGATGAGAAATGGAGAAGCATGTTCTAAAGACGAAGCAGCTCCCATAATCCTGCCCCCACCCTTTTGTCAATGGGCCAAAGGCAGAAGCCCAATCCTTTGTCAAAGGAACATCATCTGCAACACAATAGGACCCATCTAGCAACAGAAACTCACCCCATGGCACCTGGGAAGATTACATCAGCCAGCAAGGCTAGCTAAGACCCCCACCCCTCGGGAGTCTGACAACCAATCAGGATACTCTTTCGGGGGCCCAAGAAGTTCAAAGCCAGAGAGGGCATAAAACCCGGGTACTCACTGCGTCTCGCCCCCTTTTCTGTTCAGGAACTCAAACCAGCTGATCCTGTCCACCATTAAACCATCTTTCCAAGCAGTCTCCATGTTTCCAGTGTCTTTTTCCCCATTTGGAGCTGAACCCAGAAGGATATTTCTTCCTACGTCACTTTTAAGACTTGTGGACTTCAACTCCCAGAATTCCTCAGCCAGCCACGTAGGGTAACTTTCTTCATAGATGGTGGGTATGCAGTAAATGTAATATATCTTGACTTCGGCAAAGTGAAGGAAATGAAAGAGCTGGCTGGGGAATTCTGGGAGTTGAAGTCCGCCAGGCTTAAAGTTGCCAAGGTTGGAAACCCCTGTTCTAGAGAACATTTCAAGAAATCAAGTGAGTTTAGTCTTGGTGAAACAACATCCTTCGTCAAAGGAGCTGCCCTCTTACCCTGGCTTCAGGTCTGGGGGAGTAGGAATAGGTTTGGTAAAGCCGTCGCGACCGATGAGCCAGTAAGTGTCTTCCGTGCCTTTTCCCTAAAGAGGAAGCGAGAGGCATCAGATCAAGGTTGTTTGTTTGTTTATTTATTTATTTATTTATTTATTTATTTATTTATTTATTTATTTATTTTTTTTATTAAATTTCTATACCGCCCTACTCCCGAAGGACTCAGGGCGGTGAACAGCCAGAGGATAAAACACATAAATACAAAAATTTAAAATAGAATAAAAACGAATTAAATAATTTGGCTGAACAAATTTAAAATACCCCATAATTTAAAAACAAATTAAAATTTGCATTTAAAAAGGGGAGAAGATTTAGGCCAGACCAGCTTGATGAAATAAAAAAATCTTAAGCGCGCGACGGAAGGTGCGCAGATCCGGGATCCTCCGTATCTCCGGGGGGAGCTCGTTCCAGATTGTAGGTGCCCCCCCAGAGAAGGCTCTCCCCCTAGGGGCCACCAGTCGACATTGTTTGGCCAACGGCACCCAGAGGAGCCCCTCTCTATGGGAGTGTACTGGCCGGTGGGAGGCTATTGGTGGTAGCAGGCGGTCCTGTAGATAACCAGGTCCTAAGCCATGGAGCGCTTTAAAGGTGATAACCAGAACCTTGAAGCGCACTCGGAAGACCACCGGGAGCCAGTGCAGCTCGCGCAGGAGAGGTGTTACATGGGAACTGCACGTCGCTCCCATCACCACCCACGCGGCCGCACTCTGTGCCAGTTGGAGCCTCCGAGTGCACCTCAAAGGGAGCCCCATGTAGAGAGCGTTACAATAGTCCAGACGAGAGGTGACGAGGGCATGAGTGACTGTGTGTAGAGAGTCCCGATCTAGAAAGGGACGCAATTGGCGGATCAGGCGAACCTGATGAAAAATCCTCCCGGTCACGGCCATCAAGTGCTCTTCTAGAGACAGCCGTGAATCCAGGAGGACGCCCAAGTTGCGAGCACTTTCCGTGGGGGCCAATGATTCACCCCCAATAGTCAGTGATGGCATCAGCTGACTATATCGGGATGTCGGAAACCACAGCCACTCGGTCTTGGATGGGTTGAGCCTGAGCCTGTTTCTCCCCATCCTGAGGTTGTAACAGATTAAGAGAGTTGGAAGGGATCTTGTGGGTCATCTAGTCCAACCCCCCACTCAAGCAGGAGACCCTACACCATTTCTGACAAATAGCAGTCCGGTCTCTTCTTGAAGAGCCACCAGGAATGAAGCTTGCCACAACTTCCGAAGGCAACTTCTGTTCCATTGCTCGATTGTTGTTTTCACTGTCAGAAAGTTCCTCCTTATTTCTAGGTTGAATCTCTCCTTGGTCAGTTTCCATCCGTTATTCCTTGTCTGGCCTTCAGGTGGCTTGGAAAATAGCTTGACCTCCTTCCTCCTCTTTGGGGCAGCCCCCCAAATATTGGAAGATGGATATCCTGTCTCCCCTGGTCCTTCTCTTCACTAGACTAGCCATGCCCAGTTCCTGCAACCGTTCATTGTATGTTTTAGCTTCCGGTCCTCTCATCATCCTGGTTGCTCTTCTCTGCACTTCTTCTAGAGTCTCCACATCTTCTTTATAGTGTGGTGACCAAACTGGATGCACTACTCTAGGTGTGATCTTACTAAGGCTTTAGAGAGTGGTATTAGTACCTCCCTTGATCTTGATTATATCCCTCTGTTAATGCAATTTAGGATTACATTGGCTTTTTTGGCTGCTGTCGCACACGGCTGACTCATATTTAGCTGGTTGTCCACTAAAACTCCAAGATCCCTCTCACTACTGTAACGCTCTCTACATGGGGCTCCCCTTGAGGAGCACCCGGAGGCTCCAACTGGCGCAGAGTGCGGCCGCGCGGGTGGTTATGGGAGCAACATGGCGCTCCCGTGTGACACCTCTCCTGCGCGAGCTGCACTGGCTCCCGGTGGTCTTCCGGGTGCGCTTCAAGGTTTTGGTCACCACCTTTAGAGCGCTCCATGGCTTAAGACCTGGTTATTTACGGGACCGCCTACTACCACAAGCAGCCTCCCACCGGCCGGTAGGATCTCATAGAGAGGGGCTCCTCCGGGTGCCGTCAGCTAAACAATGTCGACTGGTGGCCCCCAGGGGGAGGGCCTTCTCTGTGGGGGCACCTATTATCTGGAACGAGCTCCCCCCGGAGATACGGAGGATCCCGGATCTGCGCACTTTCCGCCGTGCTCTTAAGACTCTCCTATTCCAGCAAGCCGGCCTGGCCTAATTTTCTCCCCTGTTTTCAAATTCTTTTAAATTGAAATTTTAATCTGTTTTAAATTATTAGGATTTTTAATTGTCTCGGGCTAAATGATTTAATCTGGTTTTAATTATGTTTTTTAACTTTTGTATCTATGTATTTTATTTTGTGCCCGTTCACCGCCCTGAGTCCTTCGGGAGTAGGGCGGTATATAAATCTAATAAAACAAAACAAAACAAACAGTGACCACTATTAAGCCTGGTTTCCCCCAGTTTATATGCGTGCTTTTGGTTTTTCTTACCTAAATGTAAGACTTTACTTTTCTCTACATTGCATTGCATTTTGTTAGAAAAGGCCCAGGGTTCAAATCTGTCAAAATCCATCTGGATCTTGAGCCTATCTTCTAGGACAGTGATGGCTAACCTTTTTGCCGTCGCGTGCCAAAAGTGGGGGTCGCACGGGGGAGGGTCGCACGCTTGCATTCCCGCACCTGTACTTCAACACGCCCCGTCCCCCACACATGCAACAGCCCCCCTCTGCGCTCCCCCTACTTTGTGCACATGATGGCACAGTGGGCCCGTTTCTCACCCTCCCCAGGCTCCAGAGTCTTTCTAGGAGCCTGGGGAGGGCAAAAACAGCCTTCCCCAATCCACCCCGGAGGCCGGAAATGGCTTGTTTCCTAACTTCCGTTGGGCCCAGAAGGCCCAAAAACCAGCTGGCCAGCACTGGAGCTCAGCTAGGGTAATCCTCGTGTGCCCACTGATATGGGTCTGCGTGTCACAGGTGGCACGCGTGCTATAGGTTCGCCATCACGGTTCTAGGATGTTGGCTATTCCTGCCACCTTAGCACCATCTGCAAATTTGGTGAGTTCCCCTTCTACTCCCTCATCTAAGTCGTTTATGAAGATATATTAAAGAGTAAGGTAAAATGAAACGTGGCTGATTTTTCCCCCCCTAACCTCGTTGGTTTCCCCCTGTTTCAGCAACGTCTTGTAATTTCACTTTGAGTCGTTTCTCAAAAGTTCGCCTACAGATTTGCAGGCCCTTTCCTTAAATTTTTTGTTCCTTATTACCAGTAGAAGAAGATATTTGCAGCAAAGGGTTGAACTGTGGGGTCTTTAACGCTCTCTGAGCTGGGGGGGGGCGGTTCTTACAGACGTTTCATGACCCAGCTAGATAACATCATCAGTTCTGGAAGGGAGTGGGGTTTGCAGGAGGAGGAGGAGGAGGAAGGAGAGGAAGAAGAGGAGGAGGAGGGGGAGGAGGACTGTAGGGTCCTTGGCGATCTCAGAGCTTGCTTATTTTCTTGCAGACGTTTCATGACCCAACTAGGTAACATCATCAGTGCTAGAAGGGAGTGTGGGTTGTGGAGAGGAGGAGGAGGAGGAGGAGGAGGAGGAGGAGACTGTAGGATCCTTGGTCCTCTTTGAGCTTGGTTATTTTATGCAGGCGTTTCCTGACCCAGCTAGATAACATCATCAGTGCTAGAAAAGAGTGAGGTTTGTAGGGGGAGGAGGAGGAGGAGGAGGAGGAGGAGGAGGAGGAGGAGGAGGAGGAGGAGGAGGAGGAACAAGACCGTGGGGTCCTTGGTGGTCTCTGAGCTTGCTTATTTTCTTGCAGACACTTCATGACCCAACTAGCTAACATCATCAGTGCTAGAAGGGAGTGTGGGTTGTGGAGAGGAGGGAGGAGGAGGAGGAGGAGGAGGAGGAGGAGGAGGAGGAGGAGGAGGAGGAGGAGGAGGACGACGACTGTGGGGTCCTTGGTGCTCTCCGAGTTTGGCGGTTTCCTTGCTGACATTTCGTGACCCATCTAGGTAACACTATCAATACTAGGAGAGAGTGGGGTTTGCAGAGAGGAGGACAAGGAGGCGGACGAGGAGGACGAGGAGGAGGACGACGACTGTGGAGTGCTTGGTGGACTTTGAAATTGGTCTTTGTCTTGCAGACATTTCATGACCCAACTAGCGAACTTCATCAGAGCTAGAAGGGAGTAGAGTTTACTCTCTATTTAGGGAGCGTTCTTGACAGTCTCTTGAATAGGTTATCATTTCATTGATTGTCTGAGGTGATAGTTCCTTAACTGGGGTGTTGTTTATGGCTTGGCCTAGAGTTAAACTTGGGTGTTTGACAGCCTAATCGAGGAATCTCCAAGACCACTTCCACCAACACTGATAGGGCAACGCACTAGCATGTAAACAGAGCAAACCGCATTCCCTTTCGAATACAATTTTGCGATACCTTCAGCTCGGTTTTCCCTCGTAAGTCGAGCTTGTAACCTTCTTTGAGGGCGTGCAGGATCTCCACGGTCCGCAGGTTGACGTGGATGCGATAAGCTGCAAAAACGACAAAACACCAATGCATCCTTGGAAACACACAGAGTGAAGCACATCATAACCAGGGGCGAAATGCTCCCGGTTCGGTCCGGTTCGTCAGAACCGGTAATAGAAAAGGCTACTGGTTCGCCAAACCAGTAGTAAAAAAAATGTACAAAAAAAAAAAGTTCCGACGATCAGCTGAGCGACGCACGATGGAACTTTTTAAAAAACTTTTTTAGCATTTTTTTTTACTACCGGTTCTCCAGAACCAGTAGTTAAAAATGCTTAAAAAGTAAAAAAAAAAAACAAATTCCGAAGATTGGGCGTTGCCTCCGATATATGCTAAATAAACACAAATAAATAAATAAATACAAAACTATGCATATACCCACATATATTGTATGGCCCAGAGAAACAACACAGTCTAATTCGGATGTATCCATGTCAGTGGTGGGTTTCACTTACCTTTGCTACTGTTTCGCTCGTGCATGCGCCACATCTGCGCAAACGCAGAGCATATTTGATGACGTCCGGGCAGGTGGGCAGAGCTTCCCGCCTCCGCTGCTACCAGTTCTCCTGAACCGGGGTGAGCCGGTAGCAACCCACCACTGATCCGTGTCCAGGGTGAGAAAAACGAATCTTGCGGGTTACCCAGATGGATGGCATAGGGAATGAAGCTGTTACAGAATCTGATAGTCCTGCTAGAAATACTTCGAAACCCCCTCCAAGAGGGGAACAACAGAAACAGACCATAAAGGGGTGTGTGGGGTCTCTAACGATGCTTTGAGCTCTAAGCACATAGCGCTTATAAGCGGTATCCTGAATAACAACAGGAAGCGAGCTTCCTATAATAAGACTCAAAGGCATTTGGAAGGGATTCAGGAGGAGAGATCAAGCAGGGAATTAGTCTGGATTCATTAAGTAAACTGTCGGCCGCCGGTCCCTCCAGCAGCCAAATCAGAGGAGGAAGAGGAGGCGTGGGAGTCAGGGTCAGCCTCAAGGCAATCTGAGGGCTCCGAGGGGGAAGAGGGAATGGAGCTTGCAGAGAGAGAGGTGGGGGGGAGGGGGAGAGAGAGAGAGAGAGAGAGGGAGAGGGGGAGAGAGAGAGAGCGCCTGGGCTCTCCGTCAACCCTCAGATGGAGAGTCAACAGCCCCCAAGTCTGGAGGTGGCTGATGAGGAAGAGGAGGAACAGCTGGGTCCTGTGCCTGATGCACTGGTGCACAGAAGGCAGAGGAGAGGAGAGCAGTGGAAATCTATGGGCCGGTCCTCGGGACAGAAGAGCCACCGCTGCTAGCGAAACCCCACTCTAGCTCTGGGGATAAGAGGTAGAGGGCGGAGATGAATATGTGTGGCAGACAACTATTTGTCTCCCTGCTGGACAGATTTGTTAACCTGCTGTGTGTGAGAGAGAGACTTTTTAATAAAAGAATCATTAATTTAACTAATTTTGTCGTGTTGGGGAGCCAGGTCAGAACATAAACACAAGAGGGCTAATTCCCTGCTTTGGACAACACAGTTTGTTTGTCCGCAGAGAGAGAAAGTTGTAGATCGTCGTATTCTTTGCTTCTCCTCCAGGAGTGTTGGCGAGCCAGTCAGGAGGAGAGATCAAGCAGGGAATTAGTCTGGACTCATTAAGTAAACACAAGAGGGCACATTCCCTGGTTGAGAAGCAAAGAAGACGACAATCTACAACTCTCTCTCTCTGCAGACAAAGAAACTGTGTTGTCCAAGGCAGAAGATTGTATCTGGATTTTCAAAATTCACTCACTCATGTTCCCTAAGGTGGTGTTGTGGCTTTGTTACCGGAGCCTGTGTCATCGGCAGGAGAGGACTCCGAGAGTGAAGGAGAGGAGTTGGCAAGGCCTCCCTCTCCAGGACCCTCCTCTCTGGCAATGTCTTCGGTGTCTGCCGAAGGGCAAGAGATAGGGCTGGGGCCAAGCACGTCCACACAGCCACAGGTGGACAGTGATGAGAGTAATGAGTCTTGGCTGGATCCTCGACAGTGTCGCAGAGATAAGCATGCGCAACAGAAGAAAAGGCGTGCCAGAGATTAGGCTGAGTCACTGGACTACACCCCACAGGGTATAAAAGGGAGCGTGGTGGCCAGTCAAACCTTGTGACGAACAAAGCTGAAAGCTTCCACGCCATTCTGCATTGCCGGACTTTTGCTATAGACTTTGCTGGATTATATTTGGACTTAAGTTACTCTGTAATTATTGAACATTTTACTTTGATGTACCAGAAGCGGAGAGAAGTTATCTCTTCGTGAGTAATAAACTCTTGGCAGGCAGCCACTAGGTTGCTGCCAAGTTCCGTTATCATAAGGAAAAGGATTTTGTCGGCTGGTTTGGTTTTTAACTCTTGGACGTCTGTTGGTGTGTGTGCGTGTGGGACGGGGACAGAACAGGTGGGTTTTCCCTCTTGACACTTGGCCATTGGAGCTCCTTCCAACCCAAGGAGTTCTGACCCAGCTCCCCAAACACAACAAACCCTCTGAAGTTTAACTCAAAGATTCCGGTATTAGGAGTGCCAGTTTCTCTTTCACCGCAGGCTAACAAGTCTGTCCGGCCAGGAGACGAATAGTTGTCTGCCACATCTATTCATCTCCGCCGCCTGTCTTTTATCCCCAAAGCTAGGGTGGGGCTTCGCTAGCAGTGGTGGCTCTTCCATCCCGAGGACCAGCCCATAGATTTCCACTGCTCTCCTCTCCTCTGCCTTCTGTGCATCCGCGCGTCAGGCACAGGACCCAGCTGTTCCTCCTCTTCCTCATCAGCCACCTCCAGACCTTGGGCTGTTGACTTTCCATCTGAGGGCTGATGGACGGCCCAGGCTCCGCATCTCTCTCTCTCTGCCAACTCCAGTCCCTCTTCCCCCTTGGAGCTATAAGGTTGCCTTGATGCTGGCCCTGACTCCCAGGCCTCCTCCTTCTCCTCCTCTGATTCGGCTGCTGGAGGGGCCGACGGTGACAAGCCACAACACAAGGATGCATTACTCACGAAGGCCAGTGGACTCCATCCGCGAGGCAGTGTTGACCGTGTCCCCGAAGAGACAGTAGCGTGGCATCGTCAGTCCCACCACGCCAGCCACGCAGGGCCCTGTCAAGGACAGCAGACAAATTCAGTTCTTAAACGTCAGGAGCGGGTTTCAACCGCTTTTCGGCACACGTCTTATTTTTAAGGAAGGGAAAGGCCGAGAGGCACCGAAAAAGGACACCCTTCACCTTGTCGCTGATGACCTACCGGAGTGCAGGCCGATGCGTATCCGGACGGGTACTTCTGGCATATGACGCATCTTAAAAGAGCCAACCGCACTGAGGATATCGAGGGACATGTTGGCGATCTCACCCGCGTGTCGTTTCCCGTTCCGTTTCGGCAGCCCAGAGGCTACCATGTAGGCGTCGCCAATGGTCTCCACCTGTCAATCGGAAAAGGAGCGGTGAAAACAGCTGAAAGGTCTCGGGAAAGGGGGCTTGGCTTAGCTCCAGAAGTGAGGTGGGAAGAGTGAAGTAGTGACTTTAGGGGAAGTGCATCAGTAACTCATTTACCCATGAGTTCAAAGCGGAGTCTCTTTGAACACTGAATCATTTCTTCCTGAGTTTGTTGTAGCCAGAACAGAGCTACTCTTTATGACCTAATCTCCAAATAAATTCTCCTCTTAACAGAATAACCGGGTGGAAAAGGACCTTGATGATTTTCTAGTCCAACCCCCACCCAAAGAGACCCTGTACCGTTCTGGACAATTGGCTGTCTAATCTCTTCTTTAAAAACTTCCAATGTTGGAGCATTCACAACTTCTGGTGGCAAGTCGTTCCACTGGTTAATTGTTCTCATTGTCAGGAAATTCCTCCTTAGTTCTAGATTGCTTCTCCCCTTGATTAGTTTCCATCCATTACTTGTCCTGCCTTCAGGTGCTTTAGGGAATAGGTGGACCCCCTCTTCTTTGTGGAGGCCCCTCAAATACTGGAACACCGCTATCGTGTCTCCCCTAGTCCTTCTTTTCATTAAACTGGACAGACCCAGTTCCTGCAATCGTTCGTCATATGATTCAGCCTCCAGCCCCCTCATCATCTTGGTTGCTCTTCTCTCCACTTTTCCCCATTGGTTCTTTAAATCGAATATTCCTCCCAGTTCTCGATCAACCTCTGCTAATCTCTCACGAATCTAAAAGAAGAGAGGTGCTCAAACAGAAATGATCAAGATGGTATGTACCCCAGACCATTTTCCCCCCTAAGGTCCTCCTATTTTGTAGAAATCTAGCTCCCCAATCCTACATCTTTGCTTCCAAGATTCGTCAACTCGCTGAAAAGCCGATAGCCAGAGAATATGATCCTTGTTTGATGACACCAAGCATCAAGGCCATCTGGTACTCTGGTACTCTGTTCCCTGCCCATCCCTGCCTCCACCAAGCTATCACATTGCAACGAGCAAGGCAATACATTCATACATTTTCCAGCTACTAAGATTGTTGGATGAGCAGGGACAAAAACAGCCAGGAACGTGATTGAAACCTGAGAAATGGGCCCCTCGTCGGTCAACGTGCGTGTTGATTTACCACCAGCCTCTCAAGAACTTAGGAGGTGAGGTATTGGCCGCACAAGGAAACAATAGCCAATGATTTAATAGCCAGCCATCAGCAAACCAATCGACAACTTAAGAGCAGAGGTGGTATTCAGCCGGTTCGTACTGGTTTGGGTGAACCAATAGCAGATATCGTGGGTAGGCCTGTCCACCCGCCCCCCGACTCTGGCTCTATACTGTCCTATTTAGGAACAGTTTTGAGGCCGGGCACAATTGGTAGCAGCAAAATGTAAAACCCACCGCTGCTAAGGAGCCAACCTGACCCCATATAAATACCACACACAGAATACCCCCGAGCACACAATTCGTCAGAGAGAAGTTCCCTGAAGATGGGCTCCAGCACAAGTCAGAAAGCTCAAAAGACAAAACCTCCGGTCCCGGCAACCGACCCAGATTGGATCCTGCAACATTATCCTGGGACGCGTAGCTCCGCCTTCATTTGTAACCCATAACAAAGATGGCTGATCTGCCTTCACCTTATACACGTCATGGGAGCCGATGATGGCGTCGAAGAGGGTGTACAGATCGTTGAGCAGGTCAACCACCTCAATGGGGTCGCTCATGGCTGAGATGGTGGTGAAGCCCACGATGTCGCTGAAATATAAGGTCACCTCTTCGAAATATTCGGGTTCCACTGGCGCCCCCGTCTTCAGGGCCTCGGCCACAGAACTGTAGAGATTGCAAGCCGAGAGGTCAGTTTGAGGCCGCGGATCAGCCTTGAAAAACGCCAAATAAATGTTAGGCAATTTTGCGGGAAAATATTGCACGCTGGCAACCTAGCAGCTTCCAAAATTGCTTGATTAGAGGAATTCTTAATTGATTGCATCTTCCAATAGATTAATGTTAAGTTAAGTTAAGTTAAGTTAAGTTAAGTTAAGTTAAGTTAAGTTAAGTTAAGTTAAAAGTTAAGTTAAAAGTTAAGTTAAAAGTTAAGTTAAAAGTTGTTAAATTAAGTTGAATTAAAAGTTAAGTTAAAAGATGAGTTAAAAAATGTTAAAAGTTCAGTTAAAAGTTCAGTTAAAAGATCCGGCCTGCAGGGTGCTTAAATCCAGCCCGTGGAGCTGGCCTGGAAATATCAAAGGACCAGCCCACGGGGTCTCTGGCGGCTAAAATGGCTGCATCCCGCCCCCTGCGCCTCATTTTCACCCTCCATGGAGGGGGCCGTGGCCTGCGACTCGGTGGAACAACACGAACTTTGGGGCTCTGGAGTGAGCGTCGATATCTCAGCTGTTTTGGGGGTCCATAGGGGACCATAGCTGACCCGTAGGGTCAGTGAAGAAAGGGGGCACAGGCCGGTGTGGACAGGGAATGCCCCCTGCAGCACTCTGCCGGCTGAAAACGAGCCGAAAAATGGGTCGAAAACGAACTGAAAAATGAGCCAAAAACGGGCCCGAAAAACGTGCTGAAAACAGGCCCAAAAATGGCCAGCAGAGTGCTGCAGGAGTCCATGGAGGGTGGAAACAACGCACAGGGGCCAGCATGCGGACTCCCCGTGCCCCATTTTGGCCAGCAAGGTGCTGCGGAAGGCATCCCTCCCCCCCCCCTGCCCTCCGCCCCACCAACCCGCGGAGGAGAACTACAATGCTGATCCGGCACTCGAAGCAATCTAGTTTGACACCCCTGCCATAGAGCATCGACCCCTCTCTAGTGTCAAGTTTCGAGGTCGTCTCAAATAAATTGCATTTCAAACAAAGTCTTTGGAGAAAAACTCCTATTTATTAAGCACGACATTCTAACCCGACTCCAAACGAAGCCAACACTGACTTCCAGCCCCAAAACCCTCCCTTTCCGTTCCCCACTCCCCTGCACTCATTGGCCATCTTCCAAGCCACTCTACCCCTAATCTACTGCTCCAGCTCAAAGGAATTTCCCCCCTCCCATCTCATCTCCCAGGGGATATTATCTCCAGGGAAAATAAGTAGGTGAAAAGTCAAACGTCCCTTTCCAGCCGCCTTCGCTTCTCCTTCTTATGTCAGCACTAGAGTAAATGCAGGTTGAAGTGCTGACATCTAGTTTAATTCGGATTCCTACTCTGAGCAAAGGGTTTGGCTGAATGACTTCAACAATTCTGGGCAATTCTGGGTGCGTGGAATTATGTAGAACTCTCGGGGAAAATCCTGCGATCTGCATTTGGTCTCCACCCTCCTGGCTGAAGGTCTTTTGGGTTTCGAGAGAGACTCACGGGGGCAGCATCTGCGTTAACAATCTGTCGGTCTTCTGCTTCTCGACTTCCAGCTCTTCGGTCCTTTCCCGGATCAGGTCTTCCAAATTGCTGGAATATTGTTCCAACATACGTAACATGGAGTCGATAATGTTGGTTTTCCTTCCTTTGTTGATGCTTTTAAACTGTGGGAGAAGAATGGAAAGAGGTCTAGAAGCCAACCCTGCTTTTATATCTCGATATTCAATTGTGCACGTACGAAATTTTGAAAGGCAGATTAGATAACAACAGAATAACAGAGATGGAAGGGACCTTGGAGGTCTTCTAGTCCAACCCCCAGCTCAAGCAAGAGACTCTAGACCATTTCAGACAAATGGTTGTCCAGTCTCTTCTTGAAAATCTCCAGTGTTGGAGCACCCATAACTTCTGGTGGCAAGCTGTTCCACTGGTTAATTGTCGTCACTGTCAGGAAATTTCTCCTTAGTTCTAAATTGGTTCCCTCCTTGATGAGTTTGTATCCATTGCCTCTTGTCCTGCCGTCTGGTGCTTTGGAGAATAGTGGACCCCCCTCTTCTCGGTAACAGCCCCTCAAATATTGGAAGACTGCTGTCATGTCACCCCTAGTCCTCCTTTTCATTAAATTAGACAAGTAGATGATAGTGTAGAAGAAAGAGAGAGAGAGATGATAGATAGATAGATAGATAGATACATAGATAGATAGATACATAGATAGATAGATAGATAGATAGATAGATAGATAGATACGTAGATAGATAGATAGATAGATATAGATGATAGATAGATGATAGAGAGAGAGATGATACATAGATAGATAGATGATAGATAGATGATAGACAGAGAGAGAGATGATAGATAGATAGATAGATAGATAGATAGATAGATAGAGATAGATAGAGATAGATAGATAGATAGATAGATAGATAGATAGATAGATAGATAGATAGAGATAGATAGAGATACATAGATGAGAGAGAGAGAGAGGGAGGGAGAGAGATTATGAATATATAGAGAGAGATGATAGATGATAGATAGATAGATAGATAGATAGATAGATAGATAGATAGATAGATAGAGATACATAGATGATAGATAGATAGAAAGGGAGGGAGAGAGATTATGGATAGAGAGAGAGAGAGATGATAGATAGATAGATAGATAGATAGATAGATAGATAGATAGATAGATAGATAGATAGATAGATAGATAGATAGATAGATAGATAGATAGATAGATAGAGATAGATAGAGAGAGAGAGATAGATGGATATATAGAGAGATTATAGATAGATAGATAGATAGATAGATAGAGATAGATAGATAGATAGATAGATATATAGATAGATAGATAGAAGAGAGGGATAGAGTAGGGAGGAGAGAGATTATGATAGAGAGATAGATAGATAGATAGATAGATAGATAGATAGATAGATAGATAGATAGAGATAGATAGATAGATAGATAGATAGATAGATAGATAGAGATAGATAGAGATAGATAGAGATAGATGAGAGAGAGAGAGAGAGATTATGGATATATAGAGAGAGAGATAGATAGATAGATAGATAGATAGATAGATATAGATATAGATATATAATAGATATAGATGAAAGGGAGGGAGAGAGATTATGGATAGAGAGAGAGAGATGATAGATGATAGATAGATAGATAGATAGATAGATAGATAGATAGATAGATGATAGATAGAGATAGATAGATAGATATAGATACATAGATGATAGAGAGAGAGAGGGAGGGAGGGAGAGAGATTATGGATAGAGAGAGAGAGAGATGATAGATAGATAGATAGATAGATAGATAGATAGATAGATAGATAGAGATAGATAGATGATAGATAGATGATAGATAGATGATATAGAGATATTTAGAAATTAAATAAGTATACTGTATATTAGATATTTAATATTGGAGGGATGGTCTCGGAGAAGAGGGAGTCAAGCTATCCTCCAAAGCACCTGAAGGCAGGACAAGAAGCAACAGATGGAAATTACTGTATTTTTCAGACTATAAGATGCACTTCCCCACCCCTAAAAGAGGGTGAAAATTTGGGTGCGTCTTATACACCAAATGTAGCTGGCCCCCACCCTTTGGCCTCTGCCTCCCAGCAATTTACCTCCTTGCAGCAAACAGCAAACAGCCCATTTCAACTTCGGCACGGCCTGATTAGCACAAGCAGCTGATTGTCGGTTGGATCGGCCTCCCGACCGTCAGCTGTTTCAGGCTGCAGGGATTGCCATTGCCTATTGCCACGCGGGCCTCCGCTGTTTGCTGCAAGGACGCAAATTGCTGGGAGGCAGATTTTTTTTTTTTTTTGTGCTAATCAGGCTGTGCTGAAAATGAAAATGAAACTATAGCAGGCTGTTTGCTGCAAGGAGGAAAATTGCTGGGAGGCAGAGCCAGAGGCAGATTTTTTTTTCTTGTTTTCCTCCCCAAAAAAGGTAGGTGCGTTTTATAATCCGGAGCGTTTTATACTCCGAAAAATACGGTAATCAAGGAGACATTCAACCTAGAACTAAGGACACATTTCCTAACAGTGAGAACATTTAACCAGTGGAACAACTTGCCACTGGCGTTTTTAAAGAAGAGATTGGACAACCATTTGTCTGGAATGTTATAGGGCCGGGATGGCGAACCTGTGGCACGTATGCCACAGGTGGCACGTGTAGCCATATCAGTGGGCACGCCAGCTCAGCTCTGGCGCGCATGTGCGTGCCGGCCACCTGATTTTCAGGCCTTTTGGGCCCACCAGAAGTAGAGAAACAGGCTGTTTTCTGCCTCCGGAGAGCCTGGGGTAGGTGGGGAAGGCTGTTTTCGCCCTCCCCAGATGCATAGAGAGGATCTGGAGCCAGGTGACAAAGAAAAATGGGCCAGGAGCAAGGGGGGAGGGGGGGTTGGCGCGCATGCGCAGGGTGGGCCGCATAGAATTATGGGTGTGGGCACGCGCGTGCGCAAACCTCCCCTGCCCCGCCCCTTCCTGGCACGCAATGGCAAAAAGGTTGCCATTGTTATAGGGTCTCCTCTCTGAGCGGGGGGTTCGACTAGAAGACCTCTAAGGTCCCTTCCAACTCTTGTTAGTCTGTATTCTGACTCCTTCCCCTTCTAGCCACCATTCCTGGTTTCACGTCACCTGATCAAAGACTTGATTGATATTGGGTCTCCTGTCCGGTTGTTCGCTCCAGCATTCCTTCATTAGCTGGATACACTCCATCGGCGCTTGGTCTATGGAGACAGACGGGCGGCAAAGAGGAGGGGGTTTCTCCACCTTTTTGATGATCTCTGCTTGGACAAAGACAAAATGTTCACGTTGGCTCCCGTCCAGGCGTACTCAGAAGAAATCCCATCGCCATCTGGAGACCCCACTGAAGAAATATCCCGACTCGCACCAGGAATTGTGAAGAAATATAATATCGCTATCAAGTTAGTCCTTGAATTATGACTATCATCATTTAACGACCCCCATAATCCCTTGCGGGGTGGAGTCTGGGCAACTGAATTTAGCTAGCAGAGTGTTTTACTGGCCGGATGCCTTTCCTGTCGCCAAGGCGGAGTTTTGTTTGGTAGATATAATGTGCCCGGAGAGAGAAATATCTGCCTCTACTTAGGATCAAACTCACGGCCTCCTGATTATGAGGTCAGAGTTCCACCACTAGGCCACCGCACCACTCCTGAATTATGACTATCATGGGGACGGGATGCCAGATTTTACTACCCTTTTGGGCCAGGGTTGTTAAGTGAACTACACAGTTGTTAAGTGAGTCCGGCTTCTCCCGTTAATTTGGCTTGTCGGAAGCTGGCTGGGAAGTTAACCAAGAGTGATCACATGACCCCAGGACACAGCAACTGTCATAAATACAACACAATGGTTGCCGCGCACACAAATTGTGTGACTGTCGGGGTGCTGTGATGGTTATAAGTCCCACAGGTCCGGGTGATTGGCCCAAAGTTACCCAGCCAGCTTTTGCGCCTAAGGCAGGACTACAACTCCCCGTCTCCTGGTGATTATCACAAAGTCACCCAGCTGACTCTCATGCCTAAGACAGGACTGGTACCCGCAACCTCCTGCTGATTGGTTGAAAGTCATCCAGCTGCTCTCATGCCTAAGGCAGGACTACAACTCCCCGTCTCCTGGTGATTATCCCAAAGTCACCCAGCTGACTCTCATGCCTAAGACGGGACTAGTACCTGCAACCTCTTGCTGATTGGTTGAAAGTCACCCAGCTGACTCTCGTGCCTAAGGCAGGACTACAACTCCCCGTCTCCTGGTGATTAGCCCAAAGTCACCCAGCTGACTCTCAAGCCTTAGACGGGACTACAACTCCCCATCTCCTGGTGATTAGCCCAAAGTCACCCAGCTGACTCTCATGCCTAAGACGGGACTGGTACCCGCAACCTCCTGCTGATTGGCTGAAAAGTCATCCAGCTGACTCTCATGCCTAAGGCAGGACTACAACTCCCCATCTCCTGGTGATTGGCTCAACGTCACTTAGCCAGCTTTCGTGCCTGAGGTGGCTTCATAAGTGACTTCCTTGAGTGGTCTTGTATCTTTGCCAAAATAGGCAAAACAAAAATAGGCAAAAGAAAAAAAGCCTCTGCCGATCAGGCAACTCAGCTGGGATCGTCAGAGCCTTTTGAAAGCATTTTTTTAACCACCTCTTCGCCGAAGAGGTTGTACAAAAAATGGTTTTAAAAGTTAAAAAAAAAATTGGCCATGCCCACCCAGTCACATTACCCCCACCACCACCAAGCCACGCCCACAGAACCGGTAGTAACAAATTTTAGATTTCACCACTGGCTCAAGGTCTTCTGACTTCCAGCCCCTGAACCCTGGCAAGGAGAGGACAACCCACCTCTGCCCTTCTCTTCATCGCTCCCCCACCCCCCTTAGGTACCTTCGGCGCTCATATCCAGCATACAATAAGGCGCGTCGCGGCAGATGACTTCTTGAATGATGATGGAAATACTGTAGATGTCGCCCCAGAGGCTGCCTTTCCGTTCCAGCGCCGGATTCCTCAACATTTCTGGCGCGGTCCAGAAACGGTCTGGTGGAATAAATTGGGGGTTGGACTAGATCAGTGATGGCTAATCTTTTTGCTGTTGCGTGCCAAAGTCGTCCGCCTGGACTACTGCAATGCTCTCTACATGGGGCTCCCCTTGAGGAGCACCCGGAGGCTCCAGCTGGTCCAGAATGCGGCCGCGCGGGTGGTTATGGGAGCGACATGGCGTTCCCATGTGACACCTCTCCTGCGCGAGCTGTACTGGCTCCCGGTGGTCTTCCGGGTGCGCTTCAAGGTATTGGTTACCACCTTTAGAGCGCTCCATGGCTCAGGACCTGGGTACTTACGAGACCGCCTTCTGCCACAGGTAGCCTCTCACCGGCCGGTACGCTCCCACAGAGAGGGGCTCCTCAGGGTGCCGTCGGCCAAACAATGTCGACTGGCGGGCCCCAGGGAGAGAGCCTTCTGTGTGGGGGCACCCGCCCTCTGGAACAAGCTCCCCCCCGGAGATACGGAGGATCCCGGATTTACGCACTTCCCGCCGTGTCCTCAAGACTTTTTTTATTCCAACAAGCGGGGCCGACCTAACTCTTTTTAATTGTTGAATTTGAATTTGAATTTGTTTTTAAAAATAGGGGTGTTTTTAATTCGTATGGGCCAAATTTATTTAATATGTTTTTTAAATTGTTTTTTTAAAATTTTATATCGTATCTGTTTTATCTATGGCTGTTCACCGCCCTGAGTCCTTCGGGAGTAGGGCGGGATATAAATCTAAATAAACTCAAACTCAAAAGTGAGGGGACCATCGGGGGTGGGGGGGTCGCATGTGCGCACACCCAAAATTCAATGCATCCCGAAACACCCCCCTCACGCATGCGCATGTGGGCCCCCCCCCCCACTTCTGGCATGTGATGGCACAATGGGCCTGGTAGGCCTGTTTTTCGCCCTCCCCAGGCTCCAGAGGCTTTTTAGGAGCCTGCGGAGGGTGAAAATGGCCTCCCCCCTCCCCCAAGGCCCTCTGGAGACCGGAAATGGCCTGTTTCCCAACTTCCGGTGGGACTGGAAGACCAGTTTTTCGCCCTCCCCAGGCTCCAGAGGCTTTCTAGGAATCTGCGGAGGGCAAAAACGGCCTTCCCCACTCCACTCGGAGGCCGAAAGCAGCCTGTTTCCTGATTTCCAGTGGGCGCGGAAAGCCCGAAAATCAGCTGGCGGAGCTGACTTAAGGCAACGCTCGAGAAGGCAGGAGCACAAGGAAGCATCCATCTTAATCTGTGGCACATGGTCATCCAAGGACAAACCCACATCCCATACACCGAGCATCGCTGGTGAGATTTAAATTGTGGTGTTTAGCAAGAACTCAATACTATCTATCTGGTATTTGATTCTCATTGTATGTATCCCTGTTTTCCCCAGTTTCACCATATCCTGTTCTTTGAATAAAGCATCCAGATCAGGGGGGGTTCTAAAAATTTTTTACTACCGGTTCTGTGGGTGTGGCTTATTTTGTGGGCGTGGCTTGGTGGGAGGGTAATGTGATTGGGTGGGCGTGGCCAACTTTTTTTTTTTTTTTTTACTTTTAAAAGCATTTTTTCTACAACCTTAAGAGGTTGCAGAAAAAAATGCTTTGAAAAGCCTCTGCCGATCAGGCAACTCAGCTGGGAGCGTCAGAGGCTTTTCAAAGCATTTTTTAAAAACCACCTCTTTGGCTGAAGAGATTGCAGAAAATTTATTTATTTATTTATTTATTGGTTCGATTTATATGCCGCCCTTCTCCGGAGACTCAGGGCGGCTTACAATGCGTTAAGCAACAGCCTTCATACTTTTTGTATATACCTGCTTAGTAGGGCTTTCGCCCCCTCCTAAGCGTTGTCCTTTTTTATACAAAGTCAGCTTATTGCCCCCACAATCCGGGTCCTCATTTTACCTTCCTCGAAAGGATGGAAGGCTGAGGCAACCTTTAGCCTGGTGAGATTTGAACTCGCAGTAATTGCAGGCAGCTGGCAGCTAAGTGCTACTTAACAGCACTTTAGTCCGCTGCGCCACCAAGGCTCTTCGGCCCCCTCGGCTGAAGAGGTTGCAGAAAACAATGCTTTGAAAAGCCTCTGCCGATCAGGCAACTCAGCTGGGATCGTCAGAGGCTTTTCAAAGCATTTTTTTAACCAACTCTTCGGCTGAAGAGGTTGTAGAAAAAAAATGCTTTGAAAAGCCTCTGACGTTCCCAGCTGAGCCGCGGGATCGTCAGAGGCTTTTTTTTTTTTTTTTTACTTTTAAAAGCATTTTTTCGGCCAAAGAGGTTGTAGAAAAAATGCTTTTAAGAGTTTAAAAAAAAAAAAAGCTGATGAGGTGGGCAGGGTAAGTGAGCGGCAACCAGGCCAGGGACCAGTTCGGGGGCGTGGCTAGCCAATGTTATTACCGGTACTCGGAACTACTACAAATTTTTACTACCGGTTCTTGTGAACCGGTGCGAACCGGGATCAACCCACCACTGATCCAGATCTACTCACACGGTTTGTTTTATTGGAAGATAGGTGGGTTTAGCTGCATGTCGGGCTGCACACAGACTAATGTGTGGGGTGGGGGGGCAGAAAACAAGCCATCATAGAAGCAGTCGAAACAGCCAACCAAATTTTGGATCATGCGGCCGCGGGGATACCGCAAACCATTGCAGGTTTGAAAAAATGGACTTTTTTTGCAACTTTGAACACTCACTCAATGAGCTGTCGTAAGTCGATATATTTATTTATTTATTTATTTTTCAGATTTCTATACCGCCCTTCTCCTTTCGGACTCAGGGCGGTGAACAGCCAAAGTCAAATACTTTATACACAAAAGTTAAAATCGATTTAAAATAATTCAATAATTTGGCCCATAATTTAAAACATTTCAATTTAAAACCAATTTCAAATTTTAAAAACCCATCGTAAAATCAGGACAGCCCAGCTAACTGAAAGAAGTAGGTTTTAAGGGCCCGACGAAAAGTCCGGAGGTCTGGGATCACTCGTATCTCTGGGGGTAGATCATTCCAGAGGGTAGGTGCCGCCACAGAGAAGGCTCTCCCCCTGGGGGTCGCCAGCCGACATTGTCCGGCCGACGGCACCCTGAGGAGGCCCTCTCTGTGGGAGCGAATTGGCCGGTGGGAGGCAATTGGTGGCAGAAGACGGTCCCGTAAGTACCCCGGCCCTAAGCCATGGAGCGCTTTAAAGGTGATCACCAACACCTTGAAGCGCACCCGGAAGTCCACCAGAAGCCAATGCAGCTCGCGCAGGAGAGGAGTCACGTGGGAGCGCCCCGTCGCTCCCATAATCCCCCGCGCGGCCGCATTCTGCACCAGTTGGAGCCTCCGGGTGCACCCCAAGGGGAGCCCTGTGTAGAGAGCGTTACAATAGTCCAGATGAGAAGTGACGAGTGCTTGAGTGACTGTGCGTAGGGAGTCCCGATCCAGAAAAGGGCGCAACTGGCATATCAGGCGAACCTGATAGAAAGCCCCCCCTGGCCACGGCCGTCATATGATCTTCTAAAGACAGCCGTGCGTCCAGAAGGACGCCCAAGTTGTGAGCCCGTTCCGTGGGGGCCAATGATTCGCCCCCAATAACCAGCGATGGCGCCAGCTGGCTATACCGGGACGCCGGCAGCAACAGCCACTCGGTCTTGGAAGGGTTGAGTCAAAGCCTGTTTCTCCCTATCCAGACCCGCACGGCCTCCAGACACTGGGACATCACTTCCAAGGCATCGTTGGGATAATCTGGGGTGGAGATGTACAGTTGAGTATCATCAGCGTACTGATGGAACTCCACCCCAAAACCACGGATGATCTCACCCAGCGGCTGGAGACATTTGATCGGCCCGTGTAATTCCCTTCTCATCCCCATTTTTTCCTCTACTGACCCTCAGGCTTCATCGGTTCTCGGTCCACCTCCTGAGCTTCCAACAATTCGTTGTATCCGTGATCCGTGACTTTCAGGACAAAACGGCCGTCCACCACGCAATTCCGAGACTTCAGCCGACCGTGCGGGAATTTCTGATGGTGCAGATACTTCATTCCCTGGGGGAGAAAAAGAAGAGGTTGAGTGGGTCTTGGGCTCGTCGCAATGCAGGGAGTCCTCGTTCAGCGACCACAGTCAGCGCCGGCCATTGGAGTCCCGAAGCGAAGCGAAAGCACGATTTCGCTTATGATCTTTTAGCTTTCCTTTTGCATTTCACAGCCCTGAAGGTCGTCACTACAGCTAGTCCTCGACGTACGGCCACAAGGAAGCCCCAAATTTATGTCGCTAAGGGAAACATCCGCTAAGCGAGTTTTGCCCCATTTTACGACCTTTCTCGCCAGGGTTGTTAAATGAATCGCTGCCAATGTTAAAGTGAGTAACACGGCTGTTAAGTGAATCTGGCTTCCCCGTTGTCAGAAGGTCGCAAAAGGGGACGATGTGACCCCGGGACACTGTGACCGTCATAAATGTGAGTCAGTTGCTGAGCGTCTCAACTTTGATCACGTGGCCACGAGGAGGCTGCAGTTGTTATAAGTGTGAAACATGGTCATAAATCCTTTTTATCAGTGCCATCGTAACTTTCAACAATGGGTCCAGTGCCTGATGCGTGGATGCACAAAAGGCCTGAGGAGAGGAGAACAGTGGAAATCTATGGGCCGGTCCTCGAGACAGAGAGACAGAGGTGGAGCCTGGACCGTCCGTCAGCCCTCAGATGGAGAGTCAAAAGCTCCCAAGTCTGGAGGTGGCTGATGAGGAAGAGGAGTAACAGCTGGGTCCTGTGCCTGACGCGTGGATGCACAGAAGGCAGAGGAGAGGAGAACAGTGGAAATCTACGGGCCGGTCCTCGGGACAGAAGAACCATTGCTGCTAGCGAGGCCACACCCTCACTCTGGGGATAAAAGGCAGGGGGCGGAGATGAATATATGTGGCACACAACTATATCATCTCCCAGACGGACGGACATGTTAGCCTGCGGTGAGAGAGAAACCTTTTGTCGGGGGTGCCGACGCTCCTAATAAAGGAACATTTTGAGTTCACTTCAGAGGGTTTGTCGTGTTTGGGGAGCCGGGTCAGAACAAATAGCGAGAGCTCTTTCCCGCGCACCTTGATAAGGTCCAGCAGCAAGGACGACTTGAACATCCAGTCCAGCTTCATGTCCTCGTTACGGAGAAGGTCCTCGAGACTCCCTCGCATGCAGTGCTCGGAGACAATAGCCAGGACCCCGCTGTCATGGAAGAAGCCTACGAAAGGGTTGACGTTTTCGTGTCTCAGGTCCCGCAGCTGAATGTGGGGAAGAACAAAAGGGAATGAGAAGTGAGAGCCCTTCCTCAATCGGCATGGTGGGAATGGCTCTCGGTGTTTTCTTTTCTGTGGGAAACTGGTCAAAATAGCTCTTTTGAGTGTTTAAGGTTGCAGACCTCTGTACTAAGGCTTTATAGTATTAGTACCTCCCTTGATCTTGATTGTATCCCTCTGTTAATGCAGTTTAGGATGGCGTTTGTTGTGGCTCCGTTACCGGAGCCTGTGTCATCGGCAGGAGAGGACTCCGAGAGTGAAGGAGAGGAGTTGGCAAGGCCTCCCTCTCCAGGACCCTCCTCTCTGGCAATGCCTTCGGTGTCCGCCGAAGGGCAAGAGATAGGGCCGGGGCCAAGCACATCCATGCAGCCACAGGTGGACAGTGATGAGGGTAATGAGTCTTGGCTGGATCCTCGGCAGCGTCACAGAGATAAGCGCACGCAACAGAAGAAAAGGCGTGCCAGAGATTAGGCTAAGTCACTGGACCACACCCCACAGGGTATAAAAGGGAGCGTGGTGGCCATTCAGACTCTGTGATGGACAAAACTAACTACTATCGAGTCACATTGCATCTTTGGAAACAACATTATCGGCCTTGGATTTATTTTATGAACTGGACAATTCTTGACTGTGGGTATTTTGTTTATTGAGTAAAAGTTCTTGGCAAGCAGCTACTGGGTTGCTGCCAAGCGTCTTATCGGAAGAATTGGTTGTCTGCCAGTTTATTTAACCCCCGGCTGTCTGTTTGTGTGCGTGTGTGAGACGGGGACAGAACAGCGTTGGCTTTTTTTGACTGCCGCTGCACACAGCTGATATTTAATCATATTTAATCGGTTGTCTACTAAGACTCCACCTACCAAGAATCTAAACTTTGCTGGCTCTTGGTCCTCTGGAATGCAGCCCCTCCCTCTCAGGAATCCAGACTGCATTCCACCGCAGTCCAGGACCAACCTTAAGACAGACAAAATCTCAGTGGCCTTATCAGCGCTTCTCTCGTAAGAGGAAGCCCAACCTTCCCGCTGCTAAGCGAGACCGCCGTTCAGTGAATTTTGCCCCATTTTACGATTTTTCTTGCCGCCGTTGTTAAGTGAATCACGGCCGTTGTTAAGTGAGTTAAAGCGGTTGTTCAGTGAATCTGGCTTCCCCGTTGATTTTGCTCGTCAGAAGGTCGCCAAAAAAAGGGGACACGGCAAACCGTCGTAAATACGAGTCCGTTGCCAAGCGTCTGAATTTTCATCATGGGATTACGGGGATGCTGCCATGGTCGTAAGTGTGAAAAACGGTCATCAAAAGTCACTTTTTTCAGTGCCGTTGCAGCTTCACTAAATGAAGCATCGTAAATCGAGGATTACCTGTAGGGAGATTGGCTCAAGAAGCCACTTTGACACATCAACCAGGAATGATCGTCTCTCGCATCCTTCCCCATCACTGCCCCCCTAACCCTGACCCTCTAATGGCAGAGAGTAGAAGACCTCTGAGGTCCCTTCCAACTCTTATACTCGGTTGTGGTTCTACCCATTTTTGAAGGAAAACTCTCCAGAACTCACCTGGCAAAAAACTTTTTCGGCGCTTGATTTGACCTCGATGTTCTTTGTTCCGGGGAATCTTTTCAGCCACACCCAGTCACCCTAAAGGTGGGGGAGGGGAAGACAAAGAAGGACAGACCTGGTGACCTTCAACCATCTCGAACACTCAAAAGAAGCCGGAAGGAAGGAGACACTCGCCCCGCGTCAGTGCTAGCTGATGGGTAGCCTAACCAAGCAGTTTCATAGAGACGTTAGAAACATACATTAATAGATAGATAGATAGATAGATAGATAGATAGATAGATAGATGAGAGATACATGAGAGAGAGAGATTAGAGAGAGATGATAGATAGATAGATAGATAGATAGATAGATGATAGAGAGAGATGATAGAGAGAGCAAGTAAGAGCGAAAGAGATGATAGATAGATAGATAGATAGATAGATAGATAGATAGATAGATGATAGATAGATAAAATAGATGATATAGATAAGATAGATGATAAAGATAAATAGATAGATAATAGATGATAAAGATAGATAGATGATAGATGATAAAGATAGATAGATAGATAGATAGATAGATAGATAGATAGATAGATAAATATAGATAAGGTAGATGATAAAGATAGATGATAGATAGATAGATAGATAGATAGATAGATAGATAGATAGATAGACAGACAGACAGACAGACAGACAGACAGACAGACAGACAGACAGATAACAAAGAGGAGAGGACCAAATCCTTGGACAACCCACACTGGACCAACCAAGGTCTCAAACCCCAAACTTCATGACTTTCCCATGAAAGATGATGAGCTCCAGAGTTGAGCCTTCTTCTTGGTATTCCATAGTTGATGTTCAGGTCGACCCTACCCCACCATATTCTGATGGACACAGAAGTCCAATCTTTGCAGGATATGGCTTTACATCTGAGGTCCTTCCTTTAAGCCCTCCAACTCCACCACCTCCTCCTAATACTGAAAGAATTTGGGACCAGACGCAACGCAGGAAGGAATATGACTTCACCTCAACCACGGCTACATTCTGTTCCACCTCCGCCTCATTTTTCAAGCTTTTCTTCTCAGAGCCGTCATCCGACTTCTAGGGAGGAAGAAGACAGGTCAGTGTAAACTAAAGAACGTTCTGAAATAATGTTATTGAGCAACCTTTAAGAACAAGAATGGTGGACCTAACCTTGGGTAGATACATCTACATCTTGATGGTCCCAATGAACAAGAGAGGTGGACCTAACCTTGGGTAGATACCTCTACATGTTGATGGTACCAAAGAACAAAAGAGGTGGACCTAACCTTGGGTAGATACATCTACATCTTCATGTTCCCAAAGACAAGAAAGATGGACCTAACCTTGGGTAGATACCTCTACATCTTGATGGTACCAAAGAACAAGAGAGGTGGACTTAACCTTGGGTAGATACATCTACATTTTCATGTTCCCAAAGAACAAGAAAGATGGACCTAACCTTGGGTAGATACATCTACATCTTCATGTTCCCAAAGAACAAGAAAGATGGATCTAACCTTGGATAGATACATCTACATCTTCATGTTCCCAAAGAACAAGAAAGATGGATCTAACCTTGGGTAGATACATCTACATCTTCATGTTCCTGAAGAACAAGACAGGTGGACCTAAACTTGGGTAAATACATCTACATCTTGATGGTACCAAAGAACAAGAGAGATGGACCTAACCTTGGGTAGATACCTCTACATCTTGATGGTACCAAAGAACAAGAGAGGTGGACCTAACCTTGGGTAGATACCTCTACATCTTGATGGCCCCAATGAACAAGAGAGGTGGACCTAACCTTGGGTAGAAACACCTACATCTTGATGGCCCCAATGAACAAAAAAAGTGGACCTAACCTTGGGTAGATACCTCTACATCTTTGATGGTACCAAAGAACAAGAGAGGTGGACCTAACCTTGGGTAGATGCATCTGTCAGCACTCCAAGCTGCATTCACTCCAGTGCTGACATAAGAAGGAGAAGGTGGGGGCATCTGGCAAGAGGACGCTTGACTTTTCACCTACTTATTTTCCCTGGAGATACTATCCCCTAAGAGATGGGTTGGGAGGGGGGAAATTCCTTTGAACTGAAGTAGTAGATAACAGCAGAGTGACTTGGAAGATGGCCAATGAGAAGCAGAGCAGTGGGGAAAGGAAAGGGTGGGTTTGGACCAGGAAGTCAGTGTTGGCTGCAACTGAGTCGGAGTTTTGATTGTTGTGCCTAATAAATGAAAGATTTTGATCAAGGACTATTTGTTTGAAATGCAATTAATTTGAGACGACACCGAATCCTGACAGCATCTACATCTTGATGGTCCCAATGAACAAGAGAGGTAGAGCTAATCTTGGGTAGAAACATCTACATCTTGATGGTCCCAATGAACAAAAAAAAGTGGACCTTATCTTGGGTAGCTACATCTACATCTTGATAGTTCCAAAGAACAAGAAAGATGGACCTAACTTTGGGTAGATACCTCTACATCTTGATGGTCCCAAAGTTGGCCATCTCTCCCAGCATTGCAAGGCCAGTGATAGTCATCTTTTGACCCAACCTCTTTTCTTGCATCGATCTGAGACGGTCACTATTCACTCAGCCCACCTCTGATTTTGAAGCGCTTTACTCAACGGTCACACTTCCTACCGCCATGGGGTTGTGTCCTCCTCGAGGTTATCGCGTAAAACCTGGCTTACCTTTCTGCTGCTCGGGAGGTTGATGAAAGTCAGGTCGCTCCCGGTCAGGACAATCTTGTTGGGTCCTATAGACAGCTGAGCATGCAGAAACTGGCATCTGTGAGAAGCGAGGCATGAAGACATGAAACATGCTCACCCGTAATTAAAGCACCGTCCCGCAGGACTCCCAAACACCATTCTGGAGGGGAGAATCGTAAGAGGGACCATGTCAAACTCACCGAAGATAGTAAGCCAGGAGAGATCCACCCAGGAACAAGAAAATAACAAGGAGGAAGAGGAAGAAAATGAAGCCACCACCCACACCTAAGAGGAGGAAGAAGAAGGAAAAAGAAACTCGTTTTCTTTGGACTGAGTTCCACTTTTGCTCTGGCCACCAGGATTAAGCCAAGTGGCTGTCCAGTTTCTTCTTTAAAATTACGCTCTTCTCCAGTGTTGACGCACCCACAACGTCTGTTCCCCTGCTTAATTGTCCTCGCTGTTAGGAAGTTTCTCTTTAATTCCAGGTTGCGTCTCTCCTTGAGTTCGAACGACTTTATTGCTCTAAGCGTATTTTACGGGAATCTTCCCCAAACTGGCAGATTTTACTTGTAAAAGCCTAGATAGGGCTAAAGACATTCGTGGGGAAGGGGGGGAACTTACTCACCGAGAATTTTCATAGAGTAAGAGTTGGAGGAGACCTTGGAGGTCTTCTAGTCCAACCCCCTACTCAAGCAAGGGACCCCATAATACTCTTCTGGACAAATGGTTTTTGGCTGGCAGAGTGCTGCTGGAAGCTGGGGAGGCCTAAAATAGGCTGTGTGTGGCCTCGCAAGGGCTCCCTGCAGCCTGTTTTTGATTGGCAGAGTGCTGCTGGAGGCCGTGGAGGCCGAAAACGGGCTGTGCGGGGCCTCAGGGGGCCTCAGGGGGCCTCGATACGGCCTGTTTTTGGTCAGCAGAGTGCTGCTGGAGGCTGGGGAGGCCTAAAACGGGCTGCCCGGGGGGCTCATGGGGCCTCTGTATGGCCTGTTTTTGGCTGGCAGAGTGCTGCTGGAGCCTGGGAGGCCTAAAACAGGCTGTGTGGTGCCTCGCAAGGGCTCCCTGCAGCCTGTTTTTGATTGGCAGAGTGCTGCTGGAGGCCGTGGAGGCCGAAAACGGGCTGTGCGGGGCCTCAGGGGGTCAGGGGGCCTCGATACGGCCTGTTTTTGGTCAGCAGAGTGCTGCTGGAGGCTGGGGAGGCCTAAAACGGGCTGCCCGGGGGGCTCATGGGGCCTCTGTATGGCCTGTTTTTGGCTGGCAGAGTGCTGCTGGAGCCTAGGGAGGCCTAAAACAGGC